TCTCAATTAAAATTGGAACCTTGAAATCAGAAAATGATACTTTAGAAGCCAAGCTTGAAGCGTTGAATGTTGAAAAAAGCGATTTTGATAAACTGAACAATATTCTTTTAAAAAAAAATAAGGATCTTGAGCATCAGGTATCATTTAACGCCTCAGAGATTGAATCTATATCAGCAGATAGAGATTCCATAGGTGAAAAGCATTTATTACTAAAAAAACTGAACAAAGACCTTCTTTCTAAGATAGCTACGCTTAATGCTAACTATTCTTCTCTTACTTCCAAAATTTTTGCTTTAGAAAAAACTGAGATTGAAACAACTACTCAATTGAAGGATTTGAAGAAGAAAACTGAAGATTTAGAAAACGAAAAAGCCGACATTCAAACTAACCTCTCGACAGTTAATATGGAGAAGCAAGAACTTGAAAATTCCAACAGAGAGTTTCTGGGACAAACTAATGCTTTGCAACTTGAAATTGCAGATAAAGTTCGAAGATTAGAATCTATCACTTCGGAAAAATTATCTCTAGAAAAGTCTAGCGCCTCTTTGAAAGATCAAAATCTACAATTTTGTGAAACTATAAAAAGATTAGAAGTCGAAAATTCTACATTAACAGAATCAAAAAACGAAATCCTTTCAAAGGTTTCAGTTTTTTCTTCTACCATTGATCAGTATAAAGAAGAAACTAGTAGCCTTCAGGCACAATATGATAAATTATTTTGTGAAAAAGAGAAATTACAGGAATCCAAAGAAGAGATCTTAGCTTCCAAACTATTACTTAAAAAAGATTACAGTGAAAATAAAGATAAATTAAAAGGTCTCCTTCTTGAAAAGTCATCCTTGGAAGATTCTGTAGTTTTATTAAATAATGAAAAAGAAAAATATATCATCAAAATTCAAAACTTAGAAAAAACAGTAGGCGAGGTGAACTTTAAATTGGATAATTTGACTAAAGAATCTCTGGCTTCAAATGCAGAGCGCGATCTTCTAAGTCTGAAAAGTGCCGAGTTTTCTGCTTTGTCTTCTAAATTTCAGATTGAAATAAGTTCTCTTCAACAGAAGTTATCTGAAAGTATAAAAGAAAAGGAGAACTTGGAAAATAACCGCTTAAATTCTCTAGAAAAAATTAATTGTCTTGAGTTAGAAATTTCAGATATAAAAACTAAATTAGAGTCTTCTATTTCAAATAATAAGTTATTGGAAAACAAAAATAAGTTGCTTGAAAATGAAAACATTGAACTTTTAGATGAAATTGAGAAAATTAAAAATAAAAGCAAAGTAATTACATCGAAATATAATATTTTATTAGTTGAACAAGAAACTTCAAATCAGGCCAGAGAAGCGAATCTAAATGACATTAATAAGTTACAGGTAGAAAAAACTGAAATTGAAAAAGTTAATAAAAAGTTAGAAGAAAATTATGAACACTTAATCCAAAAAAATAAAGATTTTGAAAAAAAATATTCCAGGGTTTCATCAAAATGTTTACTTTTAGAGCAAGATAGTAAGGATTTGTTAAGAAGACTAGATTCTATCACTGAAGAGAAAGAGGCAACTGAAAAAATGCTTCTTGGATTCAAACAGGAAAACTCGGATTTACTAGATACAGTTAATAATCTTGAGGTCGAGAACAATAAAAATTTAAACAACTTTAATGTCTTAATGGCACAAAAGAATATTTTGGATAGGGACTTATCAAATTCAAATGTTAAATTCGAGGAATACGAATTGAAAGTTCGTGATTTTGAACTTGAAAAAGAAGAAACTCGAGATAGATTTGATAGACTAGTTGAGGAAAAGAAGGTTTTGGAAGCTGAGTGTGCCAGAATAAACGAAAAACTTGAGAGTGTTCTGCAGGTGAAAAAAGCTGTTGAACAAGAAAAATCTAGTTTTGTACAAGAAATTGATAAATTAAAAACAGTTAATTTCGAATTATCAAAGGAAATAGAATTGATAGAACTGAAAAATAAGGAAGCTTTTGATAAACACTTCATCGAAATATCCAACCTTATTGAAGCAAAAGATGTTCTTTTGAAAAACAATGAAGAAAACAATACCGAGAAAAATAGGTTGTTAGATGAGTTAAACAAATTGGAAAATAATAAGAAACAATTAGAAATCACTCAAAATGAACTAAAAAATACTTGTGAGAAGTTACAAAATAAGGAAAATGAGTTAGAAATTAAAAATAAAGAATTACAGAATAATCAGAATCAACTAGAAATCGAAAAAGTTGAGCTCGTTAAAAAAATTAATTTGATCATAATTCAAAAAGAAAGCTTATTAGAAGAAAAAGAAACTTTATTAAAAGAGAAAGATGAACTAATTAATGAAAACTCTCAGTTAAAATCTGAACTTGATATTGCTAACCAAAGGGCTAAGACTTCTGTTGTGCCAATTTCTTTGAAACCTGAAGAAAATAAATTCACTGGTGTTGAACAAAGAGATTTAAGTAGTATCGAAAGCAATGATTCTATCAACAAAGACAATGATATTCTAGCATTAAACCAGAGACTTAAAGAACAGGTTAAGAATTATGAATCTCAAGTAACTGATTACGAAAAAATCAAAAATGAATCTCTGAAATTGAAAGAAGAATTATCTGGTAAAACTAAAGAAAACATTGAACTTTTGAGGATTAAGACTAGACTTCTTTCAATTAATTTAAATCTTGAAGAAGATCTCAAAAAATACAAGGCTGGGACAAAGAAAATGATAGAATTAAGAGAACAAAGTAATTCTTTGACAAAGAATATTGAAAGTTTAAATCAAGAGATAGTTAATAAATCTAAGGAAAATTCTAGACTTGAGAATGAAAAAAATAATTACAAGGTTCAAATTTCTAGCCTAGAAAAAGAAATTGACGAACAAAAAATGGAAATTGAAAATAATAAAGAAACAAATGAAAATCAAGTTGAGCTTAATAAAATATCAAAAGATAAAGTTCAAGTTATTGCTGCTCGATTTAACCTACTATGCATTCCATCCAAAGCATTTATTGCGACGACAATTTCCAGGCACCCTGATCCAAATAATGTTGTAATAGTACCAACAACTTATTATAATAAACTTTCAAAATATGAATCCTTGAATATCGAAAAGGTTTCTGTTGATGAGTTTAAAAGACAAGCCAAATCCCGTGGATTTAAACTAGTTCCTATTGTTGAAGATTCAAAGGATATACCAATTACAAATATTAAGGATATAAATAAGCAAAATCTACCCACTATCCATTTATCATCATCTACCAAATCATCTTCATTTGCCCCTATTAGATCATCAGTATCGATTCAAAGTCCCAGAACACCAACAGAAAAAACAGCTCCAAAATTCTCGTCCAAAATATCACCACCTTCAGATATACAACATGAGTCACATATTGGGCCAATGGAAGCTCAATCAATTATATCATCCATGGAAGATGGTTTTGAGTTTGTGTTTACCAAGCCTGATGTTCCATCTACCACAATAACACACACCAATTCAGATTCCAAAAATGCAGGTAATGTTGGAAACAACAAGAATAATAGCAAAATTGTCATAGAGGGTTCTATTGATCAATCCATTTCTACACTTCAAGGAGACTTGTCAATCAACAGCAGCATATCTTTAACTGAGCCTAATATTATAGGGGCAATAACACAGACTGTTATTGGAGAGTTTCTATATAAATACTACAGAAAATTGGGTCCATTATCAGTCATTTCTGAGAATCGACATGAAAGATACTTCTGGATTCATCCTTATACACTAACACTATACTGGTCTGAAGATAATCCTGTTTATGGAGATCCATCAAATAATAAAACAAGAGCTGCTGCTATAATCGGGGTTGAAAGTATTGAAGATAATAATCCACTACCCCCAGGATTATATCATAAAAGTATAATTGTTTATTCTTCAAATAAGCAAATCAGAATTACATGTCCGTCGAGATTGCGTCATAATATATGGTTTAATTCATTGAGATACTTGATTCATAGAAGCAAAGAGGGGATTGAGTTTGATGATCTAAAAAAGTTTGACGAGCAAAAAAAATTAATTGAAAATAATACTGGAGAGAATTCGAGACATCGTAAACCATCTATTACAAGGAATTACTCCAAAAGTCGTTTATTATCTGCAAGCAATATTAATTTTAATGATAATGAGAATAACAGTTACCATGGTAGTTATCATGGTAACAACAATACCAATACCGTTACTAATAATAATGAAAATAACAATCAAAATGAAAATGAGGATTTATCATCAAAACGTAACAGAAGAATTGTTTCATCATATCATAGCACATCAAACAAGGTGAGGAATAAAATGTCTCAGAGTTCTAGTTTTAACAGATTAAGTTCTCTTCGATGAAGAAAATAAGAATATGTATTTATTGTTTTTTATATTTTTTATATTTTTTATATTTTTTATATTTTTTATATTTTTTATATTTTTTATATTTTGTTTTTTTTGTTTTTTTATGATTTTTGTTTTTTATGTTTTTTATGTTTTATCTTGTTTTTTTTTGGAAATTTTTTTTGTACACTTGATTTGTTTTGTTTGATATATTTAATTTGTTTTGTTCGATATAATTAATTTGTTATGTTTTATATAATTAATTTGTTTAGTTTTGTATATTTTTTCAATATTATATTCACATTTACCAAGTAAACAATAACAATTTACAGAGAAATAAGAATTAAAAGGACGCAAAAAATTTATTGTAATAAAACTAAACATCAATATAATGGGTCCTATATGAAAAAAAAAAAATAGTTTAGTTGTGAGTAAATTATTCATAAGAAAAAAGTTTATTTTTTTATTTTTTTATTTTATTTTATAGTTTTTTATTGAAAGTTTTAATAACAATTTAAATGGGGGTAAGAAAAAGAATAAAAATAATAAAAGGAAGAAAAGGAATAAAAATAGATATAAAGATAAAGAATAAAATATTAAGAATGAGATTGGTCAAAAGATAAAGGATAGAAAATAGCAGACAAAAAAAAGAAAAGATTAATTATCATTAATTGTGAGCTTTGATGAATTGTTAATAAAACTATCAGAAGTGTCAATATCATTTAAAATGTTGCTTGTATCTGGAATGTTACTATTGGTTGAAATTTTATTATTATCATCATAATTGTCATGATCAATTTCAAGATTGATATTTTCGTTAATTTCTAAAGTGTCGTTATTGTTGTTTTCATTATTGATGTTTCTTCTTGCTTTTTCTTTTTCAATTTGAGTGTATAATAGGGATAAGGCTTTATCAATATTATATTGATTTCCTATTAATTTGAATAATCTTTGATTTGATTTTGAATCCTTTTCTGCAATATTTATGACACAGTTTGATTTATTTCTAATTTCTTTTATTTTAATACCCTTTTTACCTATTAAACAGCCAACTATATCGGAGGGAAATTCAATAGTTTGGGTTATAGTTGAGTCAGAAGATGAAGAAGAATTTGAAGCAGACTGGTTTGAAACTGAGGAATCGTATATATCTGAGTTGTTGATATTGCTGTTATTATTAATGTTATTATGAGTATGATTATTGTTATTGTTGTTGTTATTATTATTATAATGACCATTATAGTTATGACTATTATGGTTGTTATGATTATTGTGAGCATAATTGTTATTATGAGGTCTTGAGTGTGGAATATAATATAGAGTACCAGTTGCATTATGCCAATCAGCAATTAAGTGTTTTGAGATTAATTGACAAGCAAGATTAATATTTTGAGGAGTACCTTGGATTTCAACGACTCTTTCAGTAGAATTTGGTAGAAAATCCTTTGAGGCAATTGTTAAGATTGAAAATTTTTTTTGCAATTCTTTAATTCGAAGACCTTGTTTACCGATTAATGAGCCCATTTGAGAATGAGGAATCATTAATCGAAGAGTTATTGAGCCCTTTGGATTTGGTTGGGGACAAAGAGGCTTAATTGGAAAATAATTGTTATTACTACCTGAAGAAAAAGATTTAGCAGTTGAATTTATGGAATTGTCTTGAGAGTCTAATAAAGCTTGGGCAAACAATTGCAAGGAATCACAAACATTATTGACTTGACCAGATATGGTCAAAATCCGATCAATTGAGCCAGGAACCAACTTGGAGATACCAGCTTTGACATTTGTTTTTGTTCTAATGTTTTCGACACATTCGCCTCTGGTGCCAATTATGATTCCAGCTTCTTTGAAGGTGATGAGAATTCTGAAGGAGATCATAGAAGCCAAAACGGCGGCATCGATTTGCATGTCTGAATCCATTGGGAGAAGGCGACAAGAAGGAGAAAGGGAAACAGGAAAGGAGCAAGGCAAGCAGGAAGAGGAAGCAGCAAGAAGGAATAGCACAGGAAACACAGGAAGAAGAAGCACAGGAAGCAGAAGCAGAGAAAGCGCTGCAAACAAGAAGAGGTGTTGCTGGCAGAGAAAAGTGGAAAATGCTGGACACGTGCCTGCCGGGTTGGGCGAGCGATATAATGCGTTTAGCGCCGGGCTTTTCTGCTTCTTCTGCTTCTTCTGCTTCTTCTGCTGCTTCTGCTTCTTCTGCTTCTTCTGCTGCTTCTGCTTCTCAACCATGGGTAACGTTCCTAGCTTTGCCTCTGAGTGTGTTCTGAAGAAGGACGCCTATGATGCCTGCTTCAACCAGTGGTACGACAGTATGTATGGTCTGCTCTCTCTGCTGTTCTTTGTTCACCACTAACACTCCTCAGAATTCTTGAAAGGTGAAAGCGTATGTTGATTGTGGGTTCTTTGTCCTTGGTTCTGTTTTGCTTCTTGATTTGCTTCTTCTGTCTGTTTCAACTACTAACGTCTATCTTGCCCCAGATTGAAAACGAGTGCCAAACCCTTTGGTACGCCTACAAACTCTGTGTCGATGCTCAGTTGGTCAAGAAGAACATAATTCCTGCCCCAGCCTCCAGCGAGGCTTTTGGCGCTACAGATTCTGCAACAGCATCTTCCTCTGCTGCTTCTGATGATTCTGCTTCTTCTGCTGATGGCAAGTAGGGTAATCCTTTGTTTCATATCTAGCTTGATTCACCTTGCTTGCTTGTCTTTCTGTATATATTTGATCTAGTTAAAAGCAACCTGTAGTCCATATTTTCTGTGTCCAAAATGTCTCTAATAAAAGCCTATGAATATTCCCAAAATGCTGATTACTATGGCTCTCTTCAAGACTATTTGAAATCAAGCGACTATCATAAAAAGGCGGCAAATGAATTTAAGAATATTCTATTAAATTTAAATCATCAAAATAAGTTAGATGATACCCACAAAAACAATACTGATAATGATTCTATAATTAAAATTATCACTATATTAATAAACGAACATGAAAAAAAACATTTGGAATTATTTAAACATTATCAGATTATAAATAAAAACCTGAATAAAAACGTTAAAAACGTTAAAAATCTCAAAAGCTCAAAAAGTTCAAAATATTCAAATGACTCAAATGATTCAAATAATCCAAATAATTCAAATGATCCAGATGGCCCAAAAGACTCGAAAGATTTAAATAGTAATAATAATAATAATAATAATAATAATAATAATAATAATAATAATAATAATAATAATAATAATATCGCTGATCAATCTTTAATTAATAAAAACATACTATTATTGAAAAATTTCAATAAAAATATTCACTCGTTAATAAATAAAAATTCAATCAATATTCAATCCGTTAAAAATATCCAAAATAATAACTCGATTAACAATTCTGATGACAATGAATTCGATTCTCCAATTTTCAATTCAAACCTATTAAATAATAAATCAAAAGAAGAATTAATATTTGAAAATAAATCATTGAAACTAAGTCTAAATTATTTAAATAATCAATTTCAAAAACTAAATTTAAATGATTTAAAAAACTTGGATAATGATGATTTAATTATATTAAATCAAAAAAATTTGTCGGGCCAATTTAACATTTTAATTAATAATCTATTGTCAGATTTAAATAACAATCAATCTGTTGTAAATTTAGATAATAAAAGTAACAGTAATGAGATTAATCATAATGAAAAGGATAATAATGATAATAATGATAATAATGAAAATAATGAAAATAATGAAAATAATAATGATCCAAATATCAACAAACTAATCTCAAAAATCAACTCATTAAACTACCAAATTAAAATTTTAAAAAATGAAAATTTAGCACTCACTGTAAATTTGAAAAACTGTAAAAACGAATTGAATCTTATCAAGTTCAACAATTCTAATCTATTAACTGAAAATTTAAAACTAAATAAAAGATGGAACAATTTGATTAAATCTGCAAAAAAAAAACGAATCAGCAATGAATAAATATCAATCCTCTAGTACACCCTAAAGATACGCACATATTCAAACCAGAGCCCTAATCGGGGTCCCGAAAACATGCGTGTATCTGCGGGGGTGTGCATTATTTGCTTTCAAAGTGGTCGCCGAACACCCTGCTTGTAGTTGTTGACGAAAAGCGCGCGTGTTCGATTCCAGTCCAGAAACTGTTTTAATTTTTGATGCTCATATTTTCAGATTTTGACTGATATTTGCAAGAGTGTTTAATAATTTATTGGTTTGTTAGGCAATATAACTTATATTCTTCGACTTCCTAAATAACAACCATACTTGCAATCAGTTATGTCCGAGATTCGTCAGTATGTTATGTTTTTGCTTTGTTTCTTCTTGTCTGGTTTTTACTATATACTAACATTTAATTAGGTTCTTGTCTTCTATACCTCCAATAACAAGAGTGTTTTTACTTGGTCCTTTATTATTCAAAGGTTTATCTTCATTAAATATCATATATGAAAGAAATTTTTTATGTTACTGGTATTATGTGTTTAATAACTATCAAATTTGGCGCCCTTTTACTGCTTTCTTCATTGCATCTGGCTTGCCCTTTGAACAATTATTGACCATATATATGGTTTATAGCTATGGTAGAAGTCTTGAGGAAAATAAATTTCAATTGGTGACTTTAGACTATTTATATTATCTCATTTTAACAACTCCGATATTATTGTTTTCAACTATATTGACTGATGAGGTTGCCTTACTCAGTGCTCTATTGGGGACTTTTATCTATACATGGTCAAGATATAACAAAAATGCAAGAGTTAGTTATTTATTTATTCCAATAAAGGGTGAATTGTTACCATTGGCTTCACTAAGTTTTTCTCTTTTATTGAATGGGTTTCCTGGATTTTGGGCAACGTTATGGGGTCAAATTGGTGGCTATGTTTATAATTGTTTGGAAAATAAAAATCTTGGTCCAGTTTATTATTATTTATATAATAAATTCAATCAAACAAATTCATATCACAATACTAGTAATAATAAAAATCCAAATATAAACCCAAATCCAAATTCAAATCCAAATACAAATAGTATAAATAATATTGATAATAACAATACTAATAATACCAATACTAATAGCAATAGCAATAGCAATAATAATAATAATAATAATAATAATAATAATAATAGTAATAGTAATAATAATAGTAATAATGGCGATTTCAGATTAAATAATGTTCATACAGTCAACAATACTTTAAATCTTAATACTAATACCTATCAAGATAATGGCAGAATTACAGCGCCAAACTGGCTAATAAAACTATCCAATTATATATTCATTAACAATAATCGCTTTAATAACAATATTACCAATAATAGCAGGAATGGTTATAGGCTAGGTGATTTGTCCAATACTTCTTCCTCTTTTTCTAATTCGGGTTCTAATTTTAATTCAAATTCAAAGTCGAATTCTAGATTTATTGCCACCTCATCTTCCATTAAGTACAAGCCAAAATCCAATTCAAATCATTTATTCAAAGGCAAAGGCCATAGATTAGGAGATTAGATATTCTCAAATAACATATATAAGAAAGCATAGGTAAATATAAGAAAGCATAGGTAAATATAAGTAAATGAATAGGGAAATAGTTCTTGCTTTATAAAAGTAAATTACATAGGATCATCATAATTAGCGAATTGTTAATGTTAATATTGATTTTGTTACCAATTCCCTCGCTGCTATCAGTACTGTCACGATCTGTATTGCTTTCAGTGTTTCTGCTTGTGCTACCACTGGTGCTAGCAGTACTAACTCCACTTGCAGTCCCAGTTCTTGTCTCGTAATCATCTACAGCATCACAATATATACTTTTAAAAGCTTCGACTTGGCCGATTGAATTATTTGTCTCGCATCTGTAACACCCATAAACATTGATCCAAAACTCGTCGTTGCTCAAATCACATAAACAGTCCAACAACCCGTAGCCAATATCCACAAGCGTGCTATTATCGGTGCTGTTGTTGTTGGCCACCAAATCCAGTAACTCGCTTGAATTTGAACATTCGCTGGTTATTGTAGTATTGGCCTGGCTGCACACATCCTGATGCTCAACACACGTATCGTATCGAGAGCTGTTGAATTCCAACTGGTCCCTTTTAACAAGAAAGCCAGAAGATGAGCTCGAGAGGATGAGAAAGAAGAAAGAGGCAAAAAAACACCTCATTGCGAAAGCTGATGGTCTCAAAACAACAAAAGCGTTGGTCAGGGCCCAACCCATGTTATATATCCACTGGAGTGAGATCGAGCAGCAAACAAAACAGACTCCAGCACCAGAAGGACCACAAAACGATGCACCAACAACTTTCAGTTCTCCCTTCGCATAGCCATTATCGACTAAGCTCCCTAAGCCAAGCTCCAATCACAGCGAAAGACCCACTACTCACTGTTCACAATTATTAATGATTAATAATGGCAAGCAATCCAGCACCACGATGCTCTCCATATATAAACTGTTGGTGCACCTTCTTTGTGTTGTTCTTCGTCCACCACTCGACACTCACTTGTTTTGCAGATGATCCAGCTCTTGTTTGTCTTTCTCTTGAGCTTTCGCTCCATTGCTGCTGTGTCGCCATTGGTCTACCTTGATTCTGCCTTGAATCTATTGAACCCCTCTTATTTCACAAACTATCTCAGCTTGGATGATTTCTCAAAAGAGATGATTGATGCTCACAACCAGAAGCGACGGTTGCACCAGGACGTGCCAGACCTAGTATGGAACCAGACAGTGTATGAATTTGCTCAGAGCTACGCTGATAACTACACCTGTCCTGACAATTTGGAGTTGGTTCACTCCACCTCCTCTGGCTATGGCGAGAACTTGGCTGCTGGCTTCAGAAACTCATCGTTGGTTGTTGATGCCTGGTATAACGAGATCGATGATTTCCAATACGATAGAATAGATCAGTATGACGATGGAACGCTATTGCAAAACTCAGACCCAGACAGACCCATTGGCCATTTCACCCAGTTGATATGGAAAGATTCAACTCAGTTGGGTTGTGCCTACAAGCAATGTCCAAATTATATCTACTATACTTGCAACTATTATCCAAGAGGTAATTTAAGATTAATCGGTGGTTCAAGTTATACCGAGAATGTCCCACCCCTAATTTAAATATAGTATTGTATAAAATTATATACAGTTATGTATAAATTGTAATGATTGTTCCCGGTTTGTTTGTTTGTTTATTGTTTGTTTGTTTTTTGGTTGTTGTTTTTTTGATGTACTTTTTTATTTTTTTTACCTTTTATTGTTTGTTTGTTTTATAATTCATCCGGTTATTTATAATTTCGGATTGTTTTTACAATAATTTCGGATTGTTTTTACAACAATTTTGAATGTTTAATATCTGTCCTTAATTTGTAAATGAAAACAGATAAAATTAGTGTTAAAATTAACAACAACCAAATAAAGAATTTGATGGTAGTGAAAAACTCATGATTATCATTTTTATCATTTTTGACTTTTTGAAAAGTTTTCTTTTTAAACAATTCTTTATCAATTTTTTTTTCCTCTTCATAATAAACTAAAGTTTGTAATTGTTTTAAAACTGATTTATCTTGTGTTGTTGATATTTCATCCACTTGATCTGATAATTTGTTAATTGAACTTTTAATATTATTTAAATTATTAATATAATTATTTTCTAAATAGACCAATTTTTCATTTAATGAATCAAATCGCCTTAAAATATCGTTATAATTATCACTCATTAATATCTGAACATCTTTATTTAAATTTCTATTTTGTTCATTGGTTTTACCTTGATCTGGCGTATAAATTTTAATTTCTTCCTGATCATTATCAAATAACTTTGTTATAATTTTTGGCTGGGATTCTAATACACCAAACTCGCCCAATTCCTCATTTAAAATATTATCATAAGTTTTCAATTTCAAGATTTCAAATGATTCTTTGCCCAAGAGACCGTTGTTGGCCGAAATTCCTATTTTATATCCGTTATTGTTTTTAAGATTGATTAAATTTGTTAATTTAAAACAAATTTTATTATCAATGGATAGTTTTAAAAAATTTTTATTAAATTGATTGTTACTATAATAAGATAACTTGATTGTAACCGGAACTTGGCTATCTTGATAAGCAATTAAACAGGAACCAAATTCTTGATTGAAAAATTCCAAATTAAACGGATTGAATTTTTTTGAATCATCATTAAAATAACCTCTTAATGATGAAGATAATGGGCCATTTGAATCAATAACTATTGCTAAACCATCAAATTTCGATGGTCCACCATATAACGAGTTGTCGTTATTTTGATTATTTTCATTGTTCTTATTATCTTGATTAAGTAAATGTAATATTATTCCACCTCCATCTGACGAACCAACCACACCTTTCGATCTCAAAGTTAATTTAATCGACCAAGAATCAGAAATTATATTATGTTTAGACCAAATAGAACCAAAGACATTTTTCAAGTTTTTATAATCATTTTCATTAGTTTCATCATGATAATAATCGGAGATTGTAGGCGTCAAAATTACTTGGCCAGTATTGATGATGGCATTGCCTTTGAAATTCCAATTTGATAGATAATCACCATCATTAATCGTTACCAAGTCTGGGAGTGATAACTCCAATGAAGGCTTTTCGTCATCAGTTGAATGGCAAATAATAAGACGAACGAAACCAACTAAAAACCACAACACAACCGAGTATTTCATTGATAATGACAGCACTAAATGAGTTCAAGTCTTAACCAATTTCAAACTAAACGTAAATCTTTGCTGGAGTTAGTGTGCTGTTTCAAAAACGGCCTTTGTCGGAGTAAAAATAATTAGGTATCCACTGTGGTGGATGCATCTGCGCCTTTTCAGAAACCACCAGCGTGGTAGTTTTGATACATGACATTCAATGCAGTATACCGCAATTATATACGTTGAGAAGCCTTAAATGCATTTGGCCCGCTCCTGTGGATTATTCTGTTTCCGTTCCAATGGTCTCTGCTTTTGCAGGCACTTTGCATCGGGCATCACCGCATTGGTCCACAGCTGCTCTACCGCCAAACCGAAAAAATCTATTATTCAGGTTGTTACCTCTGCTGCTTTTGCTGCTTTTGCTACCCAATAAAGTTTTTGTTGTTTTGCTGCCATGTCTCCTTTTGATTTGGATAATTTTTCGCATTCTTTGATTGAAAATGGCTGGTTTAGAGAACAGTCAGATCTTCATTTTCCTGGACAGGCTCTACAGTTGAAAATTAAAAAAATTTTGCATTATGAAAAGACACAATTTCAAGACGTTTTGGTATTTCAAAGTGAAACTTATGGCAATGTTTTAGTTCTCGATGGTATTATCCAAGTATCTGAAAGAGATGAATTCTCGTATCAAGAAATGATTACTCATTTGCCTTTATTCTCTCACCCAAACCCCAAAAAAGTTCTTGTTATTGGTGGAGGTGATGGTGGTGTTTTGCGAGAAGTAATCAAGCACCAGTCTGTTCAACAAGCTATTTTGGTTGAAATCGATGAACTAGTCATTGAGTTATCTAAAAAATTTCTTCCAAATATGGCATCAAGTTTCAATTCCCCAAAGGTTAAAGTCATTTTAGATGATGGCTTTAAATACTTGAAAAATTCCTCATTTTTAAATGAATCCAATAAATTTGATGTCATAATAACTGATTCAAGCGATCCCGAAGGCCCTGCTCAAGAATTTTTTAAAGAAAATTATTTTAATTTATTATACAATGCCTTGAATAAAAACGGTATTGTAATTTCTCAAACAAGTGAAAATTTCTGGTTAAATTTCAAATTTATTAAAAATTTGAAAAAAATTGCCTTGAAGGTTTTTCCAAATGTTGAATTTTCTTATACTTGTGTTCCAACTTATACAAGTGGTCAATTGGGTTTATTGATCTGTTCCAAAGATAAAAATTTTAATTTAAAGGTTCCTTTAAGAAAATTACCACCTTCTGACGAATTAAGTTTATTCAAGTACTACAATAGTGATTTGCACACTGCTTCTTTTGTTTTGCCTAATTGGGCTTCAAACTACTTAGAAAATAATGACAATGATGATAATAATAAGGTCAATTACAATGAAAAATAGTATTATAGCATCATGATGTAGTATTATAATAATGTTTTGATATGGTAATAAACTGATAAGATAATAGAATAGAGATATAGAGTAATGATATATATTGCATCTTTTTTTACATACAAAATATTCTTTCTAAGATATACATGTTTAAAAATTAAGAAATTCGGAAAAGCTTTTTCCTTCATAACTGTCTTTTACTTCATTTAATTTAGTTTTATCATGATTAATTCCATTGTTTTGATCAATTTCATTATTTTGATTTTGATTTTGATTTTGGTTTTGATTATTTTCATCTTTCAATCCAAATAATGAATTGATTTCATTTAAATTATTGAAAAATTCATTGGAAAAATAGTCAACATTATAATTCTTTATTTCATTAATATTGTTAATGTCATTAAAGTGAAGATCCATATTATTTGAATTATTTAAATTATCAATAATATTGATATCATAAATCTCATTACTACAATGATTATTATTATTATTATTATTATTGTTATTATTATTATTATTGTTATTATTATTGTTATTGTTATTATTATCATTTGTATAGCTAGTATCATTGATATCATCATTTTTATTATTTTCAATATCACTATTATTTTTGTGATCATTAAATTTTCTTTTTAATTTTTTTTCTTTGTTTGAATCATGTTCTGAAACTGATATATTTTCATTGATTGTTTTAATTTTTTTTCTTTTATAATAATTTCTAGTTGTATATATAATAATTTCATCGCTTTCAACTGTATTCAAAAAATTATTTGGTCTTTGCGTATCATTAATATTATTATTAGTATTAATATTATTAATTAAATTTATCTTTAATAACTCAAAATGTAATTTAAATTTTCCGCTATTTTTAATAGCTAAATCTTTAAATTCGAAAACATAGTTATTATCGATTGGATTAAAAACTCCAATTAAGATTTTTGTTCCAATCAAATTTTCAAATGGTTCTAAAAGGTTTTTATTGAAATCATATAATGTTGCGATCATTATATAATTGGACACCAAGTTATGTAATATATCATTAGTGTTTAAAATTATAATTGTTGATGGGCTTAAAAGCCTCTTTGAAGAAGTTCCTGATTGTCTTGCTTCCTTTGAGTGCTGTATTACATTCAAGTGATAGTAAAATTGATTCTCAAAATCCATTATATTTATAAAATATCATAAAATTTAAGGAAAATAAAAATGCAATTAGAAAACATCTGGTAGCTGGGTTATCTATTTATTGCTATCGATGGAAATGACTTTTCAAGAAACGAAATGATCAAACGGAGAAAAAACTTAAATAAAAGTCAAATGTTATTCTACGCTAAATGATATAAATAATGATATAAATAATACTATAAATATGAGGATACAATTGTATATAGTTAAATTATTCAGTTATTGTAACCAAGTCACCACAAGGCATGGGAGTAGGTGAAGAACTATTACTATCGATGGTGGAGACATCAATGGGAGAATAAACTAATTCAGGAACATCTTGAGTTCGAGGTATTCTTTTGGAGCTGCCAATTAATAGTTCTGGAGAATCAATAAACTCACCTAGATATATTAGCTTGAATGCTTCGTTAACTTTATCGAGTTGAATATCTTTATATAAACTGAGCCTAAAAACATATATTCCAACATGTTTTAAACCTATATTTGAAAAATCAAACAAGTAACTGGAAAACTTAGTCTTATCAGTGGATTCATAGAAGCCTTTAGCAATTGTTTTGCCATTTATATAATCAAGATCCAGAGCCGGATGGATAATTGCTTCACCATCTAGTGATAGGATTTGAAGGTTTAAAATATAGGTTATTTCTGGAGTATTATGCATATTTGTCATTAACCTAATTTTAAACCCTCCTTTCAACTTTCGTTTCTTACCTGATGGAATGCCACCGATGGGAAATTGAAAAATTTCCAATTTATAGGAAACATCTGCAGATATATCCTGAAAAGTATTTTGAGAAGTATCAACATCAGATAACTTGACGGTATCAAAATTGTAGGTATCAAAATTGAATGATATTTTTCTAACTGAAGGCGCAAATTCGAATTTTTGAGTTACATGGGACACACTTTTGGAACGTACTTCCATTTTTTTGAAAATGCTTAGTTAAAACAGGATTTTATGAATAAGTAACCGATTTAGAAAAAGAAAAAATGAAATGTATTTATATAAGAAGATAAGAAAAAAACAAAAAACACATCCATTTTTATGAAATGGATCAGTGTGCTGACGCATTTAGATATCATTCTATATATACAGATAAGCACGTGTATCAATGGTTGCTGCGGCGTCAAAGTCAGTTAAAGACAACACAAATTGCGCTTAATAGCAGCACAGTAGCAGGTATACCACGTGCTCTCCGCACTTGAGATACCAAGAAACTGTTTTTTTTCCATGATCTTACGGATTTTTGCAAAAAAGGAGGTGTGAAGTGAATTAGGAGCTGATAGGGAGCTGATAGAAGAAAGATACAAAGCCAACAAAAAAAAAGAAAACAGACAGTTGAACAGTAACAAATACCCATTAAACACACTGGTAGAGTGCAGGCCTCTCATATACGGTTTTTAAGTAAAATCTTGACAAATCAATGAATTCCTCTGGTCTGTGTTCAAAAGCAACAATACCTAAAGCATACTCTTCATTTTCATCATCCAGGTCTCTTGCATTAGCTTGTATTTGCTTAATTTCAAATGGTTCTGTCACTAACCTTATGCCAGTATAATTGTAACTGATCTCAGGAAATTTCAGGAAGTGTTGTACAATTATCGTTCTGTAGAGACAGAAATGCAATTGATAGTTTCCAGTATTTGTAATTGCAATGTTCCGAAAACAGAACTTATATTTGTAAAAGTAATCAGTATCATATAGACCTTTTACTCCAATGGAATCATCTCCAATTAAGTTTCTGTTACATATTACACCATCTTTATAGAGATCAATAGTCACTATATATTCACCACTCTTACTAGTATCCAACACCAAAACTGTTACAGGCTTTAGTTTTCTACAGCCCAAACTTATGGCTCTCCCAGATGGCCTTGCCCTTGGAACATTATCGGGTGATTCAAAATAAAAACATGCATCCATTTCTAAATATTTCAAATTAATAAACAGTTTTTGAGAGTGATTAATAGTTTTGTAGCTTCTCTTTTTTAGGAGCCTAATTCTGTTTTTATATTAGTATTCATACCAACTGGTCTCCTTTCAAATAAAACCAATCGGTGAAGCCTCCGCTATAAAAATGGACTCTTTCTTTGTTGTAATCAGTCCTCAGCCTTTTGATTCTAAGCTGGAATATGTATCTATTACCTTGGACTATAGCCCTCCATGAATTTATTTGCACTGGTTTTTGGTTTTGGATTGGTTTTGACATGGCACTGTTATATACTGTCAAGACAACCCCACAAAATACAAAAAAGTGAGATAATCTATCAAGAATACAGTCCTGACTGAGCTGCACTTTTTCCATGATACATTTCAAGCATTAACTGATAGAATCTCGATGAATTGAAGATAAGCCAAAAAGTAAATTAATGTTAGAGCTTTTATATATATGCTACTCTGATTGTCCATTTCTTCTTTCTTACCCATCAAATAAGAAGCTGGAATTATTAGGCAATGTGGATCAATTCATGAAAGGAAAGCACCAATGTCGCATCCAATTCAAGAAATTTCATTAGTTTAGTTACTTTTATTGATTTTCCGTTCAAGAGTTGTAGCTCAAGTATCTCCAGTTTGTGATTCCTAATTCGTCTTAATCAAAAGGGGATTGATCTCTTCAAGTTTCTTCTGGAAATACTTGCAAAATAGATCCAAGGAGTGTCGACCAAACTAGCAAAGTCTCGAGAAAAGCAGATATAATCAACGTCAGATATATGGTGGCATAAGGATCAGAAATGTGACAAAGGTTGCTTTTCAGAAACTGACCAAATGCTCAGTACGTCAGTCCAGTAGTTCAGTTGCTTTACAGCCCACTTCTTGTTGTTGAAATCCAGCGATGTTTCTCCTGTCTGGATACTCACTGGGGAATCTGTCATGAAGGGTTTGGAGTTGTCTATATGCTTGGTATTTGATCAATTCAGAAATTACTGAAATCTGGTTGCGAATGCAGTAAGACACCATGCTGTATTTTTGCTATAATCATTAAATATTTGATTGAGTTTAGTAACATTCGTCGTATGTCGCTATAATCAATTATAATTCACAAATCATAAAATCTTTCAAATAGTTTGAGATTATTCTTCAACACTAGGAATGAAATTTAGGATCACAGTTGAGAAAGATGACTTAGATCCGAGTTATTTCGATGAACTGATTGGAAGCATCGATGGTTGCAAACCAAAAAAATTTAACTTATCAATTGAAAAATTTAAATTAACCTAAAAACAACAATCCAAATAAACAAATAGTATAATATTCAATTGTGTAATACGACGAGTTAGTATTTTGAATGATTTACAACACAAAATCTTGAATGGCGGTTTGAAATGCAATTTAAAACCCAACACATTAAGAGAACAAAAAATAAGAGTCACAATAGAATACCTTAACCAAATTCATTTGATGGAAATCACTAGAATAATGCTTGCTAAAAAATTTAATTTTAAAAGGAGGTTAAAACCTTCAACAATTTGAAATGCTTCAAGCAGTAAAGTTTCCAAAATATGCTCTCAATAAATTTTATTTTTGAAGTATGAAAAGCACAATAATAGTCATAAATTGAATGGAAAAACAAAATAAAAAAATATAGTACTAGAAAATGAACATGAATTAAGAACATTTCAACAGAAACATTTCAACTCTATCAATGCATTAACGAATAAACACTTAGGTTTAAAATGAACTTAAAGAAACTAAATTTGATCTATATATTGCGCAACAATAAAGGCAATGGCAGTCATAATAGGAGTAGTAATGTATTTACACCAAAATGGAACAAAAAATCAAATCAAATCAAAATTCAAAGAAAGGTTCAAAGCCAAAAACAACTAAATTAAATGCAATATATATGCCTGAAGTGAAATCAATTAAATGTGAAAAAAACATACTATTTAAATAAAAACCAAACGTGATTATCAAATTGGTTTTAATAGTTTTTTGTAAGCTCTTTAAGGACATTGAATCGCTTTTTAACTAGTTTTAAACATATCCAATTAGCTTGTTTATCATGTATCCTATTTGGATTGTATTTGGGTGATACATTTCCTCTTACAATTTGTTATTTCAATTTCATCTATATTGTTAATCAATATATTATTAGATTTCAAATCATCATGGAATAAGCTATTTTGATATGAATAATTAAAAATCTCTTCAATTTGATCGAGTAATTGTTTGCTCATTTTATCTAAGTGCTTTTTTCAACATAATTGAACCTGATTTCTATAATTCTTTTGTTTTTATCAAAAGTAATTTGTTTAGAATTAATTATATTGTTATATTTTACAATATTTCAAATGCTGATTATTATGTGTGAATTCTATATCCAGCCCCCTTTGTATTAATATTTTACAGCTAATACGCCGGTGAGACATCTTTCTGAAATATATATCATTTATCAATTCTATAATTCTGAATATAATTTTTCATAATATTATTATATATTTTAAACAAAAAAACTTTTTATATATTTAAAAAAGTCAAATTTTTCGGACTCTTGATAGCACATCTTCATAATATTTTCCTTGTTAATCAATGGATTATTGTTACTATACTTTTTGGTTAATAAAATGACTCATCAGTGCCCATTTTTACAGCATAAAATGCCTACAAAATATATACAGTGCCTAGTTCATAATACGTACTGAGTGTTTACTTATATATACTTATGGGAAATAAAAATTCAATTCTAAAAAACCAAAACAATACCTTTTGTCGTACTATTTAAGATTTAAATATGTTCAATTTTTCAGACCTACATTTAAATTGAAGTATAAATAAATCGATTTTCATCAAGTTTGATAAATAATATATAAACTATATATCAAATTTACATTTCGAAACAAAATTTCCAAAATAATTTTCACCACCTAAGCAGCAGAATTCGGTGTTTTGTATTTGCCAATCAAATACTTTTCTATTATGCGTTTTATTCTTAATGCACGCAACAGATTTTTATCGTGTTTGATTATCTCTGCACATTGATTAATTGTTAGATTTTGAATTTTAGGATTAGTTAATGAAAGAAAGCAGAATAAATCGCTGAGTGTTTCAAATTTTTTATTTAAGAGTAAGGACATGTTTGCTAAAAACTTAGAATTTTTGATACTTTATCTTAAACGCTTAATTTCCTTTACCCTTCTAACTGTCCCTGGTGATTTTTGCTTCAGTGACTAGATCATTTTATTATCATTTGGCTTTGGTAAATAGTCAGTTAAACCAAATAATTTGTTGAGGGTGCAATCAAATTTTTTTTTGAGCATCTTCTAAGAATTTTTGGTCTTCAAGCAGGAAATCGGCTGATAATGCTTCGAAATCATCATCGCAGGATTGAGCACCAGGGTTGGAAATATCCAGATTTTTATAATTAATTTGAAGTGTGAATTTAAAGTGATTAAAGATAAAGATGGCTTTTGGGTTTGTTATTTTTTACTAAAGTGCTTGCTTTATATATATTACCATCAAAGAGTGCGGCTCTATTTCCGTTGCCCAAATTGAAAATCAGATTGAGTCCGGAAAATCTCATAGCACATACTCATGATGAGGCTGTTGATCAGGTATTAACGGTGGACAAGCAATTCTTTAGCCACGTGCACCGGAATAATCATACTGCAGTTTTGAATTGATTTTGGTTTGGAAAACAGCGTGTAGTAAAACAAAACTGCAAACAAACTGGAAGAAATATATTTCAAATTAAACTGAAATGAAAGCAAACCGTTTCAAGAAATAAACGTTTTCTAACCAATTTGGACACTGGTGAAGCATATCTAAATGGTTGCCAAACATGATTCCTCTATTATTGAAGAACTTTGTTAAGCAAAGAGTACATATCAAGCACGCGACACGGGGATTGAATCCAAACTAATCTCAAACTCAAGGTTACATTGTAACAGATTGACTGAAAAATTGTTCGGAACCAAACTACGCTGGAAACAAACAGAAGATGCAATCCATCCGGCCCAAACAAACAATTTTGTTAAATTATCTAACAATTTGAATTGAAACTATTTGGTGCAGTACTGGAAGATGATGAAGAAGCATTGCATAGCATACAAGGTGAGGAAAATACGAAGCCGAAATGAATAGCAGGGTGAGTAAAATGTCTGACATTTGACATTTGGAGGAGAAATATACCACTCACAACGGAAAATATTAGAATACCAGACACAGTCGGAACGCGGCAAGTTCAGCAGCACCACCGGCAGCCAATAACTGGGAGAAATAGCCCCATCAGACTGGAATTGTGTAGGCTGCCAGCGATGAGGAAGAGCAATGCTGCAGAACTCAGATTCTGATTGGTGTGCTTGTGAACTGCCGGCATAAGCGGCACGTGCAGCAAGAAAGCGGCGAGTTGAGGGAGTCTAGAACTCTGCGCAACAGCAACCACGCTGCAGGCCGTATACTAGCTCAAGAGCAAATGAGTGGTGGGAACAACCTGGTAGGACTATTGTTGCTATTTTTATTGTTCCGCTAGTTTCAGAGCAGCGGGTGCGGCTCATATTGTTTCTTTTGTGAGATTGAGTGTGTGTGCAGTTTCGGCAGTTTGCAGACATGCAATTTCAAGAAAGTGCAAGCATGAACCACTGAAATGCTCCTTATCGCTGATGTACGGTCGCCGGCGACCTGGTAGCAGCCAGACAGAAGCAACTTGCCAAACCATGTATGGAGATTCTGAGGGTTGAAAGCAACATCCCACTATTTGGTTTGGCTGCTGGTGTTCCCAAGGGCACGATTGCTGGAACCGCAAGCCAAAAAGAAATCCCAGGCCAGGAACATTGGCCTGGAACTGGGCCTGGAACTGGGCCTGGGCCTGGGCCTGGGGCTGGCGATGAACGGATGCCAGAACACTAGCAGAACAGGCCAAATTGCTGTGCGCCGCCTGGCAGCAAGCCAGACAGCCCAGCAATCCATTTCCCACAGTGCTCGTAAATGCCCGCCGCGCTTCAAGTACGAGCTTCGTAACACAACACTACACTTCCTGTGGTCATGGTTGGCTGAGCGCTTGCATCACGGTGCAGACAGCGTCCGAGCTGCACAATCTATGATTGGCCTGCACATAAATACGAGCCTTGTAGAGCCATAGCACGCTCCAACGAACTGCACGGGCTGCATTCTACGGCCGAGACACCCAAACAAAGTCCCAATTTGAAGCTAAAAGCCAGTTTTTAAGCTTCAAAACAAAATTCAGGTTTCATTTTATTTTTTTCCTTTCAACGAATTTTCTTATAAAAACTTCACCTTTTCCTTTCCCTTTTTTCTGCTTCGCTTGCTCAATTTCTATCCTTTTTTTGAACTAAATTGTTTTTCTGTTTTATTATTTATTTTGTACATTATTGTTAATTTTTTCCATTTTTTTTTATTTTTACAATTTTTAAATTTTCAATTCTTACCACTTTTATTATTATTTTAATATTGTTCTGATATTATTATTAGTTATAATATCATTATTTCATTTATATTTTTACCATATCTTTATTTTCACAATGGTAAATCAGTCTCCCAATTTGAAGAATCTGAATCCCTCATCTCCTCAGCCGTTACCTGAAATACAAAATTTTGAAAGTGAAAATAACGTCAATAATGAAAACTCTAAAAAGATTTCGCCAATAAACCATGAAACTATTAAGTGCACTCAACTCACCACAATTAATAAAACCTCTGAATCAAGTGAATCAAGTGAATCAAATGAGTCCAATCAATTAAATATATCAAATATATCAAATAAATCAAATAAATCTAATGAACTAAATAAATCTAATAAATTTCTTAAACTATCTAAAACCCCAGAATTATCTGAATCAAATGAGTCATCAAATGATTCTCCAAATGATTCTTCAAATTCAGATAAAATCACTGAAACAAATAATGACAATAACTCATCCGATGAAAGAAAAATCTTTAAATCATTACCTTATGTTCCCTTTGACAAAGGTATCCCCAAAATTCAACAGCAATTTCAAAATTTCCAACAAAATCAAAAATTTAACTATTCTCAATACATCACTGAAAATATTAACATCTTTTCAAACTCAACTAAAAATACAAGACAAAATTCAACTTCAAATTTACTAATCAAAAATGCAAAGGAAAACAACCAATCAATCATCTCTTTCACCCAAGCCTTAAGAAATCCCTTACCTCCTTATTTTTTCAGCAAAACTGATGATTTTACAAACAACTCCTCCATCAGAAAGAGAAACAGAAACCGTAACCATTTATTTTCAATCAATCCAACTAAAAAACAAAAACTAAATTCAAATGCCGAACATTTAATTCTTCAATCAAATCCAAACAACAAACTTGTTCCTTTACTACCTTTGGTCCAAAAGAAATCTCCCTCCTCCACTTCCACCAACAAACTATTCCAAAATATAGAAATAAAGCCTAAACCAAATTCAACAACTCATACCTCTCAAAAATCTTATGTAAAAATCATCCGCCCATCTATACACAATCCTTCCGATAACACCTCATCAATCAACAATAAAAAACAAATTATCATTAAAAATAAAATCAACATCAATATCAAACATCTAAACAAAAACGCAAATACAAACACAAACACCAACACAAATACAAACACAAACATCTCTCAAGAACCAAACGGTCTTAATATTCCCAATAGCCCCAACAGTTCTGCTTCCAATGCCGATGACGACTATGATGCAAATAGCAACAACTCCAAAGCTAGATACGCTTCCAAAAAAAACACAAGAAAGAAGCATCGCAACTCTCACTTAGGTTGTGCTACCTGCAAATGTCGAAGAATCAAATGTGACGAAAAACTACCCGAATGTGGAAATTGTGTTCGTGCAAAATTACAATGCGCCTATTTGGCTCTTGACCCAATCGCAAGAGAAGCTCTAAAGGCTGCCCAAAAAGCTCAGGCTGCCAGAAGAGAAATTTCTGACTTGAATATAGCTTCTAGGCAAATGATCAAAGTTGGTTCTGGTGTCTTGTCTGGCAAAATCTCTCCTTTGAATCTATCTCTTTTTAGCAAAAATTTCAACGATCAAAAAATCATCGCTTTTCAAAAGACTCTTTCAAATTCAATGCCTTTACCTTCGAACTCTTTATCAGTAACTTTAAATCCAATCACTCTTTCGCCATCAGAAGGTTCAGATTCAACCCACAATCACTATCAATCACCCTCAAATAATGAAGAACAAAGCGTTGTCTCTGACAAAGAATCTTTCAATGAAACAACTGGTAACGAAGACACTAATATTGACAAAATCCCTAACATTCAATCACCCACTGCCAAGCAAAAGAAAACCAATTCTTTGCAACTATCTAATGACAAAATTCAAACAAATAATCAAATTCCTGCCACACAAATCGACAATAAGAAAAAAAATACGAATAAAAGAAAGCTGTTTGAAATAGCAGAATCTTCTCTAAAATCAACACCAAACCATAGTTTTCATGAAAACAACCAACGTAATTTGTCAATTAGTGATGATGGATCCTCATCATCAAGTCATATAATGAGCCAAAACCCCCCTTATTTTTGCTCCTCTATTTTAAAACCTCCATCTCAGTTTAAGGCTGAATGTGAATCTGAGGGCAGATCTCCCAGCTCTGTTTCAACCGTTCTTTCTCAAGATTTCAACCTTGAAGAGTCAAAATCTGAGATTGAAGCAAAAGTCAACGCCCAAACAAAATCAAAACTTAAAGAGCTCCCTCTTGTTGCAAATGCTCGTTCTCTTGTATTGCGCTCTTCTAAAAAGGAAAAAAATTCTAACCAACAATCGAAACACAATAAACCAATTGTTATGGCATACCCTCTTCCTTACCACTCGTTTAATGCACTACCTCTTAGTTCAAGACATCCTACCGAACCCTTTCTGCAACTAAATACATTGCCTCCTCAATTTCCAAACGGTTTAAATTTTCCATCGGATAATTATGATGATTCTCATCATATTGCTGACTTTAATTATTATCATTCACATTCACGTTCACATTTATATTCACATTCAAATACACACCCTCACTCTCCTCAATCTTCTCACTCTCACTCACATTCTAACTCACACTCACATTCACACCCACATAGACATAGACATCCTCATTTACAACCATATCCACCATTATCTCCTTCACAGCGTTTGCCTTTTAATTTTCAAAAAGTTCCATATGGCCCAAATTTTAATGACCCATCCATTCCTTTAGCTCATCCTCTTCATTCACCTAATCCAAACTTTATGGCTAATTTCCCGGGCTACAACAACGGTCATATCCCTTCAAACGTTTTTAACCAAAACAATCCCTATAATCCAAATAATAATCATGCTTATGATATTTATCCACCTAATGGTGGTCATCCTCCAAATGGCAATTATCCACCGAATATTAATTATCCTCCTAATAGAAATTATCCTCCTTATGGCAATTATCCACCTAATGTTAATTATCTCCCCAACATAAAACCCCTTACAAATCACAACTTTTCTCCTAACATTAGCTATCTTTCTAATCATAATCACTTTCTAAATAATAATTATTCTGCAAATAACACTTATGCTAATAATAATCTCCCAAATATTAGTGACAATCCTAATAGCAAAGATTTTAGTGCAAATAACAGTTATAAAAATAACGTTAGTTACAATAACAACAATAGCAATATTATACCAAACAACAACATTCAAACAAATAATGAAAATAATATAAATGTTCTGAATAATATAAATAACATGAACAAAATAAATCTCAATAACAATAACAATATAAATAATGATACTATAGAAAACGGTGATACTAACAACAACAATAATAATAATGACAATAGTACCAATAATAATAATAATAATAATAATAATAATAATAATAATAATAATAATAATAATAATAATAATAATAATAATAGCACTTCAAACCATCCGGTTTCTAATACATCCTCTGATTTAAAAGATAATTCCTCTAGGAACTCTCGTTCTGGAAGTCCATCTGATATTGATCTAAACAAAAAAGAAGATTCAAAGTCTAATATTACATTTTTACTAAACTGAATTCTAATCTTTCATTTCTTTTTCTTGTATAATCAACAACTTAGAGCAATTAGACATTGTTCAATTTTTAGAATTTTACGACTTTTGCTTTGAATTTCTTTGTGACAATACTTTTAAACAGGAAACCTTGTTGGTTAGATATCAACACGAGTTTAATTTTTTTCCTTCTCTTCTCTCCTCTTCTACTTTATTCTATTCTATTCTATTCTATTCTATTCTATTTGCTTTTTCATTCTTTCTCACGCTTTTATAATTTTTTCCTTTTTAATAATTGTTCTTTTATATTATATTTTTTAATTTTTTGTCATCTAAACACGATGATGAAAATATTTGTTACATTATTACAAACTTTTGTTTATTTCAGTTCTTTATTTTATCTGCTACTTTGTTTTATTAATGTCAATCGTTTTGAAAAAATGGTTTTTGAATATATTACTGTATATCATAGAATATTATCTTTTTTTATGTATATAAAATTAATTGTATAATCTATACATTTTTTATTTGCTGCTATAAAAAAATTACAATCGCTATCAGTAGTTTGGTGATAACCAGTCTTTTTGTACTAGGTTATAAATCTGTAATAAAAAAATTTGTTAGTTAGTTATTTTATATGCAAAAGAAAAGACTTGAAAATTTAAATTTTTCTGTTTTTACACATACATCTTGAACACTGGCATTGATAAATTGTCTAACTTCTAAAGCTAACCAAACCTTTATCATTGACAAGGTATTTTGATTTTGTAACAATCTATGACCATCTTGCAACCCCACTTGTCTTAAAATTGGAATAGCACTATAATTGAAATGAAAAAAAAAAAATGAAAAAAAAAATTAGTGAATGATTTTTAATAAAAGTAAGATAAAACAACTTTGATAAAAGTGAAACATACCTTGCAAATAAATCCAAATTAGGATTCAATTGTCTGCCAATTCCTTCCAATAGCAAGATTGCCACAATAACGTTAACAAAATCACCTTCCATTCTAACATGATGTTTTCTTACCATTGATAAACAATTTTCCAATAAATCACCTATAGAAACATTACCTAAAGTAAAAGTTCTTTGTTTAACCTTATCAACTAACCTTTCCATTTTTAAAGCAAAAATCTCAGAATCAATGGCTGTTTCGGGTGTCTTTGATTTTTCAATCATTAATTCACCGGCACGGTAGCCATCAAATTCTGCTAAAGCGTTAAATAAAGATATGAAATTTATACGATTGGGATGATTTAATTCAGTTACTAAACCTGTGTCAATGTAACAAATTTCTGGAGAAAAGCCCTTTGATATTAGGGTATTTAGTTGACTCAACCAGGCGTCATTATCATCATTCAAGTTTAATAAGTCCGTTGTCAAGTCATTCATTTGAATGTTGTTGTTATTGGATGAATTGAAGAATCTAACAAGGACGTTGCCTGGATGTAGATCCGAATGAATGAAATTATCGAGAATCAACATTTTAAGGAAGGAATCTAAGATTGCATTACTAATTAGTTTTGATAATTTTATATAACCGTTATAGGAGTTTTTGATTTCCAGTTTTTGATCATTTAAAGTTGAATTTGAGATTTTATTATTTAGAATCTGTTGCAAATGTAGCAATTTTGATAGAGAGATTCCGTGAATATATTCTTCTATTAAGATATTTTTTGAGGATAGAGATAGATAAGGCTGTGGAAATTTAATTTTAAATAACTGAGTTGAATCTGAGTAAATGTTGTTATTAGTATTGTTGAAGTTTTTTTTAAATTTAATTAGATTGAGAGCTTCATTTGTTAGATCCAATTGTTGGTTCATGAATAAGGAAAACTGATGAACTTCTTGGGGTAAGGATAGCCATTCCATTGTTGGAATATAATCGATGATGTTTGCAAAAACCGCCATAATTTTTACATCTCTTGATATCTTTTTTTTGACTTTTGGATGTAAAACTTTGATTGCTATCCATTGATTGAAGGATTTATTATTGGAATGATTTTGAATATTTAGGTGATTTTGAATAAAATCATTAGATAGTTTTGCAATATAAACTTGGGCAATTGCACCAACGCCAATAGGCTCCTGGTTAAATTGATCAAATAAATTGTTGAATTGATTTAAGGGAATATTAAAGGAATTGCAAATAATTTTTTGAGTGTAAGAAAAGGAATGAGGAATTGAATTTGAGTGCAAGTTATTTAATTCATTACATAGAAGATTTGAGAAAATATCATTTCTTGATGCAGCCCATTGGCCTAGTTTAATAAAAGATGGACCAGCGAATTGAATTAAATAGGTCAAAATCTTATAGTAGATTAAAGTGCCATATCTTTGGTTTGCAATTGTAATGTTATCTGATTTGATCTTTTGGCCAAAAAAAGATAAGGGATATAAAGGGATCAAAGGCGAAAAGATGATGGATAGTTCGATAAATCGAGCGATGATAAGAATGGGTTCAATTATTTTCAAGTTGACAAAATCAAGAATGATTTTAAAAACTGAAGGTTTGGTTTTGATTTGATTTTGATTTTGATTTTGATTTTGATTTTGATTTTGATTTTGCTTTCCATTTAAATTGTCATCCAGAATGCGCTCAAGATCAAGACAGGTCTTATGAGTTTGATCGTCGTGCAAAGTGGGCTCAGAAACACAATCATTGCGCAAATGACTAAATGAAAAAGAATAGCTATTATCCGAAAAAACTATTAGCGAAGAGGATGTAGATAACAAAAGAATACTGCAGAAAGAACCGAAGCCAAAAGTGCTTTGATGACTATGATGGTGGTGATTGCGGTGACGAGAATAGTAGCTGTAGCTGAAGGGAATCTGTCTGTGAAAGCGCCGGACGTGAATGAACCCATAAGAAAGCCATTTTCTGCCAGCACTAAAAGTGTTTCTGCTGCTGCTGCTGCCAACTCTGCTGCCAACTCTGCTGATGCTGACGCTACCTACTCTACCCATTGCTCACCTCTTTCTGCTGTGTTCACTCACACCCCAGTTTTCGAAGCTCATCTGTCTCGACTTTGGCACGTGCAAAAGTACCATGCTGGCTTTGTTCCGCGCTGGTGGTTCCTGCAGCATAAAGCCACTTTGGCGGGTTTGGCCTGGGCTGTGTTTTTTCCTGTTTGGGTTGTGTTGGTTTTTATGCTTCCTCTGCTTCCTCTGCTTCCTCTGCCAAAGCAGCTTCAGCTACAAATGTATCCAGGTCAAGGCCAGCAAAACTATTGTCCCAAACAATTCAGCTTTTCTCAGCACGACGAGTTGAATCAGTTTCCCGCGCCTTCTTTTGCTTCTGAGAGTTCTCATTTGAGAAGAAAACCACCAGCCTTACCTTCTGTTGCTTCTGGTTCTCCAAATCCTCCTTCTTTTTATGCTCAATCGTCCGACACTTTCTGTAGTAATAATAGCAATATAAACAGTTGGAATTCTATTCCAGTACCAGTTAATCCACCCCAACCTATTTCCAACCTCAATCATCGAACTTATATTTCTTCTCTTTCTCCTTCTCCTTCTCCTTCGTCTTTCACTTCATCTTCTAATTCTAATTTATATTCAGCTCATCCAAATTATCTGCAGCCTAACAATCAGAAATCTTTATATTCTTTCAATCCACTGAATGTTCAAGTTTCTCAACAACCAAACAGCAGAGTTAATCATTTTAATAACACTCAACTGAATAATACAAAACAGAAAACTTTTTATAATAATAATAACAATAATAACAATAGCAATAATAACAATAACAATACTCAAAAATATATACAAACTGAAACTAAAAATTATGATAGCGCTAAATATATAATTAACCCAAAGTTTAATAAAAATAATTATAAACCAAAAAAAAAGGCTCTTTTAATTGGTGTTAATTATTACAATACAAGAAATGCCTTAAAAGGCTGTATTAATGATGTTAATAATATTTCAAATTTTCTAGTTAAACATTATAATTTCAAATATCAAGATATGGTTATATTAACTGATAACAATAGCAATTTAATGAATATTCCAATCAAATCAAATATATTAAGAGCAATGAATTGGCTAGTTAAAGATGCCCAACCTAATGATTCGTTGTTTTTCCATTTTTCTGGCCATGGTGGCAGAACCCCTGATTTAGATGGCGACGAAGAAGACGGCTTTGGTCAGTGTATTTATCCTCTTGATTTTAAACGCAATGGTCACATAGCTGATAACCAAATGCATAAGATCATGGTCAAGCCATTGAAACAAGGAGTTAAACTAACTGCCATCTTTGACTGCTGCCATTCAGGAACTGCTTTGAACCTACCTTATGTTTACTCTTCAAAGGGTTTGGTTAAACACAAAAATTTATTAAAAGACACAACGGTAAACTCAATCGGTTTAATCTCAAATGCCTCAAATGGCGATTTCAATGGCGCATATAAAAATGCTTCCTATGTCTGTAAGAGAATAGCAAATAATAAAAGTAAATTGCAAAAAGAACAAATCATTAAAATGAAATCCTCTCTTGCTGATGTTATATCCTTTAGTGGTTGTAAAGATGATGAAAAAAGCGTTGATACAAGTTTTAATGGCGTCTCGATCGGCGCAATGTCCTATGCTCTTATAAGCGTTTTATCTGCGAGTCCACAACAAAGCTACATCAGTCTTTTAATTAGCATGCGATACTATCTAAAGGATCATTTTCAGCAAAAACCCCAGCTCAGCTCCTCCCATCCAATCAACGTTCAACACCAATTCACCATATAAGCCCAGCTCCTGGAGCCACCCATCGCACTGGTCCTTCTTGACGACCACTAGTGCGGACGTAATGCAGCTATTGCAGGACGTGCTGGGACACGTTAAACCACGCGTTCTCAACCCCAATTTGGACGAAAACCCCTAAATATCTAGCCAAAAACAACAAAACAGAAAACTAAACGTGCAGATTTGAATGTGTTGCGTTCCAAACAGGGGCTGCTGCATGTATTCTCGGCACGGTTTCCGAGAAATACCTTCTTGTTGTGATTGTAAAAGGGATGCCGCTTTGGTTTGCCCAAAAACCACAAAAATAGTCTTTCTTCAAATAGAAAGCCTGTAAAAATCCAATATAAACAAATAAATATTTCAATTTAACTTTGCATAGGCTTAAACTTGTTCCTTCATCTATCTCTTTTTATTTCCTAGTTTTTATCTTTTCGACTGTTTTTAATTTTTATTCTTTATATTTGTGACATTAATTTATCTTGAAAACCTTTTTTGTTTCAAGTATCTTTAAGATTTGATTCAATCATATAAATATCTTTCAAGAGTTATCTTTTCTTGTTTTTCAACAGCTCTCAACTTGTTTGTTTATCTGTTTTCTCTGTTTTCATTGGGAAAACTTTTTTATCTTTCTTTTATCTCTAAAATCCTGAATCTATCAATTACATAATGGCTGATGTCCCAGTTATTGATACTAGTGATGATGAATTTAGCTTTGCAAACAAAACTGCTCCTGCTGCTCTGAATGTTTTCAGATCCACCCCACATGGAATTCAAAATAAGAGGCCATTAAGAAGAAAATCACAACAATTTTCTTCTTCAAATGTTAATAACACCATCGATGATAATCTAACAAACTTTTTAATCTCTCCGTTTAATCCAATTTCTGCCCAAAACAAAAACTCCTCCACAGCTAAGAGAGTTCCCTCCTCTTTACCAAGGAATTTCAATCATAATAGATTAAACCATAGAAATTCAAAAAAATCAAAATCAGTTCGAAGAACAATCACTTTCAATACTTCATCTCAAAATTCGGTTTTATCCAATAATAATTCCTACATAAACCATCAAAATAGTAATAATCAAACCCCTTCTACCATTAAAAAAGTATCTAAAAACGTTTTAATAAACGAAAAACAAAAACTTGACAAAAAATTCCTGAAATTAAAACAAAATCAAAATATCGATTCTTCAATTGAAAAAGAAAATTTGGTTCTATTAGGCTCAAAATCTCAAAAAAAGGACGATTCTCTTAACACTAAGAAAACCAATAATTCTGCAAAAACTAATAATATTAGAAGATCTTTAAGATTAAGTCAAAAGCATAACTCCTCTCCATCTATTATAAAAACTAGTAGATCCAGCACAAGAAATAGCAGTAACAATTATATAATAAATAATCAAAATAAGAATCTTATCAATGATATTGACAATTCCAGCTCAGAATTCGAACCTTTAGAACCGAGCAATTATGAAAAAACTAATGATAAAGATAATGGCAAAAAAAATGAAAATATTCAACAAAACCATTCTGATGATCACGATGATTCAAATAGCACCATAGATATTTCTAATGGTTCAATTGATCTTGATGAAAGTCCAACGCCATCTTCTTCAAAACCCTCTCGAAAAAATTCAATACTAAACAGAAATTCTTTTGCTTTATCGCCTGTCTCATTCACCAATAATAATAAACGTAAATCAAATTCATTAAATAACAATGAAATCCTGAAAACTGATAATCAAGATATAATTAAGAAAAGAAAACTTGAAGAATTCTTTTTGTCCAGCGATGATGAATTTGAAATGATCTATCCAACCACAACATACGATAAAATATCTTATTCAAATGTTATTGCTAATTCAACATTACACAACACTGATCTCGATTATCAAAAAAATGATCAAGAAAACAATCATGGTCATTCACCTAACGAGACTAATAACCTCGATAAAACCTCAACTTTAAATGACAGCAATCAAGAAAAATCAAACCAAGATTCAAAATTTAATAATGAAAAAATAAATAATAATGAAAAAAATTCTGTAAACAATGTTACTGTTTCCATCAGCCCATCAACTCCACCACACCCTACTGAACCAATTAATGTCTCTCCAATCACTGAGCAGGCCTCCAGAATTATTGATAATTCATTTTTAGATCTAGATACAAATAAACCTGTTGAAGTGAAAATTTTTGAAAGTCCACTAAAAAAACACGATAATCATCAAGAAACAAAAAATCAAATTTTACATGAAAATATATTAGAATCTCTAGAAGATAATTCTATTGATCAGCATGATAACAATATAAATGGGAATAATTTTATCAATAACCAAAACAACAACAACAACAATGATAATGATGATAATGATGATGATGATGAAAATGAAAATAATAATACCAATACCAATACCAATACTACTACTATTACTACGACTACGGCTAATAATAATAATAATAATAATAATAATAATAACAATAAAAATAGTAAAATTAATGACAATATTCTTGGAAATGTCCTTGATAATCTCGTTGAAAACGATGAAAACGATGATATTGAAATCGAAAAGGAATTAAAAAATATTCTTGCTGAAGAATCTGATCTTCGTGAACTAAGTGAAGTTTCAATTAATTTAAATGATTTAGAAATTTCAGGAATTCAACCTATTCAAGATAGTATTGATAGAAGAAAAATCAACCAAAAAATCAATGATAGAGATGTTAATGATATTAATAATAGTAATAATAATAGTAATAATAATAGTAATAATAACAATGAAAAAATTGGTAAAAATTTGAATTCACTTTCGTCAAATGAAGATATCATAAATAATGATATTCCCATATATACATTAGGCCAATTTAAACAAGTTTTAGTTGGATATTTAGACAATGTCAAAGAATTTAGAAATGAAGTGAACGAAAAAAATGCTGAAATAATTGGTATTAAGAAAGAAAATTCGAAAAAAAACCTAAGAATACTAGAATTGGCGAAAGAAAACCAAAAGATTAGCTTGAATAACAAGGAACTTACTGAAAAATTAAGATTATCACAAACTCAATTTAGAATTTTTGATAAAAACAAAATGATTTATGAAAAGATATTTAAAGAAAAGACTAACAAAATCATTTCATATCAGAGAATTTTAAATAATTTGAGAAAAATTTCCAAAAAAAATGAAAAAGATTTAATAATATGCAAGCAGAATTTAAATAAATTAAATAACAATCTTTCATTGGTTAGAAATCAAAACATATCATTGATTAATGAAAAGGAAGTATTAGAAAAAGAACAAGAGGGGTTGCTTATATACAAAATGAAATGTGAAGAAGAGATTGAAGAATTAATGAATATGAATGAAGATAAAAGGGTAAAAATCGAAAAAATTGAGATTGAAATTGAAGCGGTTCGAAATAAATTGAATATGAGTGATGAAAGAATTGGGAAATTAGAAGCTAATATGAATGAGAAAGAGCATGACATTAGAATGATAAGTGATAGCCGTGATAAGTTGAATAAAGAAATTGCCGAGATTACTAAAGAAAAAGAAAGGGTATGTTTAATTAACAATAAATTAAACAGTGATCTTGAAGAAATTAGAAAGGAAATTGAAATTAAGAAAGAAAAAAACGAGGAGATAATTAAAGAAAATGAGGAATTGAAAAAAATGATTAAGGTTAAGAATGAAGAAATCCAACAATTCGACATTAAGTTCAGTGATATTAAGGAGACATTGGATAGGATTGTTAAGGAGAAAAAGGATAGAGAAGAACATATTAGTGATGCAATTGCTCAAATTAAATCATATAGTGAATTGACCCAGGAATTAAAAGAAGATAAAGAACAAGTTGAAAAAGTAAACGAAAAATTGAAAGAAGAAATTATTCATAATAATAGCAAAATATTGCAAAAAGATCTGAGGATCAAAGAAATGGAAAAGTTGATTGAAAGTAAGAATGAAGAGTTGAGCGAGAAACAAAATGAGATATCGAAGTTATCAGATGAAAATGTTCGAATTAATGGGGATAATGTCGAAGAGTTGGATAAATTTCATATCCAAATTAATAATTTGCAGAACTTGATTGTGGGTAAAAATAAAGAGATCACGTTATTGAAGGAGAAATTGTCCAGTTTGAGTGAAGAAAATGAAAAGGGTGGAGAGAAAATTACCCAATTAATCAAAGAAAACAATTCATATAAAAAGGAAATTGAAGGTTTGAAAAATAAACAAATATCAAACGAGAGAAAGACAGAAGAAAGATTGAGAAAACTAGCAGAAGATTTGTATGTGCAATACTCAAAGAAACATGAGCAAAAAGTGGGAATATTGAAAAAGGGATACGAGACCAAATGGCAAAGCAAGTTGAACAGTGCCCATACAGTGAACGAGAATTTAAAAAGAGAAATACAAGGAATTCGAGAGGAATTGAAAACAGAGAGAAAAGAAAAGGGCGAGTTGATCAAGCTTTGGGACAAGTTGTTGAAGATGGAAGACGCAGGTAGCAGAATTGAGGACAGTGAAGAGAACAAATCGACTGGTGGCGGCGAATTGAAAGAAGGAGAAACAAAGAACAATAGGACAATAGTGATGTAGCAGCAGGACGATAGCAAGACGATACAAGACAATAGCAAGACGATAGCAAGACAATAGCTGGATAATAACAAGATGGTTGCTGGACGATTTCTAGACCGTCGATAGATAAGACACACAAGTAATATACACCAGAAGCCGAGAGCCAGCGCTGGGGGAGAGAGCCATATGTTTGGAACTGATGCTGAGTGCTGCAAGATCAGCATAATAATGCTTTTAGAAGCGGTCTTTTGCATTGGATGGGCGCGGAGAAGCGTTCTGCGTGGAAAACGTGACCAGCGCAGGTCTGCCGCTGCGGTGGAAGCGGTGTGAATTGGTATAAATTTGGACCAGTTTCTTCGCTTCCAGCTTTTTTTCTTTTCCCTTTCTTTTTCCCTTTCCCCTTCTTTTTCTTGTTTTTTCTTTTCCTGAAACACAGCAATCACATTCTTCATCGTCGTCTCCAGAACCTCAAGCACCACAGTCACCAGAGATCTCTGCTTTGTTTCTTTTCTGTTTCTCAAGGCTCCTCCTATACTATATTTTTTCTCTGTCTCTTCAATTCCACTTTCTCCAACCATTTGTATTCTAATACCTATCCATCACTCTCCCTTTCCATTTTTCTACTCAGCATTTTGATTGTTTTTCTTTTTCTCTTATTGCCTATTTCTTATTATATTTTAGAAATCTTATTTCATTTTTTATACTTTATATTTTATTTCTATTCAAAAGTTAGTTTTCTGCCGCTTTTGAATTTCTCCAGGTTTCTCAATACATCAAAATGGATTTTCATATTCCTTCGATCGCCCCTACATCTGCTACTGCTACTTCTACATCTACATCTACATCTACATCTACAAATGCTCCTGTTTCTGCCACATCTCCATCCACTGATAAAATCACCGCCTCTTCTAATCTATCTCAAACCAACGCCGATCTCAATGATTTATTGCTCAATAATTTAAGCAGCTATGGTAAATCGTATTATTTATCCTCCAACTCTTATGATTTATCCTCTCAATTGAACGAATCTTCTGTCTTTCCAATCTCCGCCAATTCCAATAACTCAAATAGCTCAAATAATTCCAATTCCACTAACAGCGCTAATATTTTAAACGTTTCTGGTGAATCCATTGGCTCCAATTCAGACAAAAATTCCTCTGATAACATAAATAATATCTCAAGTTTAAATTCAATCACTTTAGATGATTTGCCGATTTTACCCTATGAAAATGCTTTTAGTTGTCCTGGAAAGGCTTTATTAGTAGGTGGTTATTTAGTTTTAGATCAAAACTATAAAGGTTACTCCGTTGCTTTATCTTCAAGAATGCATGCATCTATTTCCGCAACTTCTTTGTCTCAACAAGAAACTATCAACAACGATTTATTATCTGATCATAATTCAGTTTCCTCAAATTCTTTTCTTCAAGACGAATTGAAAACGCAAAATGAAAAATTATTTATTCAGGTTCAATCTCCTCAATTTAAAAATTCAACCTATAACTATACTATTAACTTGAATCAAGATTTCTATTCCTATCAACTTATAGACAAAAATTCAAATGAAAATAAATTTATTGAACAATCAATTGAATCTGTTTTAGCTTATGTTCAGCCTAAAAAATCAATGAAAATTAAAATTCTTATTTATTCTGATTCGGCGTTTCATTCTCCAAACGATAACGATTTTACTCCCAAATCCTCTTCCAATAACTTAAAATCTTTTGATTTTTATAATAATTCAATTGATAACATTCCAAAATCTGGTCTCGGTTCGTCTGCCTCTTTAGTAACCGTTTTGACAGCTTCTTTATTATCTCTTTTCAAACAAAATTTATTTTCTTTGAATTCAAATTTACCTAATGAAAAGGGCAAAGAGATCATCCATCATTTAGCTCAAATATCTCATTCTCTAGCTCAAGGTAAAGTTGGTTCAGGTTTTGATGTTGCTTCTGCTACTTATGGTTCTATCATGTATCAAAGATTTTCTCCAAATATTATCAATGAATTATCCTTTTCAAAGAAAACCTTATCAAAGATAAAATATTTGCAATACTTTGAAAAAGTTGTAGACTCTGCTTGGGATTACCAAATTGATATAATGTCTTTACCTCCACAAATTAAAATTTTGATGGCTGATGTCAAAAGTGGTTCAAAAACCCCTCAGTTGGTTTCAACTGTTTTAAAATGGAAAAGAAATAATCCTGCTTTAGCTAACGAGTTGTTTGAAGAATTAAATAAAAATAACTTAAAGCTAATTAAAGATTTAAATAATTTGGAACTAATTTCAAAAAATAAAGATAACTCAGAAAGTTATGCTGAAATGATCTCTTATTTAGATGATTACTCAATCATTCAATTGAAACACCTATTAAAATTGAAACGCGGTGTTTTGGAAAAATTAAGACCTATTTTTAAAACTGTAGAATCAATTTCTCAAATCAGAATTTCTCTACAAAAATTAACAGAACAATCCGGTGCTGAAATCGAACCCCATTCTCAATCTGTTTTAATTGGCAACTGCTATATTTTACCTGGTGTTATTGGTGGTGTTGTTCCAGGTGCTGGTGGATATGATGCTTTGGCTTTATTAGTCTCAAAATTAGCCATTCCTAAAATCAAACTTTTAACTAAAACCGATAGACCATTGACTTCTGAAGAATTGACTAGTTTAGTTACCAACGAGAGTCATAATCAAAAACAATTTGATAATATTGATATTGAAAGCATTGATAAAAAATTGTACACTGATGTTACTTGGTTAGAATTAGAAGAACAAAAAGTAGGTATTTTGCATGAAGATCCAATTAATTATGAAGGTTTAGTTTAAACACAATCATTATAACCTTTTACGTTAAAAAACAAAAGTTTTTTCTCAAAAATTAAACAATTGAAAAGAAAAATCCAAAGTTTAATTTTTTTACCTAATCAAATATTATATGCCTTTTTACAAGTATAAATCTACTTTAATTATGTTTTTTTTCTTTCAAAATAGCTATTTTATTGTTTATTTTATTGAATACGTTGCTTATGATCCTAAAATAATGTTATCCCTTTTTTTTTGATATTTATTTTGCTCTGATTTAATTATTCGTTTTTGTCAATTGATTTCGATTTTTGAATTTTGTTTTGATCATTCATTTTTGTCTTTCTTCATCTTTTATTATTAATTGTTTATATTATGATTATGATTATATTTTTCATATTAATGAAACAAAAAAAGAATTAAAACTAAAACCCAAGATTATTTTCAACAAATTCTAAGAATAATTTTATGTTATAATTTTTTATTTTTTATTTTTTACTTTTCATTTTTCATTTTTCATTTTCCATTTTCATTTTTCATCTTCTATTTTATATTTTATGGCTTTTCATCTTACATTATACTATAGTGTAACTCCATATTTATATTTTTAAATGAAAAACAAGTTTTATTAGCTAGATTTATATGAATTGTAAATTGTAGTTCTTTAGCATTTTAGATAATAGAATCAATGGCTAACACCATCAAGCATGTCATTACGAACTAAATTGGCCCAAAAATAAATAGCAGCAGCACCAGAAGGATTTGTTCTTAAACCTCTTCTTGCGACAATTCCATCGTGGGCGTTAAGTGAATCAATCAAAACAGGAATTTTGATCCAATTTAAAGAGTTTAAAGATTCATTCATTTTGATTCTTTTGGAATCAAAATTTAAATGATTGTTTAAATGTTTTTGAAAGACTTCACATTCAATTTGATTATTGTTTAACGACGATGATAATTTCTGTTCAATTGAGTTTTCTTTTAGAAATTTTGAATACTTATCTAAATCTGAGACTAATATATTACTTAGATCATTGTCATTGTCATTGTCATTGTCATCATCATTATCATCGTCATTATCATCATCATTTTTGTTGTTATTGTCATTATTTTTGTTATCCTTATCATTATTAAAATGTGTGATCTCATTATAAATTTGATTATATATTTGGTTATAAATCTGAAACCATTTTTCATTAAAATCAAAAGGAATCGTATTGAAATTGATTCTAAATTTACTCAATAAGACACCAATAATGCTAAAAATTGTTATACTGAAAAACCAAAGAGGGAACACAAGAAGAAGTAGTAGATAGAAAAGAAAATTATAAAACAACAAGATTTGTGGGCAAGCAAAAATTCCATTATTGTTAGTAGGAGCAACGGTAGTAGTGGTGGTAGTGTTTAAATCTAGAATTTTTGGAGTAATTTCAATGAATTTGTTGTGTTTTTTAAATATTTTAATGGAGGGAATATTTTTTATATAAATTAAATTTAAATTGTTTAAATTATTAAAGGGAGATATATTCACAATGTAAGAGGTATAGAAAGATACGGTTCTATCATTTTTAATATTTGATAGTAAATAGAATTTTTTAAAAGATTTCAAGCCCTTAAAATAGATATCATCTGGAGAGGATAAATTTAGTAAGATATCATTGTTAAGGAACAATTCATTGCCAGATAGGTTTAAAAAAATAGGACCCAAGAAATTGAGAGTGTTAGTGAAGGCGATTTTTAAGAAATTGAAGTTGAAGTTATTAAAATTATTAAAATTGCTAATGTTGTTAATATTGCTAATATTGTTAATATCGTTAATATGGTTAGTGTTTAATGGTTTATTATGGTTAAAAGAAGAATAAAATTTGATACCAAGATGAGGAGTGGCAAAAGTGGTAAAATAAATTGGAGCAATTGAGTTGAAAAATTTTAAATTATACAATAAACCTATTAAATATCTTGATATTAAACCACCATGGGAATAACCAATAAAACTTATTTTGACAATTTTTAGATTTTTTTCAGTGTATAAGAAGAGAATCTCTGAGAAAATTTCGGATAGGACTCTTAAAGAAATTATATGCAAACCGTCATAGGTTTTAAAAAAAGCAGTGGTAGCAGGTTTAAAGGTTACGATTTTTTCGTTATTAATGACAGGCAAAGTATTTAAAATGATTTTCTCGATAGACCTCATATGAGAGGGAGCACCCCAAAGACCATGAATCAAGACAAATAAGTGAGCATTTGAGATTTTACTGGATTTGGGCATTTTAAGATAACACGATAAGAGTTGAAAAAGAACCCAAGGAATTGAAACACATAAAAAAATGAAAGAGAAGAAAAAGAAGAAAAAGAAGGAAAAGAAGGAAAAGAAGAAATTACAGTATTTATACTCAAATAAAAAATAAAAAGAGCAAAAACGAGAATCGGAATTGGGAATTGGGAATTGGAATTAAGAAGAGGAAAAGAACTAGAAGCATTATAATATGCTGATTAGTGAAAACTTGTGTTTGTGAAAAAGGATTCAGCGGAACAACTTTAATGTTTATTAAACCTTCTATTGAGCTATTTACAGGGCAACCAGAACATTTCGAGTGGCTCTTCTATCGCTTGCCCATAAAGGTACCATTCTGGCCCAACTTCTGCATCTGCTCGCCAACCTTGACGTTGACATCGAAGTATTTGGCAACACACCTGTCGATACAAAGACCTTCATTCTTGTTGATATCGCCCTCGTAGTAGCTGGAGGAAGAAGTGATGCATTTGGAGTGGCATGTGGAAACTAGCCTGTTGAACATATCTGTGACCATGTCCAACTCTGCTTCAGCAGCAGCAATTTTCTGTTCTGACGAGAGCTTGGGTTGAGCAGCACCAAAACCAAGAAAAGACATTATCGGCAGTAGCTATAGGGAGCAGCATCAACAGAAGCACAGGTAGCAGAGGCGCCGAAATCAGCAAACGCAGGAAGACCACCGTTGCTCCACAGCTCGGCCCTCCCGTGCAAAATTTGCAAGCACGTGTTGATACCGGAAATCAGCGGCGGTCTGATGCTTTTCTGCACGTGTAATTTTTTTCCACGCAGACCGGTCACCACGTGTCCTCTTCTCTCGATTCTGCCGCCGTTTAACTCTTGCTCCTATTCCATCTCTTCCTCGCCCACCTCTTCTTCTCCTGCTTCTTCTGCTTCTTCTGCTTCTTCATCTCCATAGTCAATTCCCTCAACATGAGTCGCTCAATTGATTTTTCCACTCATGGTTCCAGAATCACTGAGGTCTACAACTCTGTATTAAATAACGATCCAAATACCTCTTGGTTTATCTTAACCCCATCGCCAAACTCTTCATCTTTGTCTTATAGCCCCAATTATACTGGCAATGGTGATATCAACGAATTTCTTGATTCTTTTAAAGATTTAGATTCCTCTAATATCATCTCTTTTGGTTTTATCCGATTGAAAATCGCCCATTCAAATGTTTTAAAGTTTCTAATCATCGGTTATTGTCCTGACACTGTATCAATTAAATTAAGATCAAATTTCAATTCTTATTTTAATAAATTACTATCAATTTTAAACCGTTATCATATTCAAGTTCAAATTAGAGATGAAGATGACTTGGATCCAACTGAACTATTAAATAAAGTCACAAATGCCTCTGGTGCTACCTATTCTTCTCAACCACAATCTTTTTCAAATTCTTCCCCAAAAAAATTCCAATCTTCCTCTTTACCAACCCAACAAAAAAAATCTTCTGTTCCAATTAACAAAAATCAATTTATCCCCAAACAATCTTTTTCTTCACCTCAAAAACCTTCAACTTCTTTTAAAAACTCTTCCTTCCCAATTAAATCACATTCAACTTCTTTTAACAATAAAAAGCATACCAGTTCCGACTCAGATAATGATGGTTGGGGCGATGTTGAAAAAGTAGAAGAAAGAGATCTTCTAAAAAACCCAATCAAACCTGTTCCATCAGCTTACAAACCAATTAACCCCAATAAGATATCCTCCCCAAAATCTATACCTCTAAGTTTTTCTCCAAATTTATCTTTAAACTCTCCTAAATCTTCCAAATTTAATAATATCGATAACCAAGATTTATCTGATGATGAAAAAAAATTTAAACAAAAATTAAATATTTTTAATTCAATTGAAAATTCAGAATCTTCTAAAACTTCTCAATTACCTCAATCAAAAAAATTATTTTTGTTACCAAAACCAAAGATCGTTAACTCTGTTTCTGATAAATTTAAACCTGTTCAATCTGCTCCATCCTATAAAAGCTATTCAAATAAAAATTATATTGATAATAAAATTGATCAAAAAGATAAAATCATTTCTGGCGCTTCAAGAAATTTTGCTGCTTCAAATGGCAAAACCCCCGCTCAAATATGGGCTGAAAAGCATGGTAAATACGACTCTTCTTTTAAATCTGATTCTCCTGTAAAGTCTTCATTAGCAGAAAATAAAAATGAAATCCCTTCAAAAAGAAACGATTTCCAATTTAATAAAATTTCCAATTTAGGTAATAAATTTGATAACTTGTCGGTTAATAGCACCAATGAAACCGATAATGAAAACACTCATGAAAACACTCATGACAGTATTCATGACAACGAAAGGGTTTCAATTAAAGTTCCAATAGCTGTTACTTCAACAAATTCTTCGTCTTTTCTTCCTCCTCCATCTGGCCCATCTATTCCAAAAAGAGATAATTCTTCTTTTCTTCCCCCACCACCTGGTCCATCTCTCCCTAAAAAAGACAATTCAACCTTTCTTTCTTCTCCAACTAGTCCTTCCAATTTGAAATCTTCCGGTTCCGGTGTTTCTTCAACTCCCCAGCCTCCTTCTTCATTACCAAAACGTGAAGAACCCAAGTATGAAGAAATTGATTCTTCATCTGAAGATGAAAATCCTCAACAACTGATAAGTCAACCTCCTCCCCCAGTCTTACCCTCAAGAACTTATCAATCTGAAGATCCAAAATCGCTTGATCTGTCTAATAAAGTTCCTGCTAAGGATACTACTCCTTCTGTCGCCATAGCTGCAGTTGGTGTAGCTGCTGTCTCTTCTGTAGTTGCTAACACTGCAGTTAGCTCTTCATCCAAAAATGGAAATACCAATAACATAATTGCTTTTGCTTTATATGATTACGATAAATCTGATGAAGATGAAATTGAATTCAAAGAAGGTGAAAAGATTACTGAAATCTTATTTACAGACGCTGATTGGTGGCAAGGTAAAAATGCTAAAGGTGAAGTTGGTGTATTTCCAAGTGCATATGTTGAATTAGAAAAAAAATTATCCGATGATGAAATTGCTGATAAAATAGCTGAATATCAATCTCAGTTTGAAATTGATCAACAAACAGAAGAAGAAAAATCAGAACTTGAGCCTGAAGAAAAAGAACTAATTGCAGGACAAACCGAAACAGATCAATCATGCGTTGCAATATATGATTATGCTGCTCAAGAACCAAATGAATTATCATTTAATGATGGAGATAAAATTATCAATGTTGAATTTATTGATGACGATTGGTGGTTAGGTGATTTAAAAGGTCAAAGAAAATTATTTCCTGCAAATTATGTCAAATTATTGTAATATGGCCATATATATATATATGTTTCTATTTTGGTTATTTTTTACGGATTTTATGTTGTTTTTTTTGATTTAAAATTAAAAATTTTATAAAATTATATATTGAATAAAGAACAATAAGTGTCAGATGAAAAAAGACACCACAAAAAAAAAAAGAAAATCATTCTTAAAAAAAGAAAATCATTCTAAAAAAGTGAACAATCATTTATAGCCTTCAAATAAACTGTATATATGTAATTGAAACTGATAAGGAAATTAACAAAAAAAAATAAAAACCCAAGAACTAAAAGTGTATTATTATTGAAATTTAAGATAATTAATAGTCACCAAATGAATAATCACCTGAAATCCATCTATTGAACATATCTAATGAAGAATTAGGTTGATCGTAAGGAACCATATGACCTCCATTGAACAACCTCAAGAAAGTAAAATTTTTATAATTTTTAAACTCACCAGCTTCTTCGCCATCATTTGTAATAAATTTTTGTAAAGACTTTGCAGAGTATTGAGTGTGATGTTTATATGGCAAATCATTTGACCAAGCGTTATTACCTAGCCAATTGCAAATAAAGTCTTTATCACCAGCGTAAATTAGAACAGGTAAATTTTGATTCAAAAGTTTAGTGACAGCGTTGTGATAAGGTTTCATCCAATCACCATTAAACAAGAAATTTCTGTTAATATCCATATTACAGCTTTCGTAATAATCGACATCAGCACCAACAGCATTTTTAACAAAATCTTGGTTTAAATAATTGTCAATATTTTTCAAGTCTTTGTAACATAAATTACCTTCACAGTCCTTTCTCATATCATAAACGTTTTTACCGGTTCTTTGATAAGCTGAAAAGGCTTGGTTGTTACAATAAATTGAAGCAGGAACACACGACCAAACAGATTGAGAATTGTAACAAGATTCAATTAACGATAGACATCTTGGTTCGGACTGCAACATTTGATCACATTCATCAGGAGTTAGCACCGAAGGTTCACCACCTTCACCACAGGCCATTGGTTCGTAATACTTGTATTGAGTGAGCGGATCAGTTAAACCGTTACCAATTAAAACCGATTTGAGGTTGAAATTTAAATTTGAGTTTGGAGCCAATTGTTGATCAAGAATATCAGAAGCAAAAATAGGAATATAATGACCAGCATAACTTTCACCAGCAATATGGAAATCTAAATGAGAGTATTGGGGAAATTTGTTAAAAAATAGTTTCAAGAAAGCCAAGACATCCTTTGAAGCTGCTATAGTGCTTGAAACCGAATTTGAAGAATAAGAGTAACCAACATTAACAGGCTGGTCGAGAAAGATTACAGAAGCATTATTGTTCCAACTAAAGGGGTTTGAAACAGGTTGTAGTTTTGCATCGATTGAAGAGGAGCCTAGTTCAAAAAATAAGCCAGTTAAAGATGAACAACCTGGACCACCATTCAACCATAAAACAATTGGATCATTTTTGGGATCATTTCTACTTTCAAAGAACCAATAGAAAAAATGTTTATCCTCGTCTTGAACATCTAAATAACCCGAGTATTGTTTAACAGTGTCAACTCCTAAAGAAAGAGGGCCATTCGAATTTATTCTCAAATTGTAATTGGATAGTGTGGGGTCGTTATGGTCAACGAAGGAGTGAGTTGATTCGTAGTTTGATTTAAAATCTTTGACTATTTTTGCTTTTGAAGAGGTTTTGAATTGCAAATTGGACAAAAGAAAGGGATGGTCCTTTTCTAAAGAGGACCAGATGGACCTGATTTCATCGGTAATATACGAGGAAGAAGAGGCAATTCCATCAAGACCCAAAGAGCTGATGAGCTTATCCAACAAGGAATCAGACTTGGGGGCCCAAGAGAACGGGACCTGAGCACCTAAAACAGCGGAAGAAGAAAGAAGAGCTGAAAGCAAGCAGTTGGACAATCTCATAGTTGAAAATGGGACAGATGAAAACGATAATCCAGAAAAAAAAGAAAAAAGAAGAAAAGAGAAGAGAAGTGGTTTGAGAAAAGAAAGGAAGTGCAATGGTTTATATAGATAAAGATGGTAATGGATTGATAATGGGGTTATTAGCAACCTTATCCAGCGCGCCCGTCCGATTGGCTCCAGCCTAACGTTGGCCGACGCATGGCCCAAAGGAGCAAAATGTTAACACTTGCAGGTCGCCACCAAAAACCTCAAAGGGTAATACTACAGCACGTGATTTGTATTACATAAGAATGCACGTGCTAAATCACATGATTACCCAGACGCGGTTGGAGCCACGTATTTCTTTCTGGCGGAAGCGGGTATAAATAGCGCAGCAGAGGCGGCAGCACCAGGCCTGTTCCTCTTTGCCTTCTTCGTCTTCTTCGTCTTCTTCGCCTCTCCTACTTTGTTCACCACCGTTGACTCTTTTCTCCAGACTCACAATGCCTGTTTCTCTGTCTGTATCGCTGCTGGAGTTTTCTGATCATCGTCTGAACTACCCAAGACCTCAAAGAAAATATGTTAAAGGTCCTGATGCTGCCGCTCACAAGAAAAAATTAGAGGCTGTTTACCAGGAAATCAAATCAATTGACGAAAAACTTTCAAAACTAAATAACCAAATTTCTAATTTATCCATCAACAATGTCAAATCATCTCAATCCAATGAGCCCCTTTCAAAGGACGAATTGAAAAAAAAAATTGATAAATTAAAAACCGACCAAAATACTTATAATTCTAAAAAAACTTCTTTGCAAAACTCTATTCATTCAAATGAATTGGAATTGAAAAAGAAAATTGCAGATTTAAACAACTTGAAATCTGGTTCTAAATTGTATAAAACTTATAACTTTAAATCTATTGATCAAATTAATGATAAAATTGCCGAAATTCAATCCTTATTGGATTCCGGCAGTTTAAAAATTGTTGATGAAAAAAAAAAATTAAAAGAAATTAACTCTCTTAAAAAATTTAAATTAGATTTTAATAATTTTGATTCTCATCAAAAAAAAATTGATGCTCAATCATCCGAAATAAGTGAGCTAAAATCAGCCTTGACAACTTTAAATAAATCTTATAATATTAATCAAATTAATTCTCAATTTTCAGATTATAAATCCCAATTACAATCAATTTATGATTCAAATCGCTCTTCCTATTTGAAGAAAAACACTTTAATTGAATCAAAAAGATCTTTGATAAATGAAAAAAATACAAAGTACGATCAATTATCCACTTTAAAGAAAAATTATGATCTTTCTTACTCAAAATTTTTAAAAGATTTAAAATCAGAACAAAAAAGATATCAATCTAAAGAAAAAATCTTAGTAAAATTATCAAATTTATTTGAAAAGAAAAAAAATGTTCAAAATGACTTATTAATTTATAAAAACAAAGGCTTATTAATTCAAAATTTAATTCGTTACTTTGCTAATTTAATCAACAAAAAATTACCAGATGATCTTTTAAACAATCTTAATTCCAATAACAATAACATTAGTACTATCAACCATATAGATGACACTATTAACAAAAACATCCCAAAAAGAAAAATCGAAATGTATGATGATTTACAAATCATTAAAAAAGATCAAGAAATATTTTTTAAAGGTTCAAAGACTTCAAAAAAAAATAAACATAAAAATAATTCAAAGAATCATAATCAAAATTCTTCTGCTTCGTCATCCAAATTTACTTTAGAGCCTGATATACTATTGGGTTTGTCCGAATTAAACATTACCGTTCCTCTATCTAAAGATGATTGTGATAGAGTTATCGATGAATTAATTCAAGCTTTAGATAATTTCAAAAAATTAGATGAAAATAACTCAAATGATGAAAAATTTGTCAAATTGAATCTTAAATTGAAAAAAATTGATCAAGAAATTCAACAACTTGAACTTGAAAAATCAAATCTTGAAAACAATATTCTAAATAAAGACAATGATTCAGATTCAGATTCAAATTCAAATGATTCCAAAAACGACAATGTTAATTCAAACGATTCCAAGAAAGAAGATGTTGATCCTTAAAATTATTCATCGATTCTTTCTTTTCATTACTCTTATAATATTTTTCTTTCACTTTTCAAGCAATCTGTAAATTTTTTTTACTCTACGTTTTTTTGTTTTAAGCATGTTAAAAAAATAAACTTAAAATTTTCTTTAATCCTTCATTTTTTTTTAAATTTTCATTTTTTTAATTTTGATGCTTAAATTTTCTAAAATTCTATTTATTCTTTTCGTTGTATTTTTTTCTTGATTTATTTGGCTAAAATACCAACAAAAATTTGTACATTTTTTTCTTAATACACACAGACTATAAAAACATTTCAACTACAGCTGAATAACTGCAAAATCATCGAGTTTAGTGTTTGATGTTTATTCTGGATATAAACTTTTCTTTGTAATTGATTATATAATTCAGTTTCTCGCTTAGTTTCAGGCTGGTGCTTGTTATTGGTTTTTAAACTTGATTCTCACTTTCTTCACTAGGATTAGAACAAAACAGATCCTTATAACTCTTTATACTATTCAATATTGTTGGGTTGAGATTCAAATATCTGATCAAAATTACGGCTAGATCAGTGGTTTATTTGATTGATATACTATCAGTTTCAGGCCATATTTGAATCTAAAAACATCAATGGCTTTATTAAAAGCAAATAAATAAGATTTGCTCATAAATTACTTTTGATTGAAAATATCCAAGCTATATGGATTATTCAGGATTAATAAGAAAATGAAATTTTTTTCCAACTTGCTGTCTTGTATAAAATAACTAAAAACATTAGTTTTGAAAATGCTATCTTTATGAGCCGAGAGGTAAAATCAATTCCAATTCCAAAACTCGTTAAAAAATTATAATGAGGATATAAAGTGAGGTGATTTTCCAAGTTGATAGTCTATTCAATCATCGAACCATGAGTATCTTGAACTTTTGATGTGTTAAAATTCTTATCTCGCAACAAGACGTCGCTAATGTTTTTGCTAATTGCCTTTATTTTATCAAGTTTTCAAAAACTATCTTCTTATTTTAAAGAATTTCCGCTATATCTAGAAAATAAGTTAACCTACAAATTGTGTATGGAACTGATGAAAATGTTTTAAATTTCCATGGAGCCTACTGGGTGCTCAAAATCAATCACAAAACTTATTGCCATTCATGAATTTCAAAAATAATTTACTCTTATTAAAACTTGATCTTTTATCTCAAGAAATGATCAATTTTTTTATTTTGTTATTATAACAAGTTTTCCAAGAAAATCATGTTTTTGGTCTATATTAGAATGTTGACCAATTAATATTGAAAATAATATTTTTAATTATTAAGCTAAACATTTTAATATTGTTTTTACAATATTAAATATATATCTATCTTCCTAAGTCTACTTTATTGCTGACTGCTGGAAATAAAGATTTCTTTATTTTTAACAAAATATTTCTTTACTTTTTTTTTAAAGCAGTAACTTATTTTGAAGTTTGCAAATAGTCCATTTGAAATCAATAAGACACAATCTTAGAGTTTTGAATTTATGGCAAAATTTTATTTGTTTCCATATATTAATATCGAATTTTTAGCTTTATCTTTTTTGGTTAAATTTCTTAAGAGTTAGAGGTTGATTTGAAAATTCAATTACTTTTAAAGCCTAGTGATATCAATTGTGAATTGATAAAAATATAATATTTAAATTTTATCTATTTGTAAATTTTTTTTATGATTACTTGAAAGAGTGAAAATACTGAATTTTTAATATAATAACTAGATAAACAAAATATTTCGCAATAAAAGTTTGGGAAAAAATAAAAGAATTGTCTCTCAATTTACTAAAAAGTGCCTTTTACAAATCATTTGCAAACAAAATATGAATTAATTTACTTCAACAGATTTTGATGATATTTTAGGCTTTTCAAATTAACTTTGGGAAACATAACCTAGCAATTCATAGCAGTGCCTTTTCTTGGGTGGTTTCAATTTTTTTTTTTTTTTTGAATTTATATCAATTTACTGCTTAAATGAATAAGTTTAGATAAAACAAAGGAGGGAAATGATTCAAATTTCTTTAAAGTGTCTCATTTGTTGAAATTGATATAAAAGGACACAAGTTTTTTTGCCTTTTTTGTCTTACTTCTTATATTGTTTTGGTTTGATAAAGAAAAAATAACAGTAAGAATTTAAACTGCAAAGATGAATATTAAAGAGTTGATTAAAAAATTGCCATTTCTTCTTTTAATGAAGATGTCATTTTCAACATCTTTTGAATTAGAAGAAGCCGAAAATGCAATTGACATTAATGAAATTTATGATCGGACAGTTCCAGGGAATTATATTATTGAATATGATTCAAATTTAATTGATCTTATGAATGCTGAAGATATTAATTCAAACACTGAAGATGGTTCAAGAGGTAAAAAATTGAAAGGCTTTTTGAAAGATGAAGGTATTAAAGCTGATATTATTGAAGATTTATCATCAATTTATTTCTCAGGGGTATCCATTGATATTATAAATGATAATTCAACAATTTTATCAGATTTGAAAAAACTTGATTATGTTATTGATGCTTGGCCTGTTGGAATCATGAAATTGGAAGATCCACTATTTGAACCAAAAAATGATAAGGAAATCCGAGGAGAAAAAATTGGAATAGATGATAAATTTTATAATCCTCATTTAGCTACAGGTGTTGATAAATTGCATGAAATGGGGATATTAGGTGAAGGTGTTACTATTGGAGTTATTGATTCTGGTATTAATTATAATATTGATTCATTAGGTGGTGGAATTGGAGATGGATATAAAGTTGAATGGGGATATGATTATGTTGGTAATTGGGAAAGTGAAGAACCAATTGCAGATTCCGATCCAATGGATTGTATTGGACATGGAACATTTGTTAGTAACGTTATTGTTGGAGATGGGGATGAAGAAAGCAAGCTAGGGTTAGGGGTCGCACCCAAATCTAAGATTCGGATGTATAAAGTATTTGGGTGTTTTGATGGTACAAGGACCGATATTATTATGAGAGCATTGATTGATGCAGCTGAGGATGAGGTTGATATTATAAATTTATCATTAGGAGCAGATCAGGGATATTCTAGTATGCCAATTTCGAAATTAGCATCATCTATCAGTGAAAGAATTCCTATTGTTTATGCGGCTGGAAATTCTGGTGATATGGGGAGCTTTTTTGCAGCATCAGGAGCATCAGGTAAAAATGTGATAGCTGTTGGATCTACGAGTAATTCCAGCAAAGAGGAATTATCATTTTTTAAGAATGAAATTGGGAAAGGATTTGGAAAAATGAGTGAATTTTCATCTTGGGGACCAACATATGAAAATAACTTTTATCCAACGATTTCAGCACCAGGAGGAAAAGTATTTGGACCATATAATAATGAATGGGGGTTTGCAAGTGGGACAAGTTTTGCAGCACCATATATATCTGGGGTTATTGGATTGTATTTAAGCGTAAATAAACAAGCCAAACCGATAGAAATTATGAATAGGTTGGTTTCAAGCAGTGATGAAGTTCTACTTTATGATGGAAATCAAGTGCTATTTGAGAAGATGATTGCACCATTGAATCAACAAGGGAGTGGTATAGTTAATGCAATGAAGTTTATGGAATACAAAACCGAGATATTGAGCTCAACTTTTATCGAGTTGAATGATACAAGTAATAGAGTCAGCAAACATAAGATTGAAATTTATAATGGGGAATTGAATGAAACAGTTTATGAAGTTTATCATGAAGCAGGAGTTACAGTTAAAGCTAGAGATGAGTTACTATATCCATTGGAGTATTTCCCAAAATTTGAACAGGCTGAGGCACATGTTGATATTTCGACAAGTATTTTGAGAATTGCAAGTGGTGGAACAGAAAGCATTGAAGTAGAGATTGGTGGACCAAAGAGCCGATATGAAGATGGAAGTATATTTGGTGGTAAGGTTGTAATCAGTGGAACTAACAACGAGACGGTGAAGGTACCCTATATGGGAGTTGAGCTTTCAAGTTATAATTGGACAGCACTAGAGGGCATGCCATTGTTGTTGACCCGAAAGGATGGAAGATTAAGAAAGATAAGAAAAGACGAAAGATTTAATTTGAATATTGGAGATGATATTCGAGTTTACTACGCGTTGCGATATGGTAGCGAAGAATTTTCAATTGATCTTGTGTCTTGGGAGTATGAGAAGGAGATGTTTGATTATCCTCCCAGCAAAGCAGCAGCATGGAAGGGGTCGATTAGAAGCACAAGCGACAAAAATGGGCAGTACACCAGCTTTCCCTTGAACCACATTGTGAGGTTCAACAAGTTGGGGTTTGTGCAGTTGGGAGGATTTGCCGATGGAAGAAGCATACCCAGTGGAAAGTACAAGCTCTTGATCCGTTGCTTGAGAGTGTTTGGAGACAAATTCAGGGCCGAGGACTGGCAGCTCTTCCTCTCCGACAGTTTTTCTGTTGGGCAACAGGATGTTATTCAGAAACGTGCTCCAAAAGAAGCTCGCGACGAGAACGTTTGTTCCTGTGCTGCCATTTCTGGCAGCAGTTCTAAAACCAGGTCTAGACCTGACTCCAGAACCAGCACTGCGGGTTCAACAACAATCTTGTCACCCCACCGCTATGGGTGCTGAAAAGAAATCTCAAAGTTGAATCAGTACACGTGATCTTGTTAGAGATTAACTGATAAGCTTCAATGGGAGATTTCAATACACTATCTTTCGTTTAATCCATTTTATTATTATTTCAACATCTCTACAATCTAACAAATTTCGTCTATTAGCAGAAATTTTAAAATTTTTAATCATGAAATTTTATTACTCACTATATTTTCACAAAATACTTTCATTCTTTAAATTCTTTTTTTGAAAAACCCATCTACCTATTTTTAGATAATAATAATAACCAATTAGATTATTTTTATGAAAAACATCAAAAAATTTCCATTACATTGAATGAATTTGATACCTTATCAAAGTTAAAATCTATAATTTTGTTTCAAAATTTCATTAATAAAAAAATAAGAATTGAAAACAGCTTTTGTTTTGGCTATTTTTTTTTCAATCTTATAAGATAAAAATATTAATGCTTATAAAATTATCCAAGGTTTTTATTTTCATTTATTCTTAGAGATATTCGATAAATCAAATTCTTTAAAACAACAATTTTTGCTTAAAACTTCAATTGATAATCATCAAGAAATATATCAAATTATTTCATCAAAAAATAAAAATTGAATCCGAAATAACTCATTGCCAACACACTCTTTAATAGTGCTTTAAATCATATTTCGATTAAGTCAAATCTTAATTCTGATGTTTTGACTATCAAATTTGTTCATGAAAACTGTAATTATTACACAATTTGCCAGTTTTTTGAGAAAGATAGAGTTAGATCACAATCAAAGAAATTAGCCGAGGGCTCCGTCACCGTGAGAGACGACCTGCAGAGTGCGTTTCAGCACGTGTCTGAAGCGTGAGAAAGTGATATTTCAAACTCAGAACAAAAAGAAAAACGGCACAGAATATCTCTAACAGTAATTCATCATGGGGATTTTGTAAGTATTAGCTGGAACTAGCAGCATTGGGGTTTCAAATTTTGGCATGACTTATTAACTATTTTGCAAAACCACATTGAGAAACTTTTTAGAGAAAAGATTCAGCAAATCGAACTCGAGTTATCACGAACCCAGAAAAATAAAGCAACAGAGTACCACATTGGGCTCTTGAAGGGAAAACTTGCCAGATACCGTAGAGAGTTATTGGAACCCAGTGGAGCAGGCAGTGGGAGCTCGAGCAAACAACAGGGCTTTGAAGTGCAGAGAAGTGGTGATGCCAGAGTGTCGTTGATCGGGTATCCTTCGGTGGGAAAATCGTCATTTTTGTCAAAGGTCACCAAGACCAAGTCTGAAATTGCGCACTATGCCTTCACAACATTGACATCTGTTCCTGGGGTGTTGGAGTATAATGGAGCAGAAATCCAGATTGTTGATTTGCCCGGTATAATCAAAGGCGCCTCTGAAGGAAAAGGCAGAGGCAGACAGGTCATTGCCACAGCCAAAACTTCAGACTTGATATTAATGATCTTAGATGCTACAAAGTCGTATGAGCAAAAGAGCTACTTGGAAAAGGAATTGAACGCCATTGGAATCCGTTTGAACAAAGAAAGACCAAATATTTATTTCAAGATCAAGAAAACAGGGGGCATCAAATTCAGCTTTATAAATCCTCCAAAGTATTTGAATGAAAAGAATGTGTATGGGATATTGAGAGACTATCGGATACACAATGCCGATATATTGGTCAGAGATGAAAACGTTAGCATCGACGAATTCATTGACACTATTAACGATCAGCATGTCAGGTACATTAAGTGTCTATATGTTTACAATAAGATTGACGGGATCTCGCTTGAGGAATTGGACAAATTGGCCAACGAGCCCAACACAGTTGTAATGAGCTGCGAACTAGACTTGGGAATTAAAGACGTTGTGGAGGAGATATGGGAGCGGTTGAATTTGATCAAGGTGTACACGTTCAAAAAAGGAGAGAGCTTGCCCAACTTTGAAGATCCCATGGTGTTGAGAAAAGACAGCTCGATCAAGGAGGTGTGCGATGCCATCCACAAAGACTTGAAACACAGCTTCAAACACGCCTATGTGTGGGGAACAAGCGCAAAACACAGTCCCCAGAGATGTGGTCTCAGCCATCAAATTGAGGACGAGGACGTGATCACCATTGTCAGCAAATAAGAGCCCGGCATCTGAGACACCAAGGGGTCTCAGAGGTCTAAGGAATTTCAGAGGTCTAAGGGTCTCAAACATGTATATGTGTTGCCCAAACAGGAAGTACCCAAGTTGTTTTTTTGATTTGATATAAGTTTCATCTTTAAATTAGAATCTTTAAATTGGAATTGATTGATAATTTATTTATGATTTGTCTATATAGATTAATGAGATAGGGATATAAAAAATATTAAAAAGATAAAAGCAAGAAAAAACGAGCTAAATCGAAATAGCAAAAAGATTATTATAAAGCTAATTTGACAGCGTTTTTAGCAGCTTCATCAAGACCATCAAATGAATAGATTTTCAAACCAGAAGAATCGATTAAGTCTTTAGCTTTTTGTAGGTTGGTACCTTGTAATCTAACAATGATTGGGACTTTTACACCCAAGTTTTTAGTTGCAGCAATTAAACCTTCAGCGACATAGTCACATCTGACGATACCGCCAAAGATATTGACAAAAATAGCTTTAACAGATTTTTCAGATAGAATTAAAGAAAAGGCCTTTTCAATTGTTTCTGGAGTTGCACCACCACCGACATCGAGGAAGTTTGCTGGATCACCACCGTATAATTTGATGATATCCATGGTAGCCATTGCTAAACCGGCACCGTTGACTAAACAACCAATGTTACCATTTAATTTAATGAAATTCAAACCGAATTTTGAGGCTTCGACTTCATCGGGATCTTCTTGAGTGAAATCTCTCCAAGAAAAGATATCCTTTTGTCTAAATTCTGCAGAGTTATCAAAGGCCAACTTAGCATCCATTGCTAAGACTTTATGATCAGGAGTTTCACTAAGAGGGTTGATTTCAATTTGGGTTGAATCAGTTGAAATAAAACAATTGTATAGGTTTTGAATGGTTTTAGCAGCTTCTGGTAAGGCTTGTTTGTCAAAGCCTAAAACAGAGGCAATTTTTAAAGCTAAATTGTTATCAACACCCTTTTTCAAGTCGATCAAAAAAGTCTTTATAGCGCTTGGATCTTTTGCAGCAACACCTTCGATATCCATACCACCTTGAGCAGAGGCAACAATTAAAGGAGCTTGGTTGGCTCTGTCTAAAATGATAGATAGATAGGCCTCTTTGGCAGCAGAGGCCTTTTCAACAACGTAAACGGCTGAAACCAATCTACCAGCCTCGCCAGTTTGTTTTGTGACTATTTTGAAGCCTAACATTTGAGAAGCCAAGTCTTTAATTTGAGTGGGAGATTCAACAATATGAACACCAGATTTCAAGCCAGAAGTCAAATAACCTTTACCTCTGCCTCCAGTTAAAGATTGAGCTTTTATAACAATACCATCAGATTTGATTTTGGAAGCAATTTCAAATGCCTCTTCAGGGGTGAAAGCAGCATCGCCAACGGGAGTAGGAACACCATACTTTCTTAATAAGGCAGCAGAACGATATTCGTGAACACTTAAAAATCTCTTTGAGATCAATTGATTGAAATTGAGGGATGATTTGAGAAGAGAGGATTTGAAAGTGGTGGACAACATGGTGAGATAGGTTGATTGAGTGTATATTAGGGATGGATAGTGAGAAGACAATAGATAAGAGAGGAGAGAGGAAAGAGAAAGAGGATATATCGAGTTAATGAACCAGGCGAACGATGTGCACAAAGTGAATTGAGAAGAATTGAGAGGAAATGCAGCGAATTAAAACGAATTCAAATGGATCCAAACACATCCAAACGAGGTGAGAGAAACAACAGGAAGAACAAGACGAGTGATAGCGTTGGAGGAGGTAATGATCCAATCTGATTTGATTACAGCACACCAGAAAAAGAAGGAGGGGAGGACTTCCCACTTCCTACCTCTCACCTCCACTGCCAAATACCACGCGGCCGGCGCAAAGGTCCCGAGGCGTGCTGCAAATGCCTCCGAAATGCCTCCGCTGTCTGACTCTCGGAACCGGCAGACCCTGGGGCCTACTGCTGACTCAGCACGGTTTGGAGGGTTTGAACCAGGGCCCTGGGTGAGAGTCTGTCCTGGCTTTTCTGTGGTTTTATCCACTTCTTCTGAGCTGCCTCTGCTACCTCTGCTGCTTCTGCCTCTGTTGTCAAATGCCCAAACAAACACAAATGCAAGCCAGTTCTTCCTCTGCTGACATCCACGCCTTTATTGTGGATGAAAACGCTCTTCTCAACAACTCTGCAAATGCTGCCCTCAACGACAATTACAAGCGCACCAATACCACCGATGATTATGACCTTCCCAATGATTCTCACTATGAATATCAAAATCTTTTGTCAACCTCCAATCTATCCCCCAATTTAAATGATTTGGAAAATAACCAATTGAAATCAATGATAAATCCTCAGCGTTCAACTATATATATCATCATTTTAACAGTCATACTTGGGGCTTTACAACTCTCCTGGTGCACCGAATTCGCCGAAGGCACTCCCTTTTTACTATCTCTAGGGATATCTAAAAAAGTCCTCTCTCTTATTTGGATTGCTGGCCCTTTAAGTGGCACAATTGGTCAGCCTATTGTGGGTATTCTATCTGATAATTCCGCCTTTTCAATTGGCAAAAGAAGACCCTTTATCATATTAGGTTCCATCTTAACTTCTTTATCTTTAGTTTATTTGTCCAACTCCGTTGACATAATTAGATTGTTTTTACCAAATGATTCTTCAATTGATTACATTCATCGCAAAACAATCCCCTTTGCTAGCTTTGGTATCTATTTATTAGATTTTTCTATCCAATTCATACAAGCTACTTCAAGAGCTTTGATTATAGATAATATTCCAATCAACCAACAAAATTTAGCCAACGCCTATGCTGCGAGAATGATAGGCTCCTTTAATATTTTTGGTTACTATTTATCCTCAATCGAACTAAAGAAAATTTACCCTCTAAATTTAATATCAAATAACCAATTCAAATTATTATCCTTTTGCTCAATTTTCATCTTGTCTTTATTTACAATAGTAGTCACAATTTTAATTAAAGAGCAAAATCCTAAAAATGATTTCCTACACAATTCCAATACCAATGCTACTACTACTACTACTACTACTACTAATAATAATAATAATAATAATAATAACTCAGTTTCCTCTCAATTTAAAAATTTCTTTAAAAAATTATACTTGACAATAAAATTCAAACTATCTCCTCAAATAAAATTAATAAACTTTGTTGAATTTTTTGCTTGGATTGGCTATTTCCCAATGTTATTTTACACCACTACTTATGTTGGCGAAATTTACATCTTTCAATATCTAAATCAAAGAAAAAACGACGGTTTACCACCTTTATTAGACAATTCAGCTTTATCTCAATTGAAAGAAGAATCAGTAAGAAAAGGTTCTCAGGCCTTGTTAGTTCATTCTGTCTCTTCTTTATTTATTGTTATTTTTCTACCCTTATTAGTAAATTCAAACTTATTTAATTTTAATACAATTCACACTAATATTCTTTCCTTCTCTTTTATAAAAAGTCCAACCGTTAAAAATTTCTGGATTATCTCCCATATCATATTCATCATATGTATGTCATCCACTTTTTTCATTCAAAATTTCTATCAGATTATTATTATGTATTGTTTTTTAGGTATTCCTTGGGGTTCGGCTTTATGGGCTCCATTTGTCTTGATTGGTGAGGAATTGACAAGAATCAAACATTATAAAACAAGTTTAAAACAATTCATCTTAAATAACAATAATAATGATATCAATGATATTCTTAATGATCAAAGTACCTCTTACAGTTCCAATTATGATAATGATAATGATAATGATAATGATAATGAAATTATCAATATCAATACCAATATCAACACCAACACCAATGCCAACATCAACATACAGACCAACTACTCAAACAAAGTCTTTAATTTCAAAAAATATGAACATGAAGCTGGAATCATTCTAGGAATTCACAATATATTTGTTGCAGCTCCCCAGGCTATATCCTCTTTATTGAGCTCAATATTATTTTCCTTTTTAGCAGATGACAATAACAATAATATTAACAAAACTTATAAAAAATACTATGATGATGATGGAAATGTCAAATTTGACAGCAGTTTGTCATGGATATTTAGATTTGGCGGTTTAACATGTCTTATTGCTTTACTACTAAGCTTAAAACTCAAAAACGATGAACAATTGGATGAAGAATATGATGATTGTTTAAAAATCGAAATGAGTTCAAAGAGCAAAACTAACACTAACTAAAAATATATTAACTAAAAATATAGTAAAAATACAATAACTACAAATATTTCAATTCTTGATCAAAAAATTTTTTTTATTTATTTATTTATTTATTTATTTATTTATTTATTTATTTATTTATTTATTTATTTATTTATTTATTTATTTATTTATTTATTTATTTATTTNTTTATTTATTTATTTATTTATTTATTTATTTATTTATTTATTTATTTATTTATTTATTTATTTATTTATTTATTTATTTATTTATTTATTTATTTTAGATTCAAATTACATATGCGTTATATAATATTAAGGTAATTTTAAAACAAAAAAATTTTCTATCCATATTTTCATACTTTCATATTTCCATATCTTTAGACATCAGATATTCATTTGTTAGTTTTTTCTTCTTTATAATTTCCAATAAATGTTTCAATTTTTGCAGATCATTTTAATTCCCAGGGCTTCTTTCGTTGTTGTTTTACAGATTTAGAAGACTCCTTCAATACTGTATTAGGGATCTTCTTGATGCCTGGAATAGGCTTACCAGATAATATCAATTCGACAATGTTTTGATAATTGCTAGAATAAGTTGGTGATTGGTCTTGGTGACCGCTGTTGGTGGTGGTGTCAGCAGGAGCAGCCAGTTTGGCCTGTTGCTGGCTTTTCTTCCAATGAAAATACTCCAGCAAATCCAAAATGTTTCCGGTCTTGGTGGAAAAGTAGTACAGCTTGGTCTGAGCAACTAACTGATTTCTTTCTTGTGGGCTCAACTTGTGCTGGCCAGAAGCCTGGTAGGCTTTGAGAACAGCCAACAAACCATCATTGAACTCTGTGGTGTCGAAGTCAAAGGCCTCAAAAGCGAGAAAAACGTCGATATCCTGGGCTGTGAGAACAGAGCTCATGTTGAGAAAAAGAAGAAGAAGCGGTGGCGACGCACAATCAGCACAAACAACACAATCATCACACCCACGAGAAGAATCCGTGGATATTGCTCTCATTCGACCCACCGGCCTGGACCACCGCTCCATCGGCGCTTATCGCTCTGCGTTTCTTCTGCCTCTTCTGCTTCCTCTTCTTCCTCCTCCTCTTCTTCTTCTTCTGCTGCCGCTGCTGCTGCTGCTGCTGCTTACACTGCTGCCATGAAGAAACTCTCCCTCAAGTCTCTTGCCAAACTCTCGCTTTCCAAAAAGGACAAAAACAAAGAGAAGGAAAAAAAAGCAAGCGAAAAGGAGCTGCCCAAGATTCTGATAGACCAAATCAACCAGAATGCTGATTCCTATGCTCATCAGATCTTCAACAATACTGATTACAGCGATAATGACGATGGTCGACATTCGGATTACTTCAACAAGCTGGTAATAAAGGACCATCTATCTGAGAGCTTCTCTTCCACTGTTGAGCAAAACTTAGATCCAAAGTCACATTCAGATCCAAAATCAAAATCAAAATCAAAATCAAAACCATTAAATGAATATGATGCCTACAAAAACAATATAAACTACTACAATTCATACAATTCTCACAATTCTCACAATTCTCACAATTCTCACAATTCTCACAATTCTCACAATTCTCACAATTCTCATAATTCTCACAATTCTCAAAAATTTCCCACCTCAAATCGTCATCAACCAAGTGTCTCAAAAAATCGGCATCTCAGAAACTATAGTCTAAATGATTCCTATATTTCTGTTTCAAATTCCGCTAATAAAATAAAAAGGACCTACTCAAATCCTTCTTTCAAGCAAAAAAACTTGATTTTAGATAATTCTAATTCTAATTCTAATTCTAATCATACTACAAATATTCACCATCATAATGATGATAATGATCACAATAGTGACCATAACAGTAATCGTGATATTGATCATGATGGTGACAGTGATGATAAAGATAATGGCAATTTACATAGTAGCAACTACCATAATGGAAATGATTATCATGATGCCAATAATGAAAACAATGGAAATAATGAAAGTAATAATAAAAATAATAAAAATAAAAATAATAGAAATAATAATGGAGAAAATAATCAAAACAATTCACAAAATCATTATAACAAAACTTCAACTAATACATATAATGCCTATGATAGTTTCAACCAATTAAAAGATATATCAATGGCAAATATCAATAATACTAACAACACAAAAGAAAACCAGTTTTCAACTTTTAAATCTAAGCCCCTGTTTAATCTTAATGAATCCAATGATTACCTTTATTCTAACTTGAACTCAAATTCTTTGAAATTTGATCCTGTTTCTTTAAGCATTTACAAACTTGAACGTTTATGTTTATCCACTTTAGATAAATACACGAAATCCTGTCAACTATTTGTATCTTTATTTCAACTCTACTACGAACGTCTATTATCTATCAGTGATCAATACGTTTTAAATCATCATTTTAATTTTATCAAAAATAACCCAAATTATATTAAAATAATCCAAAATCAAACTCAATCAGAAAATCAAATCCAAAATATAAACCAAAATCAAAATCAAAATCAATCTAATGATAAAACTTATAACGTTTATAATGTTCCATATGATTGTCGTGAAGATAATCCCTTTAAAAATTATTTCAAAAAAAAAAGTAATGTTCAGTTTAATAAACTCTATCTTGATGATAATATTGACATATTTTCTAATTCTACAAACAACACACAAAATTCAAATAAACATTCTGAAAAAAATTCGGACCAACCTTTTGATATTGAATCTTATTGTTATGACCAATTGTTGATTTTTAAAACCTTCAGATTTAACATGCAATCAAATTTGAAAAACTTGCACAATTATGTATCCGTCTTTTTAAATTTCGAATTTAAAAAAATTTTACTATATTATAACAATAGTAAACTCTTGATTAATTATTACGAAAAAAAAAATGAACTCATAAAACTACATAAAATCAGAACTGTTAATTTTAAAAATTTAATCAATTTCATTACAAATCAATTAAAACCTTTAAATAATATTAACTTTCATTTGTTTGAAGACTGTTTATCTTTTATTCAAGAAGTTGAAAAAAAATTAAATGATTTAAGCAGAAGCGATTTAATTGTTAAACTCGATTTTTTAAACTCATCCTCAAATGACATAACTCTTTCTAAAAGTAATGATGATAACATCAAAATTTCTTTAACGAATTCTACATCTTATTCAAATTATAATATAAATCAAGACACTTTCACATTATCATCTGTGCAGCTAGGCTATGATATAATCTTAGAATTACAAAATATTCTAAATTTTTTTGATAATGAGGAAATTTATCAAATATTAAAGCTAAATTTTAATGATCCCTTGTTAACAAATTACATTAATTTAAACTACAATCCCAATTTCAATCAATTGATTAAGCTAAATTACATTTTAATCGATGATTTGATGGAAATTTTGAAAAACCTATCATTTAAATTAATTCCTTTTATAAAACTATTAAAAGAAAATTTAAATGCTAAAAGAAACATTAGAATTGATTTAAAAAAAAATTACAATAATTATAAGAATTTTTATCTTTTAAATAACCTAGAGTCAAATCACCACTTTATATCAAATTTAGATTCAAATTGGTTATATTCTCCTGTTTTTTCATTCAATTTGATCAATTTCATTAAAAAAAATAATAGTTCTAGAATTTTATTGTTTTTACAGAAAAAATTCAATTACAAAAATATTCCTGTTCGACCTAATTCTCTTAAATTATTCAGATCGTCCAACTCATTGAATAATAATAGTTCAGATTTCGCTATTAATCATAGCAATCACAACAATGGACATAATAAAAGCCAAAAGATTTCAAGTTTCAGTTCTCATGATTCGTATTATGACCCAAATGTTTTGAATTTTAAAGAAATCGATTATGAAAATTCATTGAAATTTCTTGTTAAAAGTTTTGCTATTGAAAATAATAACTATCTTGACAACAAATTAAAAAGTTATGGGGACTCACTTTCAATTGAAAATGATATCAACATCAAGCCTCATGAATTAAAGTTCGCATTTGAAAATTTGAATATTGATCTATATGCTAATTTATACGATTATATTAAATTAATCAAATTATTCGATTATCTTTTAGTTGAGCTATATCCATTCTTATATGTATTGACAGATTCTATAGTATATTATTTAAGAGAAGTTATGATAGTCTTTAATATTGAATTAAACTTAAATGGATATTGTACTAATAATTTATTTAATATTAACTATCATGACAATAGCATTGAAGGGTTTTTCAAAATTAATAACGATAAACAGACCAAGTCTGGATCAACAGGTAGTCAACTAAAAAATAGAAATTTTTTTAAAAGAAATGATGCAGAACATAACACTTCTCCCGAAGAAAATAAGTTTTTTTTTGAAAAATTAATAATAACGGTCAACAATATCAATAACAATAATGTCAATACGTATTTTAATCATAATGTTGTTGAATTAAAGTATGAAGAAAAAATTTTAAACAAACTAATTAATATCGAGACTTTTTTAAAAATTTATGAAGATACACAAGCAGATATTAATTTAAAAATTTTTAAAAATTTTTATAATGAAAAAACCGATAAACTTGATTGTAATGAATTCGAAGGTATGAAAAAAGATTTTAACTATATTTATTTTTTTAAAAATGTTGTTAATAATCATAGGTTTGATCATTTTTGTTTTTCTGATTATCAAATCAGTTCAAAGGATGAATTTTTTAAAAATCTTAATTATTTTTATAATCCTAAATTTAAAAAACAAACACATGTGTTTCATATGGAAATATTGGCTAAAAAGATTAACAGCTTAATAAAATTATTAATAAAGTACATTGTTTTGATGGATAAATTGATTGAGATCTTTCAAAGTTTAATTGAAGATGAAGAACTTTATAAAAAAGAGTGTCACCGCAATAAAAAAAAAAATAATGATGAAAAACCGCCAGACAATAAGACATATAGTGCTGGTACTAAGAATTTTTTCACCAAAACACTTAGAAAACAGATTTCTATGAACAAAATGAATACCAGTTTAGATAGAGATCAAGAGGCCGAAAATAAAAATTACAATAACAATGAAAGCAAAAATGAAAATAGTCATAAAGATGATAATGATAGTAGATTTAGTCATTATAGTAAAGAAGTTAATAGCAATACAAATAAAGATTACATAAAATTTAAAAACCAAACTGATAAATCTGAACATGTTAAAAAAAAAAATATTTCATTGATTAATATGACCAAACAAGTACATCCATACATGAAATACATTAAGTTATTAAAAGAAATCAAGACAAATTTAAGCGAATATTTAGTTTTATTAAAGCTAAAAATAAATAAAAAAGAAGACATCGATGATTATGCTAAAATTAAATATGACTTTTCGAGTTTATTGAGTATTGGCAATAGAAGAGTTGGAGGTGTATTTGGGATAGATGTCAAAAGCCAAGAATCGCAAGGTTTAAACAGTAATCAATTTCAAGAACAATATTACTATAATAAGAATGTCAAAGAGAGTAATCATAGGAATAGTAACGAAACGAATAAAAACAATATGAGGTTCGATTATGAATATGAGGATTTGAGAGTAAAAAGGTTGGTTATCTTGTTGAATGATAAGCGTGTTTTATACAATTTGAAAAATAATTGCAAAACTATATTTTACAATGGAGAAAAAATTCTTGATAGTATGAAGAGTTATGGTTATAATTATTATGGTGAATATCATGAAATCAATTAATTTCATTTTTTTTCATTTTTTTCTTTCTTTGTTTGGTTTGATTTTCTTTTGTGGATGTCTTTGGTATTTTAAAACAACAGGCTTCTTTATAACGTAAATTATATTTTGTAACAATAGTAGTAAGATATTAGTATTTTAAGTTGATATTTTTCTAAGAGTTTAATGATATTTAAAATAAAATAGAATAGTTTATTATTAATTTTTTTTTATTTTTCAGATAATAGAATTTTGGATATAAGTTTTTAGATACAATTAAATTGATTATAACAAGAAATGGATAAAAAATTAAGATAAAAACCAAGAATATTTATAAATTTATAAATGAGTAGATGTATACATGTAAGAATGTAAGATTGCAAAATTAATTGATGAAAATGAATAAAAAACAAGAAAAACAAAACAAAGCAAAACAAAATAAATTATTCATCATCATCTTCATCGGCATCTTCATCTCCACCACCATTTCTAGCTAAAATAGCAGGTTTAATATCTTTCCAAAGTTTCTATAGTAATGGGTTAGTAATGGTCAATTGAAAAAAATAGAAAAATCGAGATTATGAAATATACAGTACATACACCCTTATTATGATTTTCATACCATCTAGTTATAGCAGAATCGAAGGAAGCTTGAAAAATAAAAGTTCCAGCAAAGACTGTAGCAACGAAAGTCGAATTTCTTTTAAAAATGGAGTTGTAGATTTTAGTGTAAAACGACTAGAAGAAACAATCAGAAACACTCGATAGTTAGTAAAGGAAAATAGAGGAAGAAGAGGATTTAACTAAATACTGACATACCATTGTGAGTGGCTGTGATACTGTTTAACTGTTGTTGAAGGTGAAGATGCTGTGCTTGGATATCTTAAATGAAACCAATCGTCTGAAGATAATGTGTTTAGTGATTAACAAGTTTGGGCGAAAAAGTATTAGTGATTCCATTTTCTCGAAAACTGATTGGACAGCCAGTGTTACATCAGCATTTTGTTGCACGAGGTGTGGCCGGAAAAAACAATACAAACTCGGAAGTTCGTGAAGTCATTATGGTTCGTTGCCCCCAAACGAAATACACAAGACTACCAATATGAAACGAAAATTGTGTTTCAACAAACAACACTTAATTCACAAATACGTTGATGAAGACTGCAATCCAAACAATATAAATATGATCACTAAATAGCTAAGTAGCAATAAAATAAAACAAGAGAGGAAAAGGAGAGAGAAATCTACTAAAGTCATGAGCACTAGAAGAAATCTCTACCCTTCCTTCGACGACTGTCAAGCTGACAGCATTCATGTGAAGAACACTGAAAGTGATAACGAAGAGGAACTTGATAGTTCACCAAAGGCTTCCGAAATTAACGAATTAAATCAGAGAGTTGAGTCAATTGAATCGAATGTTGCATCCAGATTTGAACGACTAGAACGAATGCTCGAAAGTGTTAGCTCGTAACGAACGGACGGATACCGGTTATTCAAGGTCACAACATGCAACAGCCCCTGTGAACCATCACTATGGTATAATTAGCATGTGACTTACACTGGATTTATGTCCCAATCCTGTATTACGACTGTCCCATATACACAGATGTGTGGTAAGTATCTCTAACTGTAGCTATCCATAGTAGTATACATCACCAGATTTCACCAGACTCCAATGCAAATACATAGAAGATGTTGCAAGGGAGACATACATATGTTTACCCTAAGATTCAAGAGTTCCTTTACAGATGCTGCTCTTCTGCGATTGATTATGAAGAAGATTTCCACTCTTCTAATCTTTTACTTTAGCGCTAGTTGAAACGAGTAATGTGTAAACTTTTGGAATACGTATTAACTGTAAAAGTGCAAACAATTTTTAAAGCTCTCTTTGAACACTTTTGATCATAAAAACTGTTTTTACAGCGATCAATTGGGCTCATGCTTGTTTGGGAACAATGTTTCTCTTCTTGGAGAGCTTTAAACCTTTCAAGTCTCAGAAAAAACTCCTTCAGCCTTAAAATGCGGAAAATTCAACAAGCACCCACGGGACTTGTATTCAAAACAGACCGGAAACAGATACATTCAAGAAAGGAATATTTAGTGGTGGTGAAATTGATGCATGTGTTTTCTTATCAATTATGAGAGGTCCTAAGGAATTTAATAATAAATAATACAACGGTTTCAATGAATATTTCGATTACGAAGATGATGAATGTGACTTTGAGTGATTAGGCAATTTGTAAAACGTCTTTAAAAAGCTGTAAACTATGCAGTAAATCATAGAACACTTTATTTTTATTTAAATTCCCTTTTTCTTGATTACATTTTATAAGTTTAAAATAGTAATATTTCTTACTTTGTTTTCATTTTGATTTTGACATAGAAAATCACAGTAAAGTCTAACAGTTGATTTAAAACTTCTTAGAAATGTTAGAACTTTTGGAGTTCCAGCATCGTTAACGTTAAGAACCACAGTGAGAACAAAATTTGGAAAATAATGATTTAGGTGATATTGAAAAAGTGCACAGTTCAATGCTAGAGGCAACTACTGCAAAGAAACCACTACTAATGCAAACTTAAATATCTTTAGAGAAATTAGTGCTGAAATACAATCTTGTATTATGTGTTTTCCTTGAGTTAACAACTATTCCTAATATCAAAATTTTGAGTATTTTTCGTACTTCGCTTAGTGATGTTAGTTTTGTATGAATTGGTTCAGTTTTCTTTTTCCATTCATAAGATTTAATGGATTTTTATTTACTTGATTGGTATTGGAATAAGGCAAGGAGTTTATTTATTTTCAATTTTTTTATACTAAACTAAGCAAAAATCATTTTCATATCATTGAAATTGTAGATTGCAAAAAATTGATACCTCGATTTGTGTTTTAAGAGAATATTGTGAAAGTTATAAATTGGTATAAACAAGATACAAAGAAAAGTACGAGACGTGAATAATAGAAAACAAAGAACGTTAAGGCTATTTCAAAAATACTGGTTTCTTTATTAATATTCGCTGGGGTATCTTAAATCTAAAATAAGTTTATTATTGCAATTAAGTTCTAATTTCAGTTCTCTGCTCTCAGAACACTGTTTTGACTGTTATTATTATTATACATTAACTATTAATCCACTCTCTGCAAATAATACAGACTACTTTGGACGTTATCGAACTTCATTCAAAAGTTGTGAATAGTCAAGCAAGCCTTTTAGCTCAGTTTTCATTATGTGAATCTTGTCTTAAATTTCTTTAAACAAATCCAGAACCATATCATCACTTTCAGACTGTGATTTATTCAAAACAATTTTACTTGCTTCTAACACACTCGGATGATGCTAACTACAGTGATTCCCAAGATGAAGACTTGGTGAGAGAAAATGAAGAGCATAATGATAGTAATGGCGAATGTTTTGATATTTTGCTTCCAATTCCTAAAACTAAGAGCGCGGTTTATGGTCAAAATTTAACTGCAAAAACCAGAATTCGGTTCTATTCATACAGTAGAAACGCCAATAGAGACGCTAATGGAACCACAAAGGCTGAGGTAGTCACAATGGGAACCAAAATGGAAATGTAATTGGAAATAGAACTGGAAACTACAATAATGGTTGTTTTTCTAATTATAATGCCAACATTCACAGTAAATCCAAAGGTTAATGACAATGACTTCGGTAGAAGTAACGGTAACAGCTAGGGTCTCTAATGGTGACTATAACTGTGGTTACTGGGATTATTCAGGAGATAATAGTAACAGCAGTACTTAAAACAATTTATTACTACTCTAATTTATTTTGTTTAAGTTTTATTCAACTTTAGGCAATTAATCTAGTTAATATATTACTTAAAAACAAAATATTCAAAAATTGTAAGGTGAAGAAGTGCTATTCATAGAACCTTAACACTGGGATGAGGCAATCAGTGCTGGTGTTTTTGCTTCTGATGAAGCCTTTGCTTTCTCTGTTGCAAATCTATTTCATGACTACAAAGATGCAAGATTACAGGACAAAAATTGCGATTCAATTGCCGGAAGAGCGAAAACCAATAACAATATCAATCTTTTGGCAAATAAAACAAGGTCGCTATTAACGAATCGATTCATTAACATGATCTAGTTCAAACATATCAGCTTGTGTCGTCTTTCGATTGCAAGTTTTTTTTGACCCTAGACAATTTTAATTGACATCTTTCAAATTAAAATAAGGACCTAAAACAGTTTCCCAAATTTATACTGATGAAGAAAAACCAAGGGCTAATGACATAGTAAAAGGTGATTGAAAAATGTTAGTTACTAATGCTGAATCATTTTCTAACTTTCATGATCGTTTACAAAATTCTGATTGAAATGGCATCACACTTACTTATTTTGCATGGTAGTGTGCATTCATTCATAACTACAATCACAAAACCTGAACTTCAATTGAACTGTAATATTGACAGTAAAACTAACTAAAACTGTGGTAATATTAATACTAATACCGAATACTGGATTTGATATAAATTAAAAACTATGATACAATGAAATATAGTAAAATAAATTAAAATAAAATTTAATCAAAGAACTGTGAAATTATAAAAAAATACCAATTCGTCAAAAATCACTAACATTTTATTATCTGGATGGATAATGCACTGAAAAAAAATACTGTTTTGTAAAGAATCCCTAAATTTATAATTCTTGAGAAGCCTTTGGTTTTGAAGTCTTTTTTGGTAATAAAGTGTGATGGATATTTGGCAAGACACCACCCTCGGCGATTGTGACATTACCCAACAACTTATTCAATTCTTCGTCGTTTCTGATGGCCAATTGCAAGTGTCTTGGGATGATTCTTGTTTTCTTGTTGTCTCTGGCAGCGTTACCAGCCAACTCTAAAATTTCAGCAGCTAAATATTCCAAAACAGCAGTCAAGTAGACTGGGGCACCACTACCAACTCTTTGAGCGTAGTTGCCCTTTCTGAGCAACCTGTGAACTCTTCCAACTGGGAAGGTCAAGCCAGCTTTGGCTGATCTTGTGGTGGTTGTCTTTCCTGAGCTGCCAACTTTGCCGCCAGATTTACCGCCCGATTTACCTTTTCCTCCAGACATTGTGAACGATGAGAGTAGTTATGAGAGCAGTTATGAGAGTAGTTATGAATGTAAGTGTGAGTGTAAGAACAAGATACGTGATAGCAGAGAAATGGCAGAGATGCTTAAGCAGAGATGGAGAAGCAGAAGAAGCAGAGACTGATAAGCGCCCACACAGCTATTTATACAACGAACCAGAGAAGCAGCGTGCTGGGATCTGCAGCCGCTGTGGCACATCTGGGAACGGCGTTGAGAGCAGTGCTTTCACCAGCGGAAAGCGCCCGGGCAGAAAAGTGCCCTGCTGCTGTTTTTTAGTGTAGGCAGGTAGCGCCAGCTCTGCTACTTTAGGAAGGAGCCCACTGCTATATAAGTTCAGGCTGCTGCTCTTCAAGCTGCTCTTCCCTTTGCTGTTGCTCACGATACTCTGCTCTTCCTACTACAACACTCTTCCTAACGCCAACACCAACACCAACACCAACAACACTACTTACTATGGCTCCCAAAACCGCTGAGAAAAAAGTCGCATCAAAGGCCCCCGCCAAAACTGCCTCCAAAGCTGCTGTTCCTGCTGCTCCTCCTACCGAAACCAGAAAGAAGAACAAAGCCAGAAAGGAATCCTATGCCTCCTACATCTACAAGGTCTTGAAACAAACTCATCCAGACACTGGTATGTCCAAGAAGGCCATGAGCATAATGAACTCCTTTGTCAATGACATCTTTGAAAGAATCGCTTCTGAAGCCTCAAAATTGGCATCCTACAACAAAAAGTCCACCATAAGTGCCAGGGAAATCCAAACTGCTGTTAGATTGATATTGCCTGGTGAATTGGCTAAGCATGCTGTCTCCGAAGGCACCAGAGCTGTCACAAAATATTCCTCCCAATAAATTTCAAATTCTATAATTTTGTTTTTTAATGTTAACGTTTTTTTATAATCTTCAATGTATGTCTAGTCAGCCCTTATTTTCTGCTGTTTTATAGTTTTAATGTATTTATATTATATTTATTTCTCTAAGCCAGTAGTGGATTCAATCTACAATACTGAAACCAAGTTGGTAGTTTTCCAGCTCCAGTTTTATGTCCTGTAGCGTAAAGTCATTGTCCAAGGAGCTGTTTGCTCTTCGCCATAAAGAATAGGAACTATCCCACAAATTTTGATCACTGTTATTAAATACCAAGCAATTTTTTTTGAAACATTCTCTTAATAGTGGTAAAGGAAAAAAACACAACCTCCTATCATCTACTTTAATTGTTTAATGTGTTCAATCTTTTTATTAAACCAATTAACAATAAACAAAAATGTTAAACTTAAAATCTGAGAGGCACTATTAACAAACTTTACCTGGAGTTTAGTAGCATCAATAGTTTTGTTATCAACCAACTCTTTACTTTATCATTCAATATACATATTACATATATATAATTTTCATTATTAATAAAATATAATGAAATTAAGTGGCCTATTTTTAAATATAATCAATTTTTTTGAACATATTTAATATTAACCATCACTTTTCCAATGGAAACCATTAATTCTATAACCAGCGATACATATAATGGAAACCTGAGTGATACTATCATCGCCAAAAATCCAACAAAATTGAAAACAATTGAAAGCCAAAAAGACTATTTAAAACCTCCAGGAATACTAAAAAATTCAAAGAATCAGATTTTAAATAAAAATTTTAAAGATGAAAATGAAAACAATTCAAGTAATTCCTATAACTATTTCTACAAAAAACTATCAAAAAAATATAGTAAATTTTTACCACTATATTTGAAACAATCAAAAGAAGAATTATGGGCTAGATTTAAATACATAAATTACCAGGAACATCATATTCGAGTAAATAAAAATGATCCAAATAATTCAAGAACAATCGCTAAATTACATGTTAACAAATCAAGGAATAGGTATAGGGATGTTACTCCTTTTGATAAAAACAGAGTAGAACTACCAATAATCAATAACAGTATTATTGAATATGATTTGAATGGATTGGATACCTCTAGTGGATTATCGTCATATTTAACTGATGATGATGATGATGATGAAGAAGAAAATGAAAATGAAAATGAAAATGAAAATGAAAATGAAAATGAAAATGAAAATGAAAATGAAAATGAAAATGATAACCAAGGACAAGAAGAAAGTCATTGTAATATTCAAAATCAAAATCCCCAAAATGCCCAAAATAATCAAGAATTAAACGACCAAAATAATCAAAATAAAAATAGGAAAAAAATGATCAATAATGATAATTGTTCGATAAATACAAATGATGATAGGCATAGTATTGCAGCATCTACAAAGTCTCATTTTACTATAAAAAGCAAACGCTTTGAGAGAAAAAAAAGTAACTATATCAATGCTTCAAGAATAAAATTGAGGAATCAAAGTTATATTGCTACTCAAGGACCATTAAAAGAGACTAGTTTACATTTTTGGCAAATGATTTATAATGAATCATTACCATTTTACGGATTTTCACCTAGTACTAGCTCTAATAATTCGTTGAACGTTGAGGTTGAGCCAATAATTGTGATGTTAACACCGACTGTTGAAAATAATGTTGAAAAATGTTTTAATTATTGGCCTAAGTTTCAAAAAGATTTTATTTTGATTAACGATAAAGACTTTAGATTTAATTTGAAAATTGAAAACTTGAATACCAACTTTATAAGCAGAGGTAATTTTTATCATACTAAGTTATTAATTACTCCAACAGCTAATAATTTAAATGAGAATAATATTGATAACAATAATAACAATGAAAAAAGAAAACGGTTTCACCCATTTCATAGAACAATTACAAATAATTTTAATAATCGCCGTTCTTCATTTCAATCAATAACTCGACATAGCACTTCAAGTGGGGAAAATTTACATCATAATAATCCAAATAATCCAAATAATAATAATAATAATGGTATGGAAAATTTACCATTTTCAAAAATTGTTCATCATATCTATTATGATAAATGGAATGATTTTGGACGACCGGATGATTATGATAGTGTTATTGAATTGATTAAATATGTTGAAGTTTTAAATTTAAACAACTCAAACAAAATTCCATTAACAGTACATTGTTCAGCAGGCGTGGGGAGAACAGGGACATTTATCACATTACATTATCTTTTAAACTATTGCAAAGAATTCCAAAGAAAAACTATAAGAGAGATACTTGAAAATTCGAAAAAAATAAATCAACTTCAAGCAGATATAATATTTGATATAATTTGTAATCTAAGAAGTCAAAGATTGATGATGGTGCAAAATATAACGCAATTTTTTTTTATTTACAATTTTGCGCGAGACATATTGCTAAAAAAAATTGATAATTTCAAAAAAGATTATGATTATGTGAGAAATCTTGAGAATATATAATTTGGATATTCAAATTTACCCCAGTTTTTCTTTTTGGTAAAACAAAACCAAAAAGATGTAGCATTGAAGTGAGCATTACCTATTATATTTCCTAATCTGGGAATTGGATCAGCTGCAAAGACATAAACAAAACGTGACCAATGTTGACACAACCGCCCACCGATATACGCATTAGGATGCGTATAATCGCATTGGGTGTTTGTGTTGAAACATGGCAATGAATTTGGTAAACAGATATCAAATTGATTTTTTATTGTGAAATGTTGTGCTTATTGAGTCGTGAAATATTGGCACTATAGAATGAACAAGTACAAGTCATATTCCTCACTAAGGACCAGTGACAGTGATTCGACTAAAAATAACAACTCTTTTGACTATGGAGACATGATGAATAGGTACAATAGTATATTGCCAAATTATTTACAACAAACAAATATAAAATTAGTTGAAAAATTCAAGGTTCTTAGTGAATATCATCAGTATCAGCTTTCTTTCATTAAAAAGGAATACTATGGAAGTGACTTTTACTATGTAAATGATTATTATCACAGTACCGATCTAATTCCTTTCAGGTATAATCAAATCAAACTACCAATAATTAAGACTACTAATAATACTGCTACTACTGCTGTTAATAATAATAATAATAATAATAATAATAATAATAATAATAATAATAATAATAATAATAATAATTATATAAATTTAAACTCTTCATTAATTGAACTTGAAAATCAAAATTATATTATAAGCAAATTTCCTATTCAAAATTCAATTAAAAGATTTTGGCAAATGATTTATAAAGAATCTTTCCCTTTTTTCGATTCTTCAATCGAACCAATAGTGATTTTATTGACATTAGATAACAATGATACTTATAATAGTTATGGTAATTATAAATACTGGCCAACCAATCCAAATGATTACATTTTAATTGATAATATTGATAACAACCGAAAAGTTTCCAAATATAAACTAAAGATTAAAAATATCAATGTTAAATATTTTGAAAGTGGAAAATTTTATCATTCTAGATTATTGGTTGTTCCAATAACTGATGGTGGTGTTAATGATAATAATGATAATAGCGATATTTTTATTGATAATGAATTTAATTTATCATCGTTTGGTTTAAATAACCAAAAACCGTATGCAAAGATAGTGAATCATATTTATTACAATCCAAGCGAGTTTAATGACAATAAGTCATTTTTAGAGCTAGTAAAATATATTGAAAATTTAAATACAAGCAATAAAATTAGTAAGGTGAAATTGCCATTATTTATTTCGTGTATAAATGGAATTGGATCCACTGGATTATTTATTTCATTGCATTATTTATTAAATTATTGCGGCTATTTTAAAATTGATAATTTAATAGATATCATTAATATGAATCGAATTTTAAATCATAATGAGTCAAATAATGAGGATATTGATATAATCTTTAATTTTATTTGTGAATTGAGAAATCAGAGGTTACTTTTAGTGGAAAATGTATCTCAATTTTTATTTATATATTCTAATCTACGAAACATCTTATTAGAAAGAATTGATTTTTTTAAAAGGAATTTTGAATGTGTTCAAAGAGAGCTTTTTGATGTTTGGGGCAAGCAGGAAAAAAAGCTGGTTTGAAACCATATCTGCGGAACTATTTGTGTGATTTCATTGGTTGGAGCGTTTTCCGTAATAAGAGTGAAGGTGATACCAGAATAATACCAGAATAGTGCTGATAGAAACATTTTGTATGGGCAATTGATCGTTTGCATCAGAATTTGGCGTATCATGTTGATAAGTCGGCGGCATGGGAACTCACACTCTCTTCCAGTGTAAGTGAATGTGAATGTGATGGTGTTTGGTGTTTTTTGAATGTTTCCTCTTATGTTTTGGCTATTTTTGTTTCTATTTTTAAAGAGCATTGTGCAATTTTGTGATGTTAATTAATTGAATTTTGGCAAAAGGTTTTTGTATGAAATTGAAAAGGCGTGGGAAGTAGGAAAGAAGTTATGAAATATATATATGAAGGTTTTTCTAAGGATTTGAATATACTGATTGAATTGTGGAATTGGATTTTTCAAAGTTGTTTGTTTTGATTGGACTGAGCTAAGATTGTGTGATATATTGTGATAGCTATTGATTTTTATTTTTTATTTTTTATTTTTTATTTTTTATTTTTGATTTTTGATTTTTGATTTTTGATTTTTGATTTTTGATTTTTGATTTTTGATTTTTGATTTTGAATTCCTTTTCTTAATAATGGGGATTATCAATGTTTGGAAATGCTGCCAATGCAAATCAGATACAATTTCTGATGAATTTCAACTTGAGAGGCCAAATGATTTGCCGTATTACTTTTTCAGCTGTGGATGTAATCATAGAGCTTGTTCATTTTGTTCATTTTGTAAAAACAAAAAAATTAGACATGAAGCATTACTGAGGCAGTTTTTCCATGTCATTGATTACAGACATTATAAACATCGTTAAACGTTGTGAAACATCAATAGGTGTGATTATAATTGGAATTGGAATTGGAATTGGAATTAATTCGAGATGGCCGAATCATTTAATATTAGGCAACTAGATGTTTTTGTTGTGTTTGGCTCCAGTGTATAATTATAATTTAGTTTAATTTCATATCCCGGTCTGCTCGTTCTTAAATGTAGAAATAAAGTTTTCACCGACAACGGTTTGATTCAACCGGCTTGAGTCATCGTGCCCAATAATAGTATTAGAAATAGCAGTATTGGAAACAGCAGTATTGGAAAACAGCTCCAGCTATATTGTTTGGTTGTTTGGTCGTTTGGCTGGTCTGTTTTTTAGCTGTGTGAATTGACAAGATGAGTGAAAATAGGGCAAATGCCAAAAAGGAAAGCCAGGGTGGATATATTGGATTTGTCGCTGGAATGTTTTCTGGTGTAGCAAAAAATTTGGTTGGACATCCCTTTGATACCATAAAAGTTCGGTTGCAAACGTCTGAAAATCGGTTCAAGGGCCCATTGGACTGTGTTTATAAAACAGCCAGGTTGGAGGGCATAAGAGGGTTCTACAAGGGCTGCACACCTCCATTGATAGGGTGGGTGGTGATGGACGCAGTGATGCTAGGCTCGTTGACCAACTACAGACAATGCTTGATGGAGACGGTTTACTCAGGACAGGAAGAGCTTCCCCTTGTGGGGCATTGTCTAGCAGGAGTTGGAGCTGGATGGACAGTGTCATTTGTTGCTGCTCCCATCGAACAGATCAAAGCACGATTGCAGGTGCAGTACGATCCCAAGAGCAGGCTCTACTCAGGACCCATTAACTGCTTGAGCAAGATCGTTGGGAGCAGTGGGATCAGGGGGTTGTACTCTGGATTGTTCAGCACAATGGTGTTCCGAACCAACTTCTTGTTCTGGTGGGGGTCCTACGAGATCTTCACCACTCAGTTGAGGCAGCACACGCACCTCTCCGACGTGGCCGTCAACTTCTGGAGCGGCGGTCTTTCCGCGACCGTCTTCTGGGTGTTCGCCTATCCCGCCGACGTCGTCAAGCAGGTCGTCATGACCGACAGCCCCACCAGCCCTCGACATGCCACCTGGGCTGCTGCTGTGGCGCACGTATATCGCACGAGGGGCTGGAGGGGCTTCTTCAGGGGCTTTGTGCCCTCCATCCTCAGGAGCTTTCCCGCCAACGCCGCTGCCCTCGCCGCCTTTGAGTTCGTAAACACCGCTCTCCGGTAGTGTGGCAGGTGTCCATGTTCCGTCCGTGGCCGTTCATTTGCTGCTTTCACGGTGGGCCTTTTGCGGCACCTGTTTCCTTTTCTTTCGTTTCTAATACACCATCACCACCAATTGCAAGCTATGGTCTTCTAGCCTCCAGAACAACACAACAACAATAAAGTACTCACCAATGTCTGATACCAATCCTCCAACAATGGAGAGCCTTTCGAATGGCCAGAAGCTTCAGTTTTTTTACGATCTAGGTGTCTTGCTATTGACCTTGTCTAATCATTACAGTAACTGCATCCAGTCCTTCCAATTTGTTCTCGACAGCTACTATCTTAACGTTTTGCATACAGTCCTAGGTGTTTTAAATCTCAGCAAAAGATTGACTTCAAATGACATTGAATCCTTATTGTTGCCCCCACTTCTTGATACCAACATCAAATCCTTCAACAACAAACCAGACATCAAATCCTCTTTATTTTTCAAGAAATTCCACTCTTCCTTATCTGAAATCTACAGCATTTCAAACACCTCCAATCCCACTATCAACAAAGAAAAGATCATAGTCATCAACAAATGTCTAATGGTCTTGCAAGATTTAAAGCTCATTCAAATGAATTTGCTAAAATTCGATTTCTACTTGCTACTAAAATTTCAAACCTTTTTATCAATTTTCAACAAAAATTCAAAATTGATCAAGATCAAAAACAATGAAAACGACAACAACAATAACAACGAAAATGACAACATTAAAAACGACACCGACGTTTCTGATACAAATTCCAGGTCTTTTGGTCAAACTGAAATTCATGCCATTGGCAGCATCGACGATTTCGATGATCTTGATCAAGTTTTATCCGATTCTGACGATTTAGATAACAATAAAAATCAAGTTATCCTAGTCGCAAGCACGAAAATAGCTGGCTTCACCTTTCTCAAAAACTTTTACTTGAATTCAATCATGCTTAAAGGCAACAAAAAATTGTTGGATCTCATTACTGTTTTTGAAAACTTGAATAATTTCTTTTCTTTTAATAACAATATTAACATTATCAACAACATTAACAACATCAATAACAACAATAACAAAAATTCACTATCAAAAATTTTCAACCTATTCAATTCAAACAAATTCGACCAGATTCAACCTTTATCCTTTAATATTTTAATCATAATAAACGAAATTAAAAACTTCTTAAAAGATTTACCAAACTCTGCCCTGGTTTTCACCCTCGACATTAAAAAATTCGAAACAAACATTCTACTAAAAAACTTCCTATCTTTATTAAATTTATTAGATGAAAAAAAAATTACTCTAGTCGAAAAAACAATTTTAAACTTTAAATCTTATGAAAACTTCCAATCATATCATCAATACATCAATTCAAATAACAACGAGTTATTCCCAATATGGAACTTTAAAAAAAACTTTAATCTCCAACAACAAAAACAACAACAACAACAACAACAACAACAACAACAATTAATACCAGAAAATTCCAATTCAAATCACCTCTCCCTTTCGCTTCATGATTACCATAATAAAGACTTTATCAACAGTTACACAAATGAAATCCTGCAACCTTTAAACATGGACCTTGATGAAGATGAAACTTTACCCTACGTTTATTTAAATTACGAACTATTTTTAAGAGCCAACAGAGTTCTAAGAATCAACTCTCCCTTATTCAATTTAAAATTAATATATATGTTCAATCTAGACAATCACTCATTAAATAGCAAGTATATAGCTTCCTCTTCAAATCTAAATTTCAGTAATCTAAGCAACAACCTTGTTAATTCAAAAAAAAACTTGAAAAATAAAAAATTAATAAATTATAAAATTGAACTACAAATTAAAAACCTCTTCACTGTCATTAATAATATTGAATGCTTTTTAGATAAACTCATTGATTTTAATCAAAATTTATTAAACCATTTACAATTCGATAATTATAGAAATAAATACTTGAAAGATAACAATACTAATACTAATAATGATAATGATAATGATAATGATAATGATAATGATAATGGTAATGATAATGATGACGCTGATGACAGCAATAATCGCCAAATCGAATCAATAATCGGTGTTTTAGATGCATTGATGAATTGCAAAGGCCTAATAATAAATGACTTGTTAAGATTCAAATTAATTAACTTGAACACTCCTAATGATATTATTAAAGTTAAAAAGAAGAATAATGAAAATTCAAATGAAAACAAAATTTTAAATGAAGATGAAAATCTAAATGAAATAGACATCAAAAAGGGAAATTTAATTAATATAAATAAATTGATAGGTAATCTTAATAACTACGAAAGATTGATCAACTTAATATTCAAAACTAAGCTCGAAATAATAATTCTGAACTTGATAAAAGTTATCAATATTTACTTAACGATGGATTTCGACTATATTGTCAATACAAAGATTACTCATGGTGCAGCAGATAATATGTTTGAAATTATAGAAAGAGCAAATGGTGAGTTTGATCCAAAACCTGAGAAAACCGATTTTTTAGTAAACGGTTGGGAAAATATTCAAGAATCTGATGAAGCTGAAAACTTTGAAGAGTCTGAAGGATATGAAGAGGAAGAAGAAGATGAGGATGATGATGATTTTTTTGATGGATATGGTACTTTTAATAATCAAGAAAATCAAGAAGAAGTTAGTTTTCAAGAGATTATTAAGAAATATAAGTCACTAAATTATGTTTATTATAAGAAAAATAAATTTCATAATGGAAGTATTGGATTTCGTAGAAATGCTGACAATGATAAAAGTATGAAAAAACAGTTTAGTAATAATAAGATTAGTAAAGGGGGTAAAGAAAAAAATGGGAATAATAAGTTTGATATTGGTATAAAACAAAAAGAGGAATATTTTTATACAAAATATACCAAAGAAGATGTAATACAATTTATATTTGAGGATTTCAATTCAATTCTTAATAGCAGTTATAATCTTGAAAATGAACAGCAAGAAAAAGAAAAAGAAAAAGATAATGAAAAGGAAAATGGTGAAGAAGAAAATTTTATTTATAGAATTGAAAAAAATTTGATTTTAAAAGAACTTGGAATTTTAATTTCATTTTTAGTATTCAATTTAAACAATTTGAGTTTAAATTTATTAATTGATGAGGAAGTACAAGATAATGATAAATTATCGCTTGCAAGTTTTAGTAATAAAAAAGCTATAAGTAATGTTGGAAATTTAGAAAGTATTTGGGATATTAAGAATACAAAAACTACCAAGAATAGTAAAAATAATAAAAACAAAAATAACAATAATAACAAAAACACGAAAAATATGATAAATAATCAATTGATCCAAAAAAATGTTGTAATATTTGATAAGATAAATATCATTTTTAAAGATATATATAGAATTATTTAGTAGCATAATTAATTGATTGATTGTTCATTTATAGATTTGATTCTTAATTTACTTGATTTCTTAACTTGATTATCCATTAAATCTTTTATTCTATGAGAACCACTAATTGAGATGGCAAGAATTTTTTCTAGAGCATCTAGGGGAAGATTATTTTCTAATAATAAAAAGGAAACGTTTTCAGATTTTCCAATTATTGCGATTGTTAAAAAGGGCAAATCTAGTTCTTCTAAATAGTTTAAATCCAAAATGGGAAATTTACTGTTAAATAAACCACAGTTGACAGAAGAAATATAGTCATACATTGATATGCCGCTGTCGATTAAGGCCAAGCTGATTGAGTTTATTATTGAAGAGATCAATGAGCCATCTTGATTTAGTACAATTGTGTTTATTATGATTTGAGTTCTGGGATAGTTTTTAAGAATGATCAAATCTTGAAAGATGTTAACAAGCGAAACTTGCAATTCAAGGATTTTTTTTGAGTTTTTGCTCAATTTCTTGTTTGTTGTAGCATTGAAGAAACTGAAGGATGGGATATTGAGGTTGACAGTCAAGTAGGCTCTATCCTGAAGCAAGCTGGACTTGTTCTTGGGCTCGATAGGACCATGAACCATTGTCATGACCTTGGTGTTGCCGATTTGAAGATAGGAGGAGCCATCGCAGCTGATGGGATGGGTATTGATCTTGCAGGAGAGACGTCTGATCTCATTCCATCTTCTGCCATCAACCCTCAACCCCTCAGGGGAATATATTTCTTGACGAGACATCTACAAGGTGAGTGCTTCTAGTGGTGCTTGTGGTGATTCTGCTTCTTGAGCCGGTTTTCTTGAAAAATAAAATGCACGTGTAACACGTGTTTTTTGAGACCAGCAGTGCGGACGTGTACAGCTTTCTGTGCTTTTTTTCTGGGAAAATGTTCTCAACCACTTCTCAACCACTGCACCACAATGAGCTCCAACCCTTTGCAAATCGTTGACTTCAAGCAGCGCGACGAGCACAAGATTGCCTCTGAGCTCCTCGATGCTGCCATGAATCAGGGCTTTTTGTTCATTGATGGCCACGACTTCTCTCAGGACGAGGTCTCTCATCTCTTTCTCATCTCCAAACACTTTTTCGATTTGCTGCTTGCAGAAAAAACACAAATCCCTATCGATGAACAAAATTTTGGCTACTCAGACCTCTTTGGTGAGTTGTTGGACGAAAAATCAAACAACAAAAGGGGTGATCCCAAGGAAGCCTTCAATTTTGCAAATTTGAATTTCGAATCTGGTCTTCCCAGCCATGATTTACCAGATTTTTTCACAAATGATAACGACAAGATGGTTTTCATTTCAAACATAATTAAAAAACTTTACAATGTTAGCATCAAGATATTATACTATTTAGCTCTTGCTTTAAATATCGATGATTCAAAAGGTGGCAAAAATTGGTTTATTGATCGTCATCGACCAGATAAGAAATCTGGCTCTGTCTTTCGATTTCTAAAATACCCCAGCTTGAAGTCCATTGATTCGGAAAATTTGGTTAGAGCAGGTGCTCACACCGACTATGGTGGATTGACTTTATTGTTCCAACAGGAAAATCAAGAAGGCTTGCAGATATTTTTCTCATCTTCAAAAAAATGGGAGAGTGTTCCATACATCGACTCCATTTACAAAAATAAATCCTCGGCTCCGCCAATCATCGTTAACATTGCCGACCAACTCTCTTACTGGACCAATGGCATCTTAAAATCAACCATCCACAGAGTCCAATTCCCCATTAAAAGCATCGAACAAAACAAGGATCGTTATTCCATTGTTTTTTTCAGCCATCCTGAAGATGAAACTGCATTGGTTCCAATTCCAAGCGATTTTGTAAATCAAGTCAAAAACAGAGGTGCTTCAAACTCAAAGGAAGTTCTCACTGCCAAACAACACTTGGATAGACGTTTGGCTGCCACTTATGGCTGGAAGACTTACTAGCCTATACTCCTCATCTGCCATTGCCATCCTCCCACATACATAGGATCTTACAATTTATATTCCATTGACTTCTCCCTGCTTTTTAATCTCGACTTTCTCGACTTTCCTTTATCCTTTCCATTTTCCACATACCTTTTTAACACCTCTAACCACCGGATTCGCCTAATCCGGTAATGTGTCACGTGCATGATACTTTTGAAATTTTTCTTCTGTTGACCTTTCTCAAAGAAACCCTTTGCAGGCAGTTATAATCAGATTTCACCACATATACCAATCTACCAAATGGATGCCTATAACCAATTGGTCTTGCCAACCAGAGTAAACGACTCAGTTGCCTGCAATTTCACAAGTTTCAACCATAAAAATCTAATTGTCTCAAAAGGAACATTATTACAAATCTTTAAAATCTTCACTACCCAAAATAACAAGAAAAAACTATCCCTAATCAATGAATATAATTTACAAGGAAAAATAAACAATATTCAAGTTTTAAAGTTATCTTTAAGTGGACTACATAGTGATAATTTTGATGATATTAATGATATCGATGATTTTGAATATGAAAATGAAAATGATATTGCCTATAACAATAATCCTCAATTTTTAAATAATACTGAAAAAAATCATAATCAAAATAATCAATTGTATCTGAATAATCCGAATAAAAACAAAAAGCTAGATCACTTATTAATTTCAACATCTTTTGCTAAAATATCAATTATTAAATGGAATATCTCTAAAAATTCCATTGAAACTACATCTTTGCATTATTATGAAAACTATTTTGATTCTTTAAATTCATTTAAAGATTTAAACGAATCCTCAAAATTAATAATGGATCCAAACTACATTTGCTCTTGTCTATGGTTTGATAATTTATTAGCTTTTTTACCTTTTAAACAAGATTCGGATTTTGATTTTAATTTTCAATTGGATAATAAAAAAACCTCAAATAATACCAATACCAATACCAATACCAATACTGCTGTTACTACTACTAATACTACTACTACTACCAATAATAATAATAATAATAATAATAATAATAATAATAATAATAATAATAATAATAATAATAATAATAATAATAATAACAATGATAACAATCTAAATATTTCAAAAAACGCCTCTTCAGTAGGTTCTACAAGCCATAAAATCAAAAAAAGAAAACTTTTTTCATCATCAGAAAACAACCAGAATTCTTATAAAAGCGAATTTAATGATAAAGATAACGATAAAGATAAGGACAACGATAAGTATAATATATATAACAATCATTCATTTGAGACTCATGATAAAACTCAAGATCAAAATCAAAAAGATTACGATATTCTATCAAGTTATGATGACACAATTTACTATCCTTCATTTATCATATTTGCAGAAAAACTAGATCCTCAAATAAGCTCAATCCTAGATGTTCAGTTTTTAGAATCTTTCAGAGAGCCAACCTTAGCAATATTATATTCCCCAAAAAGAACATGGGCCGGAAATTTACCAAAAGTTAAAGATTCGCTTAGTTTGATTATTGTTTCATTAGATTCTTCTTTAAAGATATCAACAACAATTTTAAACGTTAAAAATCTACCTTATGACTTATTCAAAATATTTCCTCTCAATAGTCATTTAAATTCCGGATGTCTTTTAATAGGAACTAATCAAATATTGCATTTGGATTCTTCAAATGGCTCATCTAAGGGCTTATCCTTGAATAATTTTAACAATTATTTTTCTTCCAATTTTAGCACTTATTTCAATTTTCAAAATGATTTGAATCTAAAATTAGAAAATTCCATTTTCAAATATATTAAAAACGTCAATAAAATATTGATTTTAACTCAAAATCAAGGTTTTTATTTATTAACCTTGCAATTTGAAGGTAGAGAAATTAAAAAATTTTATGTTGAAAATTTTAATATTAACAATCGTATATCGAACGATAATTACTTAATTAAAAATATTACCAATCCCTTAACAATTACAATGGTAGAAGAAGAAAATCTAATTTTTATTGGATCAAATGATGGCGACTCTATTTTATTGCAATGGAATTATTTTCACGATACTCTTTCAACTACTTCCAACAATTTACTTAAACAAAACCGAAGTTCTGTTAATAATAGTTCCTCTTCTAAAGAAAAAGATTTAAAAGTTGATGAACTTATAGAAATTGACACTGATGAAGAAGAAGTTGTTGAAAATAATGATCAAAACAATGAAAAGGGTATCTTTATAAAGGAACAAGATACCTCACACTCAGATTCTGATTCAGACGATCTTGAATACGAAAAAGACGATGACGAAGATGAAATCAATTACATCAACGATACAGTAAATCCTAATGACAAGATATCAACCTCAAAGGACTTTTTTTTCAAAATTCATGATGTGCTAATTAATAATGGTCCGATAACATCCTTTGTTATTGCTCCTTTATCCACGTATAAATTTATCAATGGATTACAAAATCCAAACCATGATGAAGTTTCAATTGTTGCAACCAGTGGTGCTAATAATTCTTCATCTATAACTGTTTTCAATCCTTCAATTCAACCAGAAATTAAATCGACTCTTAAATTTAATAACGAAATCACCAATGTTTTTACTTTAACTACAAAATCTGTTTTAATTACACGTAAAAAGGGAATTCGATTAGAAAAAAACTTTAATTATTTGATTACTACTAATCACTCTTTACTAAAAAGTGATATTTATTTAGTAAATGATAATTTTAGAAATTGGACCAAAAGTGATTTTGTAATAAATGATTTTACTCTTAATGTAAATTTTATTAATAAAGAAAGACATATTGTCCAGATTTGTAAGAAAATCATTTACTTATTTGATTTGAATTTCAAATTATTGCAAACTTTAAAAATAACTGATAAATTTGATAAGAACAATATACAAATACAATCAGATAATGTTCAAAGCAATAATAATAATAATAACGATGACCAAAATGATGAAAGTAATAATGAGGTTTTTACTTTTGCTGAAGTTTACGCAAATTATATATTATTAACAACTTCGACTGGTGCTGCTAGAGTGTTAAAATTCATCTCAAATGTTTTAGACGATAATGAAAAGATAAATATTTTTTTTGAAAAAATTAAACTACCCTCTATATTAGATGATATTTTAATTACAAGTGGAGCAATCGCCAATTCAAAGTTATACAAATCTGTGAACAATGTTGACTCAATTATTGATTTTGTGCTTCGGAAAAGAAATGCTGATAAAGAAAATGTAATAAAAAAAGAAATAAACACAAAACTAAATCCAAAATATGTTGAAGATATTGATTTGATGGATGAAGGTGAAAAAGGAATTTTGTTTATATTGGTTACTGGCGATAATAAAGTTATGATATTCCAACCAAATCATAAAGAAAAAGTTTTCACGTTGAATAATATTTCAAAACTTTCTAATTATCTTTATTTAAATTTTTTTGATATGAATGCAAGAAGTGATGTTGATCCATTTATAAAACAAATCAAACTAGTCTCTTTGGGTGATAGATATTATACTAGAGAATATTTGATTTTGTTAACAATCGGAGGAGAGGTTATAATCTACAATTTATTTTGGGATGGTGAAATTTGTAAATTTTTGAAACAAGAGAATTTGCAAATAACTGGGGCCCCTGATAATTCGTTTTCCTGGGGGACGAAGATTGAAAGAAGATTACAATACGTTGATAATTTTAAAAATGGTTTGCATGTTTGTTTTGTCACAGGAAGAATACCATTTATAATTATAAAAGAATATCAATCAATTCCAAGGATTTTCAAATTTACAAGATTTCCATCAATTGCATTTGCAAGATTTAAATACAAGACATCATTTATTAATAGAAAGCATAATCATATTTTAAATTACACTGATAAAGGATCAGATTTTATTTTTGTTGATATTTCCAAAAATGCTAGAATTTGCTCAATACCTTATGAAAATATTGAAACTTATATACATAATAATATTGCCGTTAATAATCATGTCTATAATACCCAAAACAATCATAATAATAACAATAAAAACAATAACAAAAATAATGATAAAAATAAAAATAGTGATAATAATAACAATAATGATAACGATAATGGTGATGATAATGATAATAATGATAATAATGATAATAACAATGTAAACAATAACAATGATGTTAATGATATAAATGACAATCATTCATACAATAAATTGCCAAAAGTATTTAACTATAGTAATAATTTACCAGTAATAAAAATTCCATTTGAAGATTGCTTGAAGTCGATAACATATCATCAAGACACTGGTACATTTGTGATATCAAGTTATAAAGTAGTTACATATAACTCTCTTGATGAAGATGGAAATAAAATTGTGGGATTTGACGATACTAAACCCCAAGCTCTATCATATAAAGGATTCATTAGGCTTGTGTCACCTTTAAATTGGAGTATCATTGATGAAATTGATTTAAGTGTTAATGAAATAGCACTAAATGTCAAGTCAATTTTTTTAAATATTGGATCTTCAACAAATGAGAATGATAGTAGTAATCCAATGAGTCAAAATCCATTGCTGTTTTTCCATGAATTTAATGATACAAATTCTACAGGTAATAAAAAAAAAAGGGAAATTATACTATTTGGAACAGGAATAGTGAGAACTGAGGATTTGGTGTCAAGTGGCGCATTTAATCTTTATGAAATTATTGAAGTTGTTCCAGAACCAGGAAAACCAGAAACCAAGCATAAATTTAAAGAGTTGTTTCGAGAGAAAACTAAAGGAGCAGTCACTTCAATATGTGAGGTTTCAGGTAGATTTTTAGTGTCCCAGGGGCAGAAAATAATTGTTAGAGATTTACAAGAGGATAATACAGTTGTCCCAGTTGCATTTTTTGATACTTCTTTATATGTCTCTGAAGCTAAATCGTTTGGAAACTTAATAATTTTAGGTGATGTTATGAAAAGTATTTGGTTATTAGGGTTTGATGCAGAACCGTATAGAATGATAATGTTATCAAAGGATAATTGTCAGATTGATGTGAATTGTGCCGAATTTTTAGTATATAATGGCGAGATGTTTCTAGTTGTTGCAGACAACGATAATACTTTACATTTATTAAAATATGATCCAGATAACTCGACTTCAAAAAATGGGTATAAACTACTTCGAGAATCTATTTTTAATATAAATTCATTGACAACATGTATGAGATTTTTACCTAAAAAGCCTAATTTTTCAACATATATATCATCATCAAATAATGAATTTCAAGTGATTGGGAGTAATGTTGACGGGTCTATTTTTTCAGTGATTCCAATTAGCGAAGCAAGTTATAGAAGATTACATATATTACAAGAAGAGATTATCAAGAAAGACAAAAACAGTTGGTTAGGATTAAATGCTAAGGGGAATAGATTATTGCCATTAAGTTTAAATAAGTATTTAAATTCTAATTTAAATAAAGATTTTTTAATAAAATCTTCATTAATTGGAGAGAAAAAATTTAATAATAATAAAAACATTAATAATTTAGGGTTTGGAAATTACGGTGATTTTAATTTTGGGATGAATAATGATAGTAACATAAATGAAAAAATTAAAAATGTTATTGATTTTGAGGTGATCAAGAAGTTTATTAAAATGAATGATGATAAAAGGAAAAAATTAGGAAACAAAATCGGAGAAAATTATTACCAAGAGCTATGGAAGGATTTAATTGATAATTTATTAAATGGGTTTTAATTGATTATTGAAAATTAATATGTAAATAATTAAATAGGATTAATATAAATGAAGAAATTAAACCTCCGAAATAAGCGGCTATAATTAAAGGAATTGGATATAATTGCCAATCTCTATCCCAATCTAAAATTATTGTAAAAGTAGATAACCAGATTGAAATAATTATTGAAATATTGATTGATAATAAATGATTATTAAGTAAAAAATTCAAAGAAGAATTTTTGAATATCAATAAAGAGTGGTAGATTTGAAAATTAAATTGATAAAAGGAAATTATAGGAAAGACGATTAAAATTGATAAGTTCAAAGATAAAACAAGAGTCTGGGAAGATAAAGTTGAAATTGGAGCACCAAATAAAATTAAGATTAAATATATTGGAAAAGTGAATAATAGAGATATTAAAGTTGCAGAAAAAATTAAGACTAAAGTAAAAGAATTTTTCTTGTTATTTGATGTAGACTGATTAAAACTAAATTTTTTATCAATTTTTTTAGTTTCATTTATATTTTTTTTATTTTTTTTGAATTTAGTATTATTGATATTATTTTCAGAAATGTTATTGATTTTTTTTGTGGATAAGAAAGTATCATTTAAAATGATATATAACCATAAAATGTGAGAAAAATAAAGGATAACAATTGAATTGAATAAGACAAAATTTGTCTTATTAATATCAATTAAGTCATCATATTTCGATATTAGTAGATAATAGAGTATGAAAATAAAATGATAAGGAAATTTGTAAAAATCAAAATTATTAATCTTTGGAAAAGAAAGATGGTAAATTGAGTTGATAGTCTTTAGGGGTTTTAAGATTTTGGAGGATCTAGTGGATCTGGGAGATTTGAGGACTTTTGTGGATTTGCTGCTGTTATTGTTAGAAGTTTTCAGTTGGTGGGTGTCTTCCTTCAAGTGGATCTTCTCATTGTTGACAAGTGTGTTGATGTTGATTGAAAGAGAGTTGGTCTCGCTGCTGGAAAGGCTGGAGTCGTTAGAGGATATGCTCGTCAACGAGGAGGAGTCGATCCAGGTGACAGACTTCTTAGGATTAGTAGGAGCAGCCATTACTGGTATTAAAGCGTTGAAAAAGCTGAAGAAGTTGAAGAAGTTACTGATTCTGCTCCTGTTGCTGAAATAACACCGGATTTTACCGCGGTGGTTTTCGGCGGATGTCATATAAGCATTCTTCTGCTTATTACGTCGTATGTATGTGCAATTAAAGTATAGACACGTATAGACACATATAGTTGCTTTTACTGCTTTTGCTGCTTGTTCTACTATCAACGCCTGTGCTGGCTCTGTTTGCTTTTTTTGCTTGCATCCAATAACAACCCTGAGCCCCGTTTGATTTGGATGGTTTTTTTCCAGCGCAACTCACTGTCGCTTCCATCATTATCGTCCAGCACCTCCTGTCTTGTTGGTGTGTTTCGAACTTTCCTCATTTTCTCCTTCCGCATCTTATTTTTTAACGACACCATCGCCTTTGAGTCCTCTTTATTAATTCTAAAGCTGGGCTGTTTATTATTTTGGCTTCTATTTTGACTCATGGTAATTTTGTTTAATTTTTGATCCGTTTTCAAAAACTGCTCAACTGTTTTGATATGCTCTTTTTGTTGGCGCGTTTTGTCTTCTTCTTTATTGCCACTACTAGCAAAGGACAATCCAAAACCATTTGTGATTATCGGAAGCTTTAAAAATTCGTCATTTGATGCAGACACTGTATCACTGATATTGCTATTTGCCTCATTTCTGCCATCTGATTCAATCCAATTTTTTATCCTACGGTTAATGTTGTTTAATGAATATCGAAATTGCAAAGACAACTGTTTATTCAAGCCTTGCTGTTGTTTCTTCTTCAAATCCTGCATTACTATCTAATTTATCTTATCATAACACAAATTAAAAAGAAAAACTGTTGAAAAACCCAGGGCCTTACACGTGCTAGCAGCGTTTTAAGCCGTTTTTATCCCATTCTATCAGGGTATGTTGCTGTTTTTACTGCTAAACAAAATTTTGCAATCAGCACAAATAACGCCAGCACTATTTTCAATCCATATATCTGCTTTACTGGTACCGCCATCTACAACATCATTTATCTTGTATTTTAAACTTATTTCATCGTCCACATACGATGGATATCGATTCTTATAACTTATCGATTGAATAAATTTATACTCTTCACTAATTTCCCTATTTATCTCATTATTGACAAAATATCTTATCATAATTAATATCAATAGTGGACCATGAATAATAAGTTTAGGAATCTTTTCAATTTCCGAGCAATATTTTAAATTATAATGAATTTTATGTGAATTAAATGTTAAGCTTGAAAATCGAAATAAAAAAATTTCACTAATCTTAATTTTTTTTGTTTTATTATTATTATTATTACTATTATTATTATTATTATTAATATTGTTATTATTATTATTACTATTGTTATTTAAATTAGATGTGTAATAAAGTTTCCTAGTTTCCTGTAAACAGTTATCATTATTACTATTAAATATCTTTCTATCAATTGTAATATAATAGTCAATTTTATCTTCATTGTATTTAAATCTTTTAATTTTGCTAACTTTTTCAATGCATTCACTAAAATCATTCAATCTTAAAAAATGATTTTCGCCTTTAATTATAAGTTTCCCACCAACCCATAGTCTTCTTTTGAATAGCTGTTTATATCTATTTGATCCATTTAAACTTGAATCAATTGCAATCGGAGCCTGGTAATTATCATACCCATCATCACCAATTAATTTTTCTTCACAAACTGGATTAAAAAAAATAAAATTATACCCAATTGGTAACACTCCATTCATTTTCAATTTATACTCATTATCAAAACCAATGGAATTTAACATTTTCATCAATTTGCTTGCATGAGTTAATGATAAATCATCTTCAATTGTCCATTTTTTCTTGACTATATCATTCTTAAATTTGAAATATTTTGCTTCAACTGTATTGTGTTGCAATGATGAATAGAATCGAAGAATACTAATCTTTTTGATAACCAAATGATTGAACCCTTTAACTCTCCAAAAAATACTCATATTCCATTTTGATCTACCACATTTAAATAAAAATCTTGAGCAAAAAATAACAGAAAATAAAAACAAAAAGTAAAAATATGCGTAAGCCCGGAATCGAACCGGGAGCCCAACGATGGCAACGTTGAATTTTACCATTAAACCACTTACGCAATCCCCTGGTTGATTCAAATTACAAAACTACTTATAATACTCTTTTGCTTTGCTGCTACTGTGGCTGTAGCACTGAATTAGGTTGTTTTTTGAAGACTAATCGCGAAATCGGATGGCAAACTTCTTTTAGTATCTACGTCTTTTGCACCATCAACACCAACATCAGCACTATCAACATCTCTATCTTTCAGTTGTTCTGCTCAAGAAAAGCAAACCAACACTTTTCATCAATTTTATTTGGTCAGGTCTTCTGTTTTACCAACACAGTTTTACTTTCTTATTGCAATGTCATCCTCAATTATTCTTCAAGCTAGGCAATTAGTTATTGATAAAAACTATAACGATGCTGAACTTTTATATCATAATATTTTATACAGCGATGGTAATAATGAAAATAAGCTTTCAAATGACTATTCTATTCAAGAAAAAGAGGAATCTATTTTAGATTTGGGCCATCTTTATAAATTAACCTCAAATTCTGAAAAATTGCACTCTTTAATTTTAAAATCAACTGAAGTTTTATCAATTATTGCAAAATCAAAGATTTCAAAGATTATTAGACAATTAATTGATTTATTTAATTTTATTCCCGATTCAATTGATACTCAAATTCTCTCTTTGAAGGAGGCGATCAGTTGGGCTTCAAAAGAAAAAAGATCCTTTTTAACTCAATCTTTGCAACTAAAATTAGCTCAATTATATTATAAAAAATTTTATTTTAATGATGCTTTAAATTTAACTAATTCATTATCTTCTCATTTAAGAAAACTTGATGATAAAAACACTTTAATTGAGGTTCAATTATTGCAATCAAAAATTTACTATAATTTAAAAAATTTTTCAAAATCTAAAGCCTCATTAACAAGCGCAAGAACTTCTGCTAATTCAATTTACTGTTCGTCTAAATTACAAGCTGATTTGGATTGCATGAGCGGAATTTTACATTGTCAGGATAATGATTTTGAAACTGCTTTTTCTTATTTTTATGAGGCTTTTGAAAATTTGAATTCTTTAAATTGGTCTAAAGAATCTGAATCTCAAATTATTAAAATTTTAAAATATATTTTACTAACTAAAATCATGTTAAATAAAAATGACGATATTATTCAAATTTTATCAAATAAATTAATAACTTCTTCAAAATCAATTCAAAATAATTTAAAACAATTTGATGCTATTAAAAAGATCTCTATAGCATATAACCAAAAATCGTTAGAAAATTTTCAAAAAATTCTAAATGATAATTCAAACGAATTTTCAAATGACTATTTAATTAAATCAAATTTTAAAACTTTATATCATCAGTTATTAGAACAAAATTTATTAAAAATCATCAAGCCGTATTCTTGTATTGAAATTTCTTATATTTCAAGATTAATTAAATTGGATGAAACTTTTATCGAAAGCAAATTATCTCAAATGATTCTAGACAATGTCTTTTATGGTGTTTTAGATCAAGGAAATGGTTGGTTATATATTTATGATGAAAATAAAATTGATAAAAATTACGGTTCTGCTTTACAATTGATAAAAGAAATGAGCAAATCTGTCAACTTGTTATATGAAAAGGCTACAGTATTAAATTAATTGTATTTAATAATTTCCACCGGTTAGTTTCTATTTTTTTTATTTTTTTTTAGATTAAATATATTCTATTATTAGATATATTATATAAATTTATATAAATTTAATGCTATTTAAGATTGGTATTTTTTTTCTATTAATTCTCTTAAAAGGCGATTGTTTCTATCTATTTTTCTATTGATCTCAGTAAGAGTTTTAACTTGTGATTCATAAGCTATTTTTTGATATCTGATATTAAAATCAGTTAATTTTTTCATTCTTTTATTAATTTTTTGTAAACAAGTAAGGTTGGATGGGTTTTCGTCATTGCGATTTTGGTTACCATCATTATTATTTTCATCATATGAATCACCATTTTTTTTTAACAAAACCACATTAAATTGTTGGAACACATCTTTCAAATAAAGAGTATTTTCAAAAAGATCTAAAGAATTAGAATTATGTTCTTTGAATACTTTGAAAAAAAAAGGACCAAACTCAAACAAATCTGTCACAGTAATACTAAGTTTCTCAATTATTAATTCTAAATGATTTTCATCTAATGTTTCAATTGCTGAAGTAGATAATAGCTTATTGCAAATTCTATTCAATTTTGTTAAGCATTTGTTAGTCTCTATTGGACTTATTGTAGGTATGGGAATTCCTTGATCGTTAACTTGAGCTCTTGGTTTTATTTTAGCTAGTGCATTGTGAACTAAGTTAATATGGTCTGTAATGTCGAAAACATATTGGGATACAGTTTTATCATTATTTTGGTCATTAGATATTTCACTATTAGAGGAAACAGTAAGGACCTGTGCAATTTCTCCATATTTAGGGTGATCAGTAGTATACAGCGATGTTTGATTGTAATTTCTAAAATCAGTTTCATCGCTGTCATCAGTATGGTGAGGTTGATAAGTATGATAAGATTTTTCTTTTGTTTCTGTTGCAGAATAAGAAACTGGAGCCCTTGATATAGAGGAGATACTATATACTTTGGGATCCGAACTATAGGTTTGACCTATTGATGAAAACAAGTTTTGAGTTTGGCTATAAGCATGTTCATCGGTGTTGATGTAGCTTGACGTTATAGGAAGACCAAATTGAATTTTTGGTTGAGGAAAAAGGTGTTGAGGTCTTGGGAGTATTTGATGATGTTGTTGATGTTGTTGATGTTGTTGATGTTGTTGATTTGGGGGTTGGTATTGATACTGAGGTTGGTATTGAGGTTGGTATTGAGGTTGGTATTGAGGTTGGTAATGATTTTGCTGCTTGGAATAATGAGGATGCTGCTGATAATCAGTTGCAATATTCTGACTTTGAGAAGGTTGGTGAACAAATGGGGGAGGTTGATGAATGGGCTGAAAGGTATCTTGAGATAAAATAGGACTTTGATGGTTAGGTGGTGTGAGAGATGGTTTTGTTGTTCGAACAGGCAGAAATGGACGAATTGAAGTCGGTACAGAAAAAGAAGCCGAGGAGGCAGAAACAGAAGGAAGGCTGGAAGGAGATGGTGATAAAGAAGCAGAAGATGGCAGCGGAGAAGCGGCGGACCCTGCCAAGCACTGCGCTTGAGGGGTCTGCTCGGTTGGAGGGACACTGTGGTCAAGACCGTTGGAAGAAGCATCTGGAACAGTGTTCAAAAGCAGCCGGGGGTTGTTGCTTGGAAGGGGGTCCAATTTTGAATCAGATTCCAAATCTGAACTTAATCGTGGGTAGGGTGTTTCCTTTGGAAAATCTCTGAGAATACTTTCTTCATAAACAACATCACTAGGAATGTCAGCAAAAATACATGCTTCAACAACAACTCTACAAAATCTTGCAACATATTGATTTGTTTCAAGATCCGTAAACTGGTTGTTGGGATCAATAATCTGTTTTTTGTTTTCATAGGTGGGAAGCACCACCTCACCATCTGTGTCAGAAGCAAATACAGAAATTGACTCATTTTCGGGAAGAACATATTTTTGATTTTCTAAGATTTGATTTTGCAATTCAACTGGCAAACCAATTATTAATTTTTTTTTGTTATAGTCATACTCTAAATCGTAATATCGAAACAATATTTTTTCATGTGGTTCTAAAAACAACAAAGAATTATTACTTTTTTTTGCATAATTTGCTTGCAAGATGCTCCCAATATCCGTAGAAAGTGGCATGTTGTCATTGGTGAGTTGAATTATGTTAAAATTTTTATCAGAATTCTTACTGAACTTTTCATCATTTTCATTATTATTTTCATCATCAACATTGACATTAATACCAATTCTTCCTGTTTCAATATTTTCTTTGCTTTCATTTGTATCATTATTCAAATTATTATTGAAATTTCTATTAACAATTGTTTGATTATGTTTTTCTTGTTTGTTTTGAATGAAATAATTGTTATTGGCCTCTGTTAAAAGTTCATTTAAATTTTGAACACAAACAGAATTAAGCCTTCTATAGGCAATCACTTCTTTATAATGTTTTTGAAAATCACTTCTTGCATACCTTAAAGTGATATCTGGAAAACCAGAATAAAGTCCAATTTTTTTCATATATTTATTAAATATTCTGACAGTTCTAATCCAAAATTTTCCAAATTCACCATAAGGAATGGCATATAATTTGTTTGATAATATAACTTGATATAACAAACATCTTAACTCATTATTCAACATCAAAGGTGATTTTCTTTTTTTTGGAAGTCTTGGAAAAGGTGGAAAGTGTGAAGGTAATGATGGATGGTTTCTGTCTCCATTTTGATAAACCTGAGAACCTGAGGAATTTGTGAGTGAAGGTAACTCAGGTAAATCCCTGATCCTAACTATTTTTAGAAAATTTCGATTGAGATTTCTTTTAACTCTTAGATCGGTTAATATATTAAGATTAAAAATTTTAGAAGCTTCAACACTGATTATTTTATCAATTGATAAAAACACCGATTGATTATTATCATCATCAATTTGTGTTAAAGATTGAGATTTAGTTGCAGCAAGTGAAGCGCTCGAAGAATTTACAAGTCTTTTGTTTGACTTAATTTCATTTGAATTCAATGATATTCTTTCAGCAGAGGGTTTTTGTTTTTGTTTTTGTTTTTGTTTTTGTTTTTTAGATGGAGTTTGTTTTTTTTTTGAGTTTTGAATTCTTTTAGATTTTCTGAGCTTGGAAATTTTAGAGTTTTTTTGATTCTTTTGAAGTTTTTGAGGTTTTTTAATTTTAGAAGGTTTTACCAATTTCAATTCATTATTGCTGGCTTTTATATTATCAGTTTCAGAAATATTAGAATCTATAACATTTGAGTCAATGTAGCTAGAATCTTTAAAACTAGCAACAACAAAATTATTAGTATTAGCAGTAGTGTTATTAGCTATATCAATAAAATTGGTACTATCAGTAGAGTTAATAATACTATCAATTGTAATTAGATTTTTTTTATTACTATCATAAGTAGTACTGGTGTCATTTAAAGGATTATTTCTCGATATACCAAGATTATCTGCTTGATAAAGTTTTGTTTTGCTAGTGAAATGATTAACTATTAAACCGTTAGAAGAAAGAGAGTCTTGTCTCTCTGAAAATGAAAATGATTGAGACTGAGCCTGGCTTTGAGATGGTAATGGTGCTGCTGGGAAAAAAGAATGTTCAAGAGAATTAGAGTTCTTTTGCTGTTTAGAAGAAAACCTCATATTTGAATACTCTTTTGGAGTCACTAATATAAGGTGTCAAATAAAACAGCTAAGATGACAGCTAAGACGAAAAAAATATATAATTAAATATATAATTAAATATATAGTTAAATATAACAATATGAATAAAGAGTCACTCAAAAAAGATTAAAAACAAGATTCAATTGATGAAATTGTAAAAGAGAAAACTAAACGAAATAAAAGGAGAAAATTGACTGTTAATAAATGATTTGAAATATTTATATTGAAAGTAAAATAAAAAACAATCTGATAAAACATCCAACAATCACTCTTATAAAGAAACTTAAAGTTGTGAACACAAAAACCCCCAGATTCATGTAATTATCTGCAAGCGGTACAAAGCAGTGTGAGTGAGGCGCGCAGGCTAAAACAATCCTTGCTGACAAAATCATAAATAGGTCTATTTGTAACCCTGTCTCGGTGTCTACCGAAAAATTATTTGTTTTTTTATTGTTGAGTATATAATTGGAGTCAAAAAGAAGCAAAATAACCAAAAGGAATTGAACAGAAAAAAGCAAAATAAGAAAACCCAGAGAGCAAAAAAGCATTGAAAGCACCAAAAACTTCAAAACAGAAGTCTTTAGAACGCTATTCTTATTTCATTTGATTTTGCTGATGAGTTTCAAAAACTAGATCGTTTGAAACTTGTTTAACTTGTTATTAATTAATTCAAAGTATTTTGTCAAAAATTGAATATACTAAGATCCTATTGGTTTTTCCTAACTTTTATCTTTGAATAATTTTTTTTTTTGTTTGAGTCATTTAATTTTCCTTGTTTATTTTGGGACATTTTGGTTTAAAATAGAACATTTGATTACCCAAATCTGAAAGCTTTTTTTCTAAGTAATTGACCAAATTCTCAATGTTTCGCTGTTTGCTATTATACTAAGGGGGGAAGAGAACTTGATATATTTCACTAATTATTAAATGTTAATACAATTCAATTTTGTGCTCTTAAATCCAAATAAAATAAACTAAAAGTTGAAATTTAATAATAGACGGGTTATTCACACAAAAATGGTTTTATAAATCTTATGTTGTTTTAAAATTTTAATAATAATTTTTTTGAAGGATTGGCTAAAAATTATATAAATTGCAAAGTCATATTTTCTTTTAAGTTGTACTTCCTTTTGTATATTTTTTTACATTTATTTTTTGTTTAGTGTATATTTTTAAATTTTGACTTTATTTTGCACAATAATTGAGTATTGATAATTCCAATGATTAGAAATTGATTTAATTACTAAATTATATTTCGTTATATTTAATTTTACGGAAATAAAATATTCTAAATAAAAACAATATTGGTTTTCATTAATCAATATTATCCAAAATAACAAACACTTGGTGAAGATATCATAATTAGCAAATGTTATCACTAATAGTAATTTGATTGTGTTTTGTCTTGATCTTGTTAACTTCTTGCCAAACTGTAGTCAAAGCTGAAATCCAACTAAATATTTTAAAATTAAATTCAATCGTTTTATTGGACCAGTATCTGCTAATAAACACGTTTAAGTTTTTTGTACAATTAAATCCTTGATTATGCATTTGCATGCAAAAAAAACATTATGCTATTTCACTGTTTTCGGTATTTTCGTAAATGATGCTTGGGAGTTATCGTCCACTTAGTACTGGTGGTAAACAAGAAAAAAAAATCGCTATTTGTTCTACCAATGAAAACAATTTTCCGGTTTCTGTTAAAACATAAATGAATTTGAATTCTTTGGATTTGTACTATTTCTTATCTACTGTTTCAATTATTTGCTGAATTTTGGATTTTGAGCTTTGGACTTTGTTTTGACTAGAAGTGCAATATCACGTTTGGCAGTATGTGCTAAGAATCTCCCACTTTTGAAATTATTCTGCACATCAGTCACGATCACTGGAAAATAATTTTAAGCCTACTCTTGCCTGTTTACTCGTACCTAGTTGCTTTTTCTCACAATTTGTTTTTGCCAAACCGTATCATCAATGCCAACAAATTCAGTTCTGCAAGTACTGGTAATCTGTTCCAATTTCAAATGATTGCAAGGGAAATCTTGGTGTTTGGATTTTTTGCCTCTATTTTGTCTCTTCATTTGGGCTGAGTGTTACTTTCCTGGAAGTGATAACTCTTGCCGGCCGACGCCACGCCAAACTCTAAGCGTTCCTGGAGACAGTCGCAACATTCGCCGCCACCGGCCTGGCTTGCGCGCTGCCTGCACGTAGACGTGTTGCAGCAGGAATGAAGTCTTCAGAAGTTTAGATAATTTGACCAAATTGTTTGTTTGCGCGGGATGGATTGCTTCTTCAGTTTGAAACTGCTTTAAGGTTAGTTAGAATTAAGTCACTATATCACGTGCTTGGTATACAATCTTTGCTTAATGAAGTTTTTCAAAAATGGGAGAATCATCGAATTAGTCTGAAAATGTTATTTCTTGAACTGGTTTGGTTTCATTTCAGTTTGGTTTGAAATATTTCTTCCAGTTTGTTTACGGTTTTGTTTACCATGCGCAGTTCTCCAAACCAAAATCAGCTCAAAACTGAACCGAAAAACAAAACGGACTTTTGGTCCTGGTCCGCTTTGGTACAAGCACTATTCAGAAGCTGCTATGAAGCCTGCGTGAAACGCAGAGCGAACCCAATTGACTCTTATTGGTCGTTTCTCGCTTTGTATGCTCATGATTGTTTCCTGTATTTTCTGTTTTTTCATCTTCTACCTTCACTCTATTTTGTATCTTCTATTATCAGTTTTTCTTGTTTTAAAATAGAAAAAATTGTTTTATCTTTTCCTTGTTGGTGTGTTTAGTACTTTATGTATTTCATTCAACTCCATTCCTTTGCAATTTTCTTTGTTTTATTTTTCTGGCTGGTTATCTTAATTTTCGTAAAACTCAGTAATCTCTTTTAGAATTCTTGACTATTTGTGTACTACCCTAGTAAAAACCAACTTTGATGAATTTTATTTATTTGCTTGTTTCACATTTTAAACGCCACTGCTCATATTCCTTTCATATTTTTTTATCGTTAAATCTTAATTCAAAAAATCTCATGGCAAAAATACCCAATGGCTATTTTTTTTATCTCAACTTATTTGTTTAAACAAATTTTTAGCTAAGCATCTATTATTTAAAGTTTTTATGTAATTACAAAATAACTATTATTATTTTTTTAAGATAGTATTGCGCATAACAACTTTGTGTATAGCTCATATTACTATTGTTTCTTATTGCCCTCCAGGCCAATTATTAGTCTTAATTGTTTAAGACCCTAGCCATTTATCGTCTTCGACTTTATCTCACCCTCAACAAGGTCAGTTATATTTGTGCATTTTTATCATAAAGTTTTGTTCCTTCTTGATGATCTGTTGACTGTATTGCAGTAGTTTTTGCTCATTACAATAAAAAACATCTTAAAGCAAATCATGTCCAAGCAATCTTTATTGAAATAATAGAAAAATAGTTAACTTTGATAAGTTTCTGTTGATTACAATTTATTTAAATCCTTTAACAATTTATATTTGATAGCTTTTGTTTTACGGGCTGGGTAAGTTAATGTCTGTGTGATCCTGTGCAAATACATATATACACAGCCAAGTACATGACATGGTACTCCATATACTTTCAAAACGCAAAATCCAAATTGTCTTTCTCTGTCATTACCGTTGAATTTTTTTTTGTTGATTACCATTTTCATTTAACTTATTATAAACTTTTCAAGATAACCTAATTAAATCCTATTTATTGGATACATCTCTTAAATCATTGTTTAAATATGTTTAGTATCTTTTGTTGTGCTTAATACGATATAACGCTAGCTATTCATCTTTGTAGTTCAACAGATAACCAAATATAATTAGCTTTGTTTTCTGTTTTAATTGAAGTTTTTTTTTGCTATGAATTGTTTTAAATTTGAATTAAACTATTCAAATTATTCTATCAAATTACCTTATCCAATTACCTTATCGAATTAATTTTAAAGATTAGCAACTGATCTAGATTAACAAATTTTTATATTGCAATCAGATTTATGGATATTGATGCCATTAGATTTGTTAGATTTTCAAACGCCAATTTAATGGTTGATTAATTAGAAAAGTTTTTTTTGTTTTTATTAATGGATATTGCAATAAATATTTCTCTATATTAACAAAACTTTTATATCCATACTCATTAATAACAGCAATAATCCAATAAAAAATGAGTTGTTTTTTCAAAAAATAATAATCGATTAAAATATAGAATTAAAATAATTAATTTTGATTAAAATCCACAGCTTTAAAAAAAAGATTTCATCTTAATAACAACAAATTCAATCAAAAAATCACTCCTAAAGAATCAACAACCGGACATCCAAATAATAATATCACGTGTTGCGCATGTTAAAGCTTAATGGTGTTTCTAACAGATTGCTACTTAGTATACACCTTTATAACAAATATCTCCAAAGCAATCTCCTAATTACTATTTTTATTGTATTTGATGATCTTGACGTGTTATCAATTCTTTTTTTTGTTTATTCAAATTATGAATAAATAATATTTTTATTAAGTAAATTAAAAAATCTTTTCCTGATACTTTTTTGTCATTTAATAATTTCATGAACATCCTTATTCCAAGATTTTAATTTTATTTGATTTTATAATCACTATATTTTTTTAAAAAACCAAAAAAAACGTTATTTTAATGTTATAAAAACATGTTATTGCATTGTCATATTATTTTTAAGTTGAGAAGAAAAAAAAAAGTTGAAATGCTCCTTATTTTTATTTTTCTATAATTTCTTTATCAGGTTTAAAAACTGAAAGACTAAAATTAAATAATGATCATTAAATAAATTAAACAGCCAAAAAAGTAAAATAATAAGCAAATTAATCCTTCTTTTGTAATTTTGAATTGTTGAATGAATTATTTCAGCTATTAACATGTTAATAAATATAGTAATAGAAACAAAAAAAATTAACCTATAACCGATTTACCCTTCTTTACTATAAAAACAGGTGTTTTGATAATTTTTTAATTTCTATTGGTATAAATAGGGACAAAATAGGACAGAATGAAAAAAACTTTTCCACACGATTTAATGTGTGTAAATATTTTTCAATCTTTCTTTATTATATTTTTTTTATTTATTGTAAAATAGTTACAAATCATGTTAGATAGAAAAAAAATTGAGTCCAATAGAGTTGTCTTTTATATAGTAATAAACCTGATAAATCCATTAAAGTTCTTAGTTTATAATGGAAAAATTTTATTGGTGAAAAGACTGTACTGAAACTGGATTAAAGATTTGGTTTATTTTCTAGAATTTTTCTTTCAAATCAAAACATTTAATTAAATTGAAATAGGTTTTAAAAAAGCATATGGTTTTGAAAAAAAAGATTATCAATGAGAATTTATGTTAAACAAAAAATGAAGTGATTATTAGATATTTAATAATTTAACGTGGAAAATTCCAATAAAATTGATTATTTTTCAAATAAAAAAAGAACTTATTAAATTCACATAAAGAATTTATAAACAATAATATTAAGAAAATAAAACAAATTCCAATTTATAAAGCCAAAAAAATAACTCAAGGCAAGTTTTTTTTTAAGTTTATTAGCTATTTAAATTATGATTTCAATATTTCACAAAAAATCGATTGTTTTATTGGCTTGGAGAATTTTTTTTTAATAAAAATATATCAATTAAATGCCTTTTAAAATAGTTTACAATTATGCAGGCAACTATAAATTTATCAAAGTGTTTTTCTTTTTCTAATTTATAAGTCAACAAAATAATAAAAGGTTATTAAATAACTTTTAAAATCCGTATTACACTGATGTTTATTGCTTCCAGCTGAGAATTTCAAAGCTTAGATGATAGATTTTCAAACTCCTTTTATTTAGCAAAAACCAGGTTATTAATTACTATAGGACTTATTGCTATTTTATCTTCACTGTCAAAAAAAACTCTAATGTTTAAAGTTGTTTGATGATACTATATTCAACGCAAAAGAAAGGTAAATGATAGGTATAGACTGAAAAGAAAGTAATTGAGCACACTCCAGACATTTCTTGATTTCTTGATTATATTCAAGGTTTTTTTCCATTTTATTAAGCTAAATTATCAAAATTTTGCAATTAATAATTAAAATAACTAATTCTTTAAGAATTGATATATATTTTACTAAAAACAATTCAAATTAAGAAATCTTCAAAATGATACAATTTATATGCGCAAAACTAGTGAAAAACTGATGAAACTTGAAAAATTGAATTGTTTGGATGCTTATTTTAATAAAGTTAGATATTCAAACATTAGTTAGACAAATATCAATAGCTATAATTTAATGATTTATCATGTTTTTACCTTAATTATCTGTTTGACAAATTCATTTTACCACGAGGTTTGGTTCAAAAGCACATTTCATTCCTAATGGAAATTCACTTATTGACTAAAGACAACAACAGCAAGAAAAAATATTTATTCTTATTCAATGTGTTAGTACAATATTTGATATTTTTTGATATTGTAGATTCTCACTAATCATAAAGAAATTACTGTTCAAATCTGCAGAGTTGAGGGTATTATATCTGAACAATTACCAATACAAGGACAACAAATGTAGGAAGTAGCGTCTAAAAAGAGAAAAGAACACTCGCAAACCGCCAAGCAATTTTCAGCAACAGGCACGTTAATGCATGAGCTTGGCAAAACTCAACAGTTCCAAAACGCTGGTTGGAATTGTTGGTTGTAATATTCACGTGATATATGTAGACGACTGTACATCGGCATGCTCCGTGTTTATACTGTAATACTTCTATTGGCTACCGTTCACATGGTTCTATTATTTATGCAGCTACCATCTCCATGGGTGTTTTGTTCAGAACAAAATTAGCACTTATGTGAGCTACTACTGGCATTCGGTTTGAACCTCACCAGTTTCAAATATATTGAATATTTGTTTAAATGGAAAAAGAATTGTATCGATATATCGACGAAGCCCAAAGAAATGCAGAGCATTCAAAAATAAAGTATTCTTTAGGCAATCTTTTAAAGGCCAGGTTGCTTTCATTGAGTTCAATTAATTCTTTCAGCCAAGTTCTTTTCCTTATAAAGCAACTGGAGAACAGTTCCAATAACTATAGACATGATAAAAAATTGGTGGAGATAGTAAAAGAACTGTGTAATGCTGCTATTGAATACCATTCAAATTTAACTAAAGATCAGAATTGCAAAAAATTGATTTGCTTAAATGATAAAATTGCTTGGTTAAGCTCGATCATTAAACAAGATAATCTTCCTCCCAGTATTTATCCTCCTGTTTTCGATGATTTTAATAAAAATTCAATAATAGTTAACCCTTATGATTCACAATTTGATTTGGAAAATTCACATTTAAAATTATCTAAATTTCAATCAAATCACTTGTTATCTTGGAGCCATTCCAAGATTCTAATTAAAAATCAAGTTTGGTCAACAAAAGATAAAAATAATTATCATCGTGATTTGCTTCATCTATATCAAAATAGGTTGAACTCTAATTGCTCTTTAGTTTCTTCTTTTTTGTCAATTTTGAATAAAACCGAAAATATAAATCTTTTATTAAATCAAGTTCAACCTCATCACCCATCTTTTAAATATTCTGTTTTTTTATATTTTAATGGTTATCAAAGATTGATTCTAACTGATGATGTCTTACCATTTTCAACTGATGCTGAAAAATGTAATATATTCATAAATTCTTCTCATAATCATGATATTATTTGGCCAGCATTAATTGAAAAAGGTTATTTAAAGCTATTCAATAATAACTCTTATGATTTTGTTGGTTCAAATGCTGGAATTGATATTTACAGATTGATAGGTTGGTTTCCCCAATTTATTAATCTAAAACAATATCAATCAATTAATATAAAAAATATGGATAAGTTATGGAATTTGATTTATGAAAATTTTAAAAAGAACAATTGTGTTTTATCTGTTGGTACTGGCAAAATTATTTCTAATCAGTCTGAGTATTTAATTTCTAATCACGATTATTCAATTTTAAATTTAAATCTGGACAGAAAATTTTTGATTAAAAATCCTTGGTTGAACACTACTACCGCTGCTACTGCTACCAATTGCAATAATAATAGCTCAAAGTTGATTAATAAACAATGGATAAATTTTGATTATTTGCTTAGAAATTTTGACACCCTATATATTAATTGGAATCCAAAAATATTTCCGACAAAAAAAATTGTAAATTTTATTTCTTTGGTTAATTATAACAACAATAATAATAATAAAAATAATGATTTTAATTATTTAAAACCTCAGTTTAAAATTGAAAATAATTCCAACAAACCAATTATTTTATGGATATTCATTGAAAGACATTACAAAAATTTTAATTTTAATTTTAATATTATAATTAATAATAGGATAATTAAATCTAACGGAGAAAGAATTTTGTCTGATTATCAGAGAAATCTCTTAAATGAGGGCAATTTTGAGAGTTATAATAACTTTCACCTAGTTAAAATAAATTTGAAAGCCTTTGAAGTGTGTACGTCAATTGTTTCTTCTTTATGTGAGTGTGATACTAATAATAACGAGGAAAACCATTGGGATCTAGAAACACAAAAAAAGAGAATAAAATCATCAATCAGTTTTAGTATGGTTTTTTATTCATCTGTTTTAAAACAAGAAGAACTAAAAATTGAAAAAGCCAGTTATAAATACAAGTTTTTTAAAGAAATTGAGGGAAATTGGAATTCGGATAACTGTGGAGGAAATTCTTTAAATGCGACATATATTAATAATCCACAATATGAATTTAAAGTAATGAGTGAAAAGAATGAAAGTAAAGTTGATATTGGATTATTTATTGAAAATAAAAACATTTTAATCAATTTGCAAATTTTTTGGTCAGAGGGGAATAATAAAAAAATCGAAAAGTTCAATTACAAAAAATTGGTTTTTAATGAAAAGTATAAAAGTAATGGAAATTTTCTAATTGAGAATTTTGTTGCTGAAAAAAATAAAAAATATTTATTTTTGTTATCAACATATGATAAAGGATTGAGTAATAATAAAAACATTAATTACAAACTAATCATAAACTGTGAAAATGATTTTAAAATTAAAGAATTGAACAATGAATTGGGATTGTTTTTAAGGGAAATTAAATTTAGTTGGAATAAATCAATTAAAATTGAATTTAATTTTGAGATATTAAGAGATTCCAAAGTAAACATTCATATTGTTTTACTGCTAATTCTTAATTCGATATATAGGCCTAAGATACGAGCTAATATATTCTCCAATAATGATGATTGCATCCAGCTAACCAAAAATAAAGAATTTGATGACAGCCTCTATGGAATCTTTTTAAACGAGTTGGTCTTAAAAAGAGGAAAATATATAATTTTGCTTGAGCGATTTGAATTGGGTGAAGGAGAAGGGATCATCAAAATGGGCAGCAGCAATCAGATAATCTTAGAGTGACGTTGGACTACTATGTTCTAAGAAGCTATCATTCTGAATTACCTCTTCTTCTAGACAAAAACAGAATGAAATATAATAAATACAATATAATATTCATTAATGCATAATGAGAATAACACTGTCTCCCTTTAAAAACAATCCGTGTATAGTACAAAACTTGATTTCTACATATATCAGCACACAAAATCCCCTTTTGAAAACAACCCTCTGGCTTTATCTTATCTTATCAGAGGCACAAAAAAATGTGTTAAAGTCACAAAAATTTCGACAGAACAGCATAGATACTTCTTTGGATCCTTCTTCTCATTTTCTTGCTTTGAATTTATACATTTCTAATCGACGGATCTTAATATGGAGTTTTCAATAGACCTCAGGCAGCTTCCTTGTCATATAATCAATGGTATTTTTGATTACCTCCCAATGAATATTCTTTTATTGATTTCGAGATCTGTCTTTTGGATTTTGTCTTCAATCTCAACTCGAAAACTATTCAAAACAGTTCTTATAAGCTCAAATGAATTCAAAAATTATTTTAGAGGAGACCTTTGTTCGAAGAAATACCCAAGGTGCTTGAAAATAAACTTATGTGATTTTTACATATTTGCATCAAAAATTATGAATGAAACTGTTAATTTTCATTCTTTTATTAAATTAAAAAACTATAATATTGATGGAAGAAACACTACCTATCATGGAACTTATGACAGTTATCATACTAATTTACAAAATAACTTTATCAATCATTATTCTATTCAGTTTTTTAATTATTTTAACAATATGAATCAACTTTTATTACATCAAATGGATCAGTATATTAGTCAATCGAGCGAAACCGACAACTTATCATTTAATTTAAGGAGTCTTTCTTTAATTTCAAATGGAATTTCAAATTTAAAAGGTCTTTCTGTTTTTTTGAATGATAACAAATTTAAAAATTTAAGAAAAATTAACCTATCTTGCAATAAAATTAATTCAACTTCTACTTTCAAATTAGATATTGATTCAAATCTATTTTTCTCAATTAACTCTTTTATTTTCAATTTTAATCAAATTCAGACAATTGATCCTGTGTTTTCCAGATTCATCAATTTAAATTTGTTAAACTTAGCTAATAATAATATAAATAAACTTGAAAACTTGAATAATTTAAATAACTTGAAGTTTTTATATTTATTTGAAAACAATATTCAAATAATTGAAAATATGAATGATTTGTACACTCTTTTAATTTTAAACTTAAATTCAAATCAAATATTTAAGATAAAAAACTTACAGTCTTTAAATAAACTTGAAATCTTATCATTATCATCAAACAAAATTCAAAAACTTGAAAATTTAGAAAATTTAACTTGTTTGAAAAAATTGTATTTAAGTGATAATAATATTAGTTTTTTTGAAAATATTGAATATTTAGCCAACCTTGAAGAGCTTGACTTATCAAATAATTTTATTAGAAATATAGAGATACAAGGTATGATGCTTTGAAATTTAAAAATGCTAAATCTATCTAAAAATAAAATTAATTACATTAATTCAAAATTTTTTGATAATTTAGTGAGTTTAGAGATTTTATGTTTAAATGGTAACAGGCTAAAAAGCTTGAAGTTTGAAAAAAATTCAGATAATAGATATACATTTTTACCTAATTTAACTCGTCTAGAACTGAGTGGGAATTTTTTGCATGATCTCAAATTTTTGAACATGAATTTAGATAAATGTTTTACAAATTTGAAAAAAATTAATTTGGCCAAAAATAATTTCAATGATATTAGTTTTCTTGAAGCACTACCATTAAAACATCTAGAGGAGATTAATTTACAATTTAATACAATTAGAAGGATTAATTTAAAAAAAATTAAAAAATTAATTAAAATAGATGCATACTATAACAGTATTGAAGTTTTACCAGATTTAAATGATTTAATATTTTTAGAGAATTTAAATTTATCTAATAATAAAATCAAAAATATCAGTAACGGAATAATTAATTTAAAAAGTTTAAAAAAATTGAATTTGAGTTATAATGAGATTAAAAAAATTGAAAATTTACCTTTAATAGTAAACAAAGATTTAGAATTATATCTTCAGGGCAATAAAATTAATTCTATTGATGAGTTTTATTTTGGCAAAAATATTATTAAAAATGAGAATTTGAAAACAATTAGAATTATGATATCGGACATTTATTTGGCTGGGATTAAATCAAAGAATTCTTTTAGATATATAAAAGATCATATTTACTGATAAAAAAACAACAGTGATAGTCAAAATGCAAATAATAATAATAATAATAATAATATATGAAAAAATATAGAGAAATTAGAAAATTAACATATATCAAAATCAAGTTTGTTATCATAAACTAACTTAGTTTTTTTCGGCTTGTATTTTCAAAATATAATCATTAAAATTTTCATCGATCGACTTTGATGGGTCAAATTGAACTGTAGATTCAGGTTGAGTATTATCATTATTATTATTATTATTATTATCATGAGAATCAGAATTTCTATCTTTTATTTGTTTTTGTATAAGAAGTTTAATTGTTTCTTTTGATTCATTAAAACTTTTAAAGTAAAATTGAGTATACCATTTCAATTGCTGGATACTTTCCAATATATCTGCTTTTGCGGTATGTTGTTTATTCTTTCTTGGTTCAAGCTTTAACAACATTGGATTGTGTCTTTTTCCTACTTCCATTATTGAGGATACATCGATAATTCTGTAATGTAAGTAGTCAATTACATTATCAAATTCTTTTAGCATGAACAATCTATCCATATGAACCGAATTGCCAGCTAATAAGGCTTTATTTTTTTTAAGAACGAATTTTTGAATATAACTTAAGAGTTCTGATTGAACTTGAGTAGTGTTCTTATTAGAGTTTAAAATTTTTTTAACTAGACCAGATTTTGTGTGATGTTCTTTACACCAATCATTCATTTTAATAAGAGTATCTAAAGGAAAGTTGATGACGTTTTCATAGCCATTCAAATCTATAATGTTTAGGTTTTCATCTGTTATAAGGCAACAAATCTCAATAATATGGTCGACTTGAATATCCAAACCAGTCATTTCACAATCAATCCAAACAATTGGTTTGAAAAGATGAGAGCTTAGATTTTTAATTATAAATTGGGGATTCATATCAATATTAAATTCATTGAAATTTATAGTGTTTTTAGAACCAGAAAGATTTGCAGGAGCAGTAGCGGAATTGTCGTAGTCAAAATCATTTGGGCTAACACCTTGGTTCTTTCTGTACTTGATGAAGTTTCCAACAATTGTGTAGTTTTCATTTTCGGGAATTTCAGCATTTAAAATCAATTTGAAATTTTCCGAAATAGGGGTGTCATTGTGATTCTTCTCGAGTCCTTTGTCGAAGGCATTATTGCTTTGATCCAAATCAGATTTGATGGGAAACATTGGTTTTGTTGTGAACAAAGGTTTGTTGAGCCTAAAGACGGTTCTGGTGCTGAAGCAATGGGCCTGAAGAGACTTCAGAAAGAGAGCAGGCAAGGTGAAAGCAGCTGGTAGGGATGAAAGAGAAGATCTGGAAACAAGTCGATTCATTTGCTTCTTCTGGTGCTGTCCTATCCTGCCTTGTTTTCTCTGTGCTGAGGCTCCAGGCAGCAGAAACAGCAAAATCTTCTGTGTTTTCTTTGCGGAGCCTCGAGGACCGCACCTAAGCGGTGGAGCAGAAGCCGAAACAATGAAGAAGAGCCGGGCTTAACTATGGCAAAAGCTAAGAGAAACGTTTATTAGATGAAACTGGTGCTGGTGAAGCTAATGTTTGTGAAGCTAATGTTTTTGGAGCTGGTACTTGCAAGGCAGTTATCTAGGCAATCTTTGCAGCATCTTTTCGGCATCTTTTAGACCAATATTCCAAAATATTCGCTTCTACGAAACTTCTTGTGCAACTTGTCCCACTGAACGATAAATCTATCGACAATGGGATAGAGTAGGTATCCTGTGAGTGACAAGTTGTTCACTCTTGCTAGGCTTTCAATGTAAATGATTTTATTGTTAAGCAAACCCAATGTTAGCAATTTGATTAGGAAAAAAATGTAGCATAATGGAACCGATGTACCTGGACCGTTGCAAATCAAGATATTAGGGTATTTTTTAAATTCAAACAAAAAAAAAATTCTTATACTAGTCACTAAAAAACAGTATATTGTGGTGAATATTGATTTGAAATAGTTTTGTGAAATGTTTCTTGCTCTGGGTAATATCAAGTATTTTGTTATTGTTTTGTTTTCATTTAATCTTTTTTCATCATCGCCATCATCATCACTCAAGGTATTATTTAACAAGTATTTTTTTTCAAAGTATTGAGCTTTAATTAAAGAAGATTTATCTCCAGAAGAAATTACCCAGGTGATATATTTGAATTTATTTTTAATTTCCAAATTTGATAAAATTCTGATCATTTCTCCTGTATGGCCTCCCGAACCTAATAAGATCATTATATGATTATTTTCATGATTAACTCGTAATTTTGAATTTAAACTAGTTAATAATAAATTTAAATTTTGCATTAAAAACTCAAAGGGTCTAAGTATTAAAAATAAAATTGGCTTATTCAAAAAATCGGGCAAATCCTGAAAGTTTACAAAATTGTTAATTTTAGTTTCAATTTCGCTTTTTTTTTTGTTTTCAATAATATTATTATTGTTATTATTGTTATTATTGTTATTATTATTGTTAGTGTTGTTTTTGTATTTTTTATTGCTGCTATAATCGCTATTATAATTAATATTATAATTATAATTATAATTAGTATTGGTGTTGGTGTTGGTATTTGAGTGTGAATTCAAATTAGAATTCGAATTCGAATTATGGAGATCATTTTTGGAATTTAAAGTTAAATTGACGCATGGAAGAATGAAACACAATCTCAAAATGAAAACTAAAGATATAACCAAAAAAAAATTAAAAAAATTGAGCAGATCCATTATTGATATCTGTTTATAAATCAATTGTGATGATATTGAACGAATCGTTTATTAAGAACTGATAATTTTTAAACAAAAAATGTAATTTACTATCACGTGTAGATGGAAATTTATTTAAAGTTTTGAACAGTTATCAAAACCATTCTCGTTCATGTTGCATAATTGAGATGCTGAAAAGCCATAATAGACGCTGAATTCCCAGGGTATAAAAATCCACAACCTACAATGCTACACAAGAATTGATTTAAATCATAAGTCAACCAATTGTAATATTTTTGATAGTTGTGATAAATTGATTTATTAGATCAGTTCCACCAACTAATAACACCCATTCCGTCAGTCTGGCAACTGGCAATCAATGCATAGGCAGGAGGCTTGGGTTCTTTTTTGGGTTTTTGATTCTCAGCCTGTGAATTCTGATTGATATCAACATTTTGGTTGTTTGAATTGTTTGGATTGGGAAGAACTTCTTCTTCATCTTCATCGTCTTCATCATCATTTGGCCCAGTTGGTTTGATATTATTGAAAATCTCTTGATGAATTCTGAATCGGATTCTTTCATTCAAGTCTAAATACAACAATGTATCATCATCCAAATCAGGCCTCCAAATCCAACATTTTTCAATTGGATCAAATCTGCTGTTTTCAAAAATTAAATCCTTTGGTATAAAAATTTCATTGAAAAATAAAGTTTTGATTTTTAAACCATCTTCAATGGATTCTTCAATCCAACCTTCCAAAACCTCTCCAATAAAAGGCTTGAATAAAACAATTCTAAACTTGACATTTATGTAAATAGAACCATCCCCAGGTTTCAATAGACCAACATCAACAGTAATCAAATCCCAGACCGATATGGCTAAACCAAGATTGGGTATAATTTTGTTTGAGTATTTTTTATTGAGATTTCTGACAATGGCTTTCTTTCTAGGTATTCCAAACTCATCTGGACGTATTTTGACCAAGTCAGATATAACAGAGAGAATAAACATTTAGAATATTTGGTATTGTGAAATTGAGAAGAACAAACATGAAAAAAAACAATAAAGCGCTATACAGACAAAAAAATAAAGTGTTAAAAATAGTCCAAAAAATGGTCTCTAGCAGGATCGAACTGCTGATCCCCGCGTTATTAGCACGGTGCCTTAACCAACTGGGCCAAGAGACCTTAAGATGCTGTAGGTCTGCAGATCTGATTTTATCTCCGGTTCTGGGTCAAAACATCTTTGCGTGATTTTTGTCTTGGCCGGAAAATACTCTATTTTTTTATTGTCTCAAGACAAGCCTGAGAGTCCGAGCCGTTGTTTTTTCGTTTACTGGAGATATTCTTTTTGGTTTTGCGATATCTTGCCAGTCTAATCTTGAATTTCTCTCTCTTTTTATCGTCATCTGTGCCGAAATGTGGTTGCTTTGTGCAAAACGCACGGATGACTCCAAATCTTTTTTTTATCAAAAAGGAAAGTAATCGAAATCTCGTTTCTTTCTTTCTCAATTACTAATTTGAGCTTACAAATAGCAAAACATTATCTTGCAACTAGCAAATGATATAAAGTCTCTTTCCCTTCCTCATTTCGTTTTTTTTTAAAAGATTTGTCTTGTTTTCAATTATTTGGTTTTATTATCATCCATTATATTTGTGCCATAAATTTTGTGCTATTTTATCTCCACTTTTTTCTACTATTTTCTGCTTATCTGACTCTAATAACTAATTAATTGATAATAATGGACCCAATTCAAAGTTACCAATTATTGGCCATGAAGGCTAAATCTAAACTAGCTTTTGAAGCTAGTAAAAACGATATAGATTTGAGAGTGCTAGTTGCTCATGCCACCTTATTGGATAATTTAGTTAATCATATAATAGATAAATCACCCTCTACTGTTAACTATAAATATGAAAATCAGAATATAAATAACAATGAAATAGAAAATGAAATGGGAAATGATATTCATTATATTGAAAATATAGACGAAATTCAGGACCCAGATTTAATTAAGAACAATAATTTCTCTAGCAATTATGATCTAAATAATATTACTAATAAAGATAAAGAAAACAATAATGAAGATGGGGATGAAGATGATAATAATAACGATGACGATGACGATGACGATTCTAATTATTATGAATATATCTATGATTCTAACGATTTTTATTATGTTTCAAAAGTTAACTCTAAAAACTCTTTGATAATTGAGTCTAATAATAATAATAATAACAATAATAATAATAATAATAATAATAATAATAATAATAATAATAATAATAATAATAATAATAATAATAATAAGAGTATGGACGATGATAATCACCATTATGATTTATCTGAGCCTGAAACCGATTCTGATTATGACAGTGAAGATGATGATGATAATGATTCTAGTATTTCTAATGATTTATCCTCCAGTTATAAATACACTAAAAAATATTCAGATTATAACGATCTTGATGAAGAAATTGATTTATCAGAATTATCATTATCAAGGGTATCTTCTAATAGCTTGAGTAGCCAATCAATTGAAAATCAATATAAAAATTTTAAACTTCATAGAACCCCCTCATTATCATATTCTTCTGGAGAAGAAGATTATGATTACAATAGTTATGATGACTCTCATCATAATCATTATAATCATAACCATAGCCATAATCATAATCATAATAACCATAATTATAACAATATTCAAACTTTCAAAGGAAATTTACAACAAAATAGCTTAACCAGTTCTTTTATATAAATTTAATGTTTTATGTTTTATGTTTTATGTTTTATGTTTTATGTTTTATCGTTAATCATTTAATTTTTTGTTTATAATATAGTATAATATAATGTAGTATCTATAATACAAGTTATTCTTTTATTCAATATATTACATGTATATGATTTCATTATAATTCTATATTGTCAATTTAGTAACGATTTCTTCGTAGATACACCATGCAATTCCTGCACTTAATGCTTTTCGAGTCAACCTTAAACTCAAACCTTGAAATAAAATTTTAAACTTTTCATTGGTTAAGATTAATTTAAATGTTTTCAAAAAAGAATTGTAAGTTTTCGGATTTAATTGCATCCTTGTTTTAATTGTATCAAAAGGAGCAGTGATAGTTGTAGCTAAACTAGCAGCGATTATAGCAGATGAAGAGTTTATTAATGAAGAATTTATTGATAAGGAATTATTATTTTTATAATTATTTAAAATTAGTTTAAATTTTTCATAAATTAAGACATATATACCAGCATATGGAGCATCTCTAACTGTAGTTGCATTAAAACCTAGAAAAAAATTTTTGATTCCATTGACTTTTGTTGGTAAATTGTTTTCATTATAAATTGATTTGATTGCGTGATTTAAAGAATTATAGTTATAAAGAGTTGATTCATATCTTGTTTTAATAACAGTGAAAGGCATTGTTAAAAAACCTACAAATGCTCTTGTTAAAGCTCCAGTTAATAGATTTTCTTTCATTGATAGTTTTGGTAAATTTGATGAAGAAAAGTTTTGATTTTGATTTTGAATTTGATTAAAGTTTTTTTTAGCTAAAGAAGATCTGAAATAATTTAAACAAGTTAAATATAAAGCACTTCCAATTGAAGTTCTTAAAGCTGAGGGTAAAGTGCCTTTCCATAATTCGAAGATATTTGATAAATTTTTAACATTTTTGATATTATAAATATTATGAATAAGATTACTATTTTTTAATATCGTGGAATCTGATTGCTGTTGAATTCTCGTTTTCAATAAATCAAGAGGTTGAAGTGTTATAGCAGATAACAAGCCGCCTGTAAAACCAGCAATTAAATGGGTTTTCGAGTTTGGTTTATTGTTTGACATATATTGTAATTATTAAGTAATTTATTATAAGTTGCAGGAATGTAATACTGTATTGATAAGAATGGAGAACAATAAAATTTTCCAAGTGGTAAAAAAAATGGAAACAAAAAAATACCAGGGGGATGGATAGAAAGGAACTGAATACCACGATGGTGGTGACAAATGAGAGAAGAGAGAAACAGAGACAGCAAAGTATAGAGAAGGTATATAGGTGGTATAAGCAAGTCAAAATAAATGGTGATTAAGGTATAAATAAATAGTTAAATTTTATTTCGATTTTCTTCGTAAAAGGATCTTGGAGTTGACATAAGTAAGTTATTGTAGTTGTATGTAGAGTCATAGCCTGTGATTTTGGGGTGGATAGAAGGTTTATTGTAGATGTAAGATCTTTTATATTTGAGTTTACGATGTTGTTTTGAGCATTTTTTTAAAGAGTTTGATTTTTTTGTATGATTATAATTATGATTATGGTTATGATTATTGAGTTGTACATGATTCTGAGTATGATTTTGAATACTTTTGTTATCAATATTAATAATTGAGTCTATAGATGGAAATTGAGGATAATTGATGATATTTGTTGTTTCAATGAAATTTGTATTTTCATTATGAATATTTTTACGATTCAAAATTTCATAATCAAGAAAGATGTTATTTAATACAAAGAATTTATTTAATAGTAAAGCAATTTCATGGCTTGATTTATTTTCATTTATATTTTGATTCAATTGAGCGTATATTTTGTATAGCTGATGTTTAATATAATCATAGGCAATTATATTATTGTTTTGAACAAGTAAAGAAGATAATTTGGAATGGATTGAGTCACTGGAAGCAATATTTTTATTGGAAATTGAACCATAGTTGACCTGAAAATCATCAGAAGAAGCGAAAACAGGTTTCTTTTTCTGACAATTCGTGGAAGGTTTTTTCGAAATTTTGTTTGGTTTGTTGGAGTGATTTAGCTTTGAAGAGTCTCTAGAGTTCATTTTTCGAGTAATTGAAGCAATTGCAGCAATTGAGATAAATGCAGTGATTATAGTGGTTGAAGCAAGGAAAGTAAGCATCAAAGAATAACAAAAGCAGGCCAATGCTGCCGTATTTAAGAACCGGCCACTTTCGGATCTTGCTGCCGGTCGCATTTCCGCAGGCTAGCCGCACAAGAACCGGAGAAGCATCTTCGTGCTCAACGCAAGCACCACCGCCGCCGCCGCCACGGTCCTTGGACATCCAAGCACGATACGAAGCCCCTCGACGGTGTAGCAATTGCCGAGACAGCGCACTATCTGAACCGGCACCTGCGACTCGTACGGCCAAATCAACATTACAACAGGAAGCAACTTGACTGCCTGTGTCACTACCACCACCATGCCGACGCTTTGCCAGCCCGCGGGGGGTGCGTGTCCGCTGTGACCGTAGAACGCCACGACCACAGCTGCGACCAGGACCTGCATCACGGCCGAGCCGGCCACGCAGCGTGCCAAATACAGTAAGTACACGCGCACGTATCCCGCACCAACCGCACTGCCCACACTGTGTCGGCCCCGCACCGCTTCGAGCACATCTAAGGGCAAGTTCCGTTCTTCGTAGGCCCAACTCAAGTACACCTCGAAGAGAACACACACTGTGTAGAGCCGAAGAAACTTTCTGTGTCGTCTCACTGCTCTCCAGAGCTTGCTCTTCGTCCTATGGTCTTCCCCGGTTCCAGCTCCAGCTCCAGCTCCACCACCAGTGTCAGCACATTGGTGCTCAGAGACATGCCTGTAATACACTTCCTCATCCTCCAACACATTGAATATCAAATGTCTAAACGCACCGGCATTCAATAGCAATATGTCAATAAATAAGATAAAATTATCATACTCAATGTACTTATCAACAGTATTGTTGCACTTCGAACAAACGTTCAACTTAATAGTAGAAAGATCTCCTTTGCTCGTACTCTGTTTCCCACTTGCTGCTTCATACATCGTGTAAAGGTTACTGCTTCTCGTTCCACACTCAATGCATCTCATCTTCAATTACCTGTCCACCAATCTGTTCCCACCTGAGATTATCCTTCTGATATCTGTTTCTTCTTTTGTGCCCTAATTTCTCAGCAAACACGTGTAAATCACTCCACTCCCACTACTCTTTCTTTTTTTTCCACCAACTAATATACTCATTCAACCTCATTAATATATTGCCATTATCATTCTTATGGACAGTCAAGATCTACACATTTACAACAGACCCTTAATCAAAATATGTGGTTTACAGTCCACTCTAGCCGCTCAAACAGCCTTGGATAATGGTGCTGATCTTCTAGGCGTCATCATGGTTCCAAATAGAAAGAGATCTATTGATCTTCAAATATCAAATCAAATTTATCAGCTTGTTAAACTCGAAAGAGAAAGAAGGCATCAACTTAAAAATATTAAAAAATTCAAAATCGATCAATTTTTCAACTCTTTAAATAGTACCCCCTCTCAAAATTTAACTCCTTCCTTCAAAAATCTTTATATGTATAAAAAGAATCAATTGATTCATCATGGTCCGTTCTTAGTAGCCGTTTTCCAAAACCAATCAATTGATCAAATCAACCATTTAATTAATCATCAGCTTATAAATTTTGATATCATTCAATTACATGGCTCTGAGGACAAACTCTCATATACAAACTCAAATCTCATCAACAAACCAATCATTTCAAGATATCTAATGTCTCAATTTCTTGATCTTAACACTCTTAAAGATGAAATTTCTCTTGCCAATAATCATTTGCTCATATTACTAGATTCTGATAAAGGTGGCGAGGGTCAATTGTTAGATTGGAATTTGATTAATAGTTTTTTTATTGATAACTCACAGAATCCTCTTCTTTCTTCTCTCAGTTTTATCTTAGCTGGTGGTTTGAATATAGACAATATCTCAAACCTTCATTCATTAAATGGTTTAATAGGACTAGATGTTAGTTCTGGTGTAGAATCTAATGGTATTAAAGATTTAGAAAAAATTAAAACTTTTATTAAAATTGCTTCTAATATTCCTTTAAATAATTAGATAATTAGATAATTAAATAATTAAATAATTAGAAAAAAAAACAAAAAAACATCAAAAATCTATTTCACTGAGAGTAATAGAGTCTCTGCTCCATGAAAAATTTGAATCAGTTCTGTAGATAATAACCCTTCAGCTTCAACATATTTTGCTAACCGAACAAATGAAAGACAATCTTTAATGTTCTTTCCAAAATCTTCAAGCACAAATGGACAATGACTACCAAATTTATTATAGATAATATCCAATGTTGATTTCTCAAAACCCTCGGATTTCCCATTTAGATTTCTTGTAATGGTATTATTAATTAAATTTTCTAAAAATGTTTGAGTCACAATCGCCATAACTGTATTAGGAAAAATAAAATTAAAAGGTAATTGACTTACTAAACTTCTCCACATCATATTGTTACTAAATTTTAATTTATCAAATTCGTTATTACTTAATGAACAAATCAAGCTAGCTTCAAATAATTCATTGAATTGATTTTTAACAAATTCAATCATTGATCGATATGATAATAATGATTTTGATAAATTATTGTTATAATTAACAGGTTTTTGAGTTATTTGAAAAAATAATGACAACCTTGTAATTACGTTAATCACTTTTTTTAAATGTTCAATATTACTAAATGGCCCAAAACTACTTTTAATTAAATTCGCATCTCCAGGAATAAGTGGCTGAAAGTTTACATGAAATCCAATTGAGCTATTATCAGTATTAAAGAAGTCTCTATCGATTTTCAAAAAAATCAAAAAGATGATTAAATTTGATAATTTTTTATTATCCTGAGTTATTTGAGTTAGTTTGGGTAAAATTCTACCCCATTTTGTTAGTTTGAAGATTCCGCTTTTATTTTTGTTTTTATTCCTAGTTTCATTTCCATTTGAATTTAATTCTATAAATCCATAAATAAAAAGAGATCTAATTAAATTTGTTGAAATCAATTCATTATATGAACTTAATGTTGGTGTTTCATTTTTTAGAGGTGTTTCATCATAGCATTTTTGTAGAAACGCATCCGACAAATTGAGCAATAAATTAAACAATGAAAATCTTTTAAATTTATAATCCAAATTATTATTATAGTCAATAGTAAAATAGGAATCTCTTATCAAGATTTGATGAATATCATCGTAAACTGTATTAAAGCGATGAGGTAATAAGATTTTATTCAAAGGATCATACCATTTCAAATAATAAATTTTTTTCACTTGATAATATCTTTGTATAGGAAGAGTTAATAACCTTAATACTTTAGTTTTTAAATCTATGTTAAATTTTAAATCTAACAAAGATTTGTAATAGGTGTTGTTTCCCAAATCCAATGGATATAATTCTAAATAACAGCCATAAATTATGCATTCCAATAATTTCAAATCAATTAAACCAATAGATTGATAGAAATAATATTCATGTGGAAGTCTTTGAGAGATAAATTCATGAATATCATTTGGGAATCTGTAGTTTATTGGTAATTCTTTTTCTGTTTGAACTAAATTATGGTTTTGAATGTGAGGAGATATATTATTGTTAATATAAGGCGAGGAATTATTATTGAAGACATTGGAAGACGTAGAATTGATTTTTTTATTGTTATTAATAAGATTGATATTACTTTGGTTGGGTGAATTGATTAAATAGCCATTATTTAATTGATAATTATAAATACCACCTTCGGGTTCGGAGATTAATTCTACTCTACCATTTTTTTTTAAAATCGGTAAAAATTTTAAAGTTGATAAACCTTCTCTAAACATTTTAATTTCATTTTCATTTTCAGTTAATAATACAGTTGCATAAATAGAACCACCTCTTAAAATAATTTCATGGGCAATCTTAAAATTTTTTGAGATTTCGTAACCGTTATTGCCATTAATGTTTTGAATTGTGTTCTTTTTATTTGAAAGTATATTAGTATTATTATTGTTGTTGTTATTGATACTGTTAATGCTGGTACTACTAGCGTTTTTGTTATCATCATTGTCAATATTTGGGTTATTGAAATTTATATTTGTATTAATATCTCCATTGTTGTTGTTGTTGTTGTTGTTGTTATTATTATTATTATTATTATTATTATTATTATCGATATTTGAGCTATCATCATCGTTATTATTGGTATTTTTCAAGGATTTGAAAGAAGATAAACAATAAGGTTGAATATCACAGCCAACAGCTATAGAAGCTTGTAAGAAATCATCATTTGGGATGTTCAAAGTTTTTAACAAGATTTTTTTATCAATATACTTGAATTCTTTTGATTGGAATTCCATTCCAATGATGAATTTTTCAACGTTGGTTAATAATAATTCAGTCGGGCCATAAATACAATCAATATAGTCTTGATTGAGCAAATAGGAAAGTTGAGCCCATGATGTATAAGGAGCGATCATATATTCTAAATTGTGGTAATTAATAAAATTAATCAACTCTTGGTATAATAAATTTGAGCTAATGGCAGGAACGTTGGGATCTCTAAAATTGAGAATGGAATTATTGAAATTTGGATTATTTGTAATGTTAATGTTATTAGGATTTGTGATGTTGTGAATATGCCTGTTGTAATAGGAATCCCAGGTTTTCTCTCTTTGTCTTTGAGTTAAATATAGTTCATTTGTTTGATTTATTGAGTCAAAATTTGAATTGTTGATGGCGCTTTGGGGGTTGATTGTAGTTACATTTTTGAGTAGTTTTTGGAACTCAGAATTAATCTTTTGGCCTTTAAATACAAAAATTGGTTTAATACCAAAAGATTTAAAAATGTTGATATCACTCTCAATGTAAGTTTTCAAGGTAGAGGGAAAACCACCAATACCATCTAGAATGGGTTCCTTCTTGTGAGTGAACAATCTCGAAATGTAGTGCTCGACATCAATTCCTAGTCTTGAGTAGCTTAAAGTGTCAATGGGTTTGGTTATGGCAACCCCTTTCTCAAACATATAAGGCTCGAGAGATTGAATGGGCATTTTGGATGGCAAGGGGAACAAGCAACAGCAGAGTGGGAAATATAGCAGGCAGGGGAAACAAAGGAAGCCGTCAAAGGGAACGGTGGAGGCAGAGGCAAAAGCAGCAGAAGAAACAGAAGAAGCAGAAGAAGCAGAAGAAGCAGAAGCAGCACAGGCAACACGAAAGAGACAAGAGCTGGTGTGCTGGCTTTTCTCGGCGGCCTCTGTCGGCGCCCGGCGCCCGCACAGCAGTTGCAGCACAAGTTCGGTCCACAGCCGGGGTGAGCACCATGGCCGGCACAAGCAGAAGAGTCCTCAACGAGTCCTTCTACGCAGAGCAGCTCGAGCAGCTCAACAGCAACATTCCTCTGCGTCTGGGCTGCAGCCAGTTGATCCAGGAGTACAACAGCTTGTTGGTGGGTTATGTGAGAGACGTCAACCAGATGCTTGAGCAGCACCACTCTCTTCAGCAGCCTCAACAGCATTGGCCAGAGGTACAGGCTCCAGTTTGACGACAGTGCTTCCCCGGGGTCTTCAATGGCGCCTCTACTATTCAACACCACAATGGTCCTTTTTTGCATAGGCGAAAGAGAGGATGATTGCAATCACACCAGCATGAGGACAATTTCAATCTTGAAAACAATTCTTGTTTGTGTCGTTACAAAAAACGCAATCCAACCATTGCTGATGCTCATAGTGATAGCAGAGATGCTATATTTAATATTTTCGATGCTCTACGCAGTGAAGTTGATTTAGATTCGGATTTTAATTTTGATTCAGATTTAAAATTTCTAACTAAAACTGTTGGTAGCAAAAGGGATACAAATGCCAACGAAGATGATAATAATAAAGGTCATAGTTCCAATACCAGTTTACCTGCCATCAAATCAACTAAGAACAACAATACAACCATAGTTGGCACTGGGAATATTGGTATCAAACAAAAAAACCAAACAATTCCCAAACCAACCCGAAACTTGTCAACATTTGAAGATTTAAATCACTCAACTTTGATTAAAAGTGAACAAAAATTGATTCGAGAACACCATTTGAAAAATTCAATTTCTAATGAAAATCAGATTAATGTTAACAATATAAAAATACCAACGATACAATGTAAAACAAAAGAAAGTGATAATAATAATAATAATAATAATAATAATAATAATAATATAAAAAAGATAAATAAAATTGATAAAATTAATAAAATTGATAAAATCGATAAAATTGGTAAATCTTCAATATGTAGATCTAACGCTAAAAGGAAATTGATTGATAAAGAGAAAAAAAGAAACAATATCAAAATTTATCTAGGAATTTATACAAAAAAACTCTCTAGTTAACTAGATAAAACAAAAAGAGTTGGAAGTGTTGTTATATACATTGTTAATGATAATAATGAAAACAATATAGATAAATTGTCTCAGATGGCACCTCCGAAAACCTCTTATTATGCTAAAAACGGATTAAATATTAAGAGGTGTAGAATGGTTGCGTTATTAGAAGGTCTTAAATATATCCAAAAACAAGTTATCAAATCGAATACAATTAACAATGAATCCGAAATATATCCAAAAATAAAAAAAGAACATCCATAATTATTGCAGATGACTTGAAAGAAATTGCCAATCAAAAACTTATCTTCAATTATAAATCATGGAAATCTTTGTATAATCTACACGGCGATGACTTTTCAAAAATTCAAAAAATTTCAGGAATATTAATTAACAATAAATATGATTTATTAAGGCTAAAAAAATGAGATCGATTCCAGAGAATCTAGATTTAATTATTCAAGTTGTTCGAATTTATGATTTCACAAATAACGTTTACAATACAGAAAAGGAAAACGAAATAATAATTAGATCATTTGATCATAATTTAGATGAAAAATTCCCTCTAAAGTCAAATGCGTTGGCAAAAAAAATGTTGTATCGAAAATTTAAAACAAATTGTTTTGGATTATAAAAAATAAAAAATAGAAATTGTTTCGATACATATGAATATAGAAAACTTTATGTGTATATGGGTTGAATTTTAATCAAATAAAGTTACTAGAATCCTTCTCTTGAAATAACATAAACGACTCACTGCATATATTATTAAATATGCAAACCTTTTTTTTTTTAAAAAATAACTGCTAAGAACACACCTATTGGGGTTCTTGCACGGTGTTGTTTATTAGTCGGTATAAAACTACAAAAACTTTCCCTGTAATTTTACCATGGATGTGAGAAAACCCTAGAAGGAAGAAAACTCACATCAAGGACGAATGAATATAAATAAAAATTGATATTATATCATGTATAAATATGCAAACCAAAGAGAAAATATCCATATAATACAAAAGTCAATTAAAGATTAATTTGTGAATCTAAAATTTTAGGTCTGTTCCTATGCTGCGATATGCCTGGCTAGCTCAATCGGTAGAGCATTTGACTCTTAATCAAAAGGTTGCGGGTTCGAGCCCCGCGTTGGGCTAAAAAATTATTATTTTTTATTTATTATTATTATTAACTATAATACTGGGACCTTGCAATACATCCGTCTACATTAGAATAGAATTTGTAAAACAATTTCTCATGTACAATAATTTATATTGAACAAAGCAGTATATTCAAAAATATAGAAATAATCAACTTATTTTCGATTTGATTTGCTATATATTCTGAAGTTACTTAAAAACTTATTTATTAAATTACATTAAGTAAAAAATACCAACATCTACTTATATTGAGACCTCTGTAATTACTCACCCAATGAGCATAGCTTATACATGACCACTTTCGACTTCTAATCCGGCCCGTTTACCATACTAAGAACCATCAAAATATATTTAAAACATATTTATCAGTTCTTTTCAAGTTGCGGAACATACCAGTAAAAGAAGCAAAAATATGATCACACTAATACCCATTGTATGGTTTTGGATCTTCTAATGAATAATACTCGGGAAAACACAATATTAGTAGTCTCAAACACTTATGTGTCAACAAAACAATTAAAACTAAATTTTGAATGTCAAAGACGGAAATAATTGATAGAATGATAAGTAAAGAAACAACTAATCGAATTAAAGACTAGTATTTCATTAATAGATAATATTTAACAATACCATTTTAAAACCAAAATAATCTGGGTTGGAAAACAATCCAAACACATCAAATCTTACAAACTTAATTTAAAACCAAAGCAACGCAATTAAATGAAGTCTTTAAAATAATATCAAATGATTCACCATTATCTTATTCTAACATCCTAACTATTTGAGAGCAAATAGCTGCTATTTAGATGGTTTTGATATCTGCAACTTGTATTTGAAGGCCATAATTCATCCTGACCTTTAATCAATGTAACATTAAAACAACATCAAGAAATCACTTTTGAAAGACAGTTTATATTACTTACTAACCAGAAGTTTAAGCATTCTGCTTTTAAAGGGATGATGTTTTCAAAGAAAACCCAGAATACCGATTTTAAAGTAATTATATCCCAAATAGCAAACATCAGCAACACATTACATTAAAATGCAGTTATACCATAGGAATTTATAAGCTATTTCAAATTCATTGTATCGATTGATTCATGATATAGATTGGTTCATGATATAGATTGGTTCATGATATAGATTGGTTCATGATATAGATTGACTTATTGTATTGATTGAACAATGTTTCTTGAGCAGCGAAAGGGACTTTTCCTTTGCCTTTATATATTCTTCAAAATGCTTGCCTTCCTCAACTGTTTCTCCAAACAGCCCACTCTTCTGCAGCACCGGAATGCACCCAGGCTCGTGCGTCTGGATCGAGCTGCAGATCCCTGCTGTCGTCGTGGTTTCCGGAAGCGACAGGCCTCTTGCTCCGTCCCACGAACGGTTTAGATTGTCAATGGATCCGTGCTTATCCAGGAATGTCAAAACGCGATATAACCTTAGTGTTGGCTTGTGCTCGGAATAGTTGATAAACTGAATTCCGACTTCACAGGCTTTATACTTTTTAGCTGGCATTGTTAATATAAATAATGTATATTCTTAAGGTCTTGCCTTTCTTCTACATTTTCTATCTAGATATTTACTTTATTGTTTTGTCAAATGTAGTAATTGAATGGTTGCTTAATTAGTACTTGTTATTATTGTTTATAAACTTCCTAATTAAAAAAAGAGACCAGTGTTGTGGTTCATTATTTCTAACGCTTAGCTGCATATACATGCATTGAACTACTTGAATACCAATAAAGTGATAATTTTCAAACAGTGGCCGAAATCACAAAATGTTTCTCCAAAAGTTAACCTCGCTTGTTATTTAAAGTAGTTTAAATCGTCATTTTTTCTGTTTCAATTACCTTATTGTTTTAATCGTTAAATCACCTCAATTGATTTTGAGTTTTCTTTGTTTTCAAATGTGATTTTATATGTTATCAATTTCATATTCAATAATGATTGGTATTGCTTGATATCAATAAAACATACTATTTATTCAGTATTTTGACATTTCATTATTCTCAAGTTCGTTAATCTCAGCTTCAATAATTATTCTCTTTATCCTCACTTGAGTGAAATATATAATATTTCTTACAAATGAGCTTTACTGCTATAATATTTAATTTAGGCATGTAAAACTGGGTATCAACGGTATCACTTTCAAAATAATATTCACAATGCAATGGTATCAGGTTTAGTATAAGATTATTAAAAAATTCAAATACCAATCTACAAATTTCACTGACTCATTTTTCGCTGATTAATTTAAACTTGTTATAAAGTATTTGTTATTTTACAGTGTTCTGTAAAACCCTTTGACGTTACGGAAGTTGGTTAAGATTTTGGGTAGAAATGGAAACAGCACTGCTAATGAATGAGGCCTCAAGTACTCTTAATTCAGTTAGGAATGATGAAATATTGATTTAATGCTGCTAATGACACTGAGTTCTAGGATACTTGATCGATTCCCCATGTACTGACCAGGAGTTTTAATAATATAAAATGTTTTTTCTTTATCCAATGTAATTGACGGTTATCTGGTTGCAAGTAAGAAATTATGATAGATCTTGTGGTTCTATTACAATTGTGGTTAAAATATTATGTTTTGCATTGATGTGTATATATCGAGTGTTTTATTCTTTTATTCTTAATTGGTTTTTCAAATTGTTTTTTTGTTTAATTTTGTTTTACTTTATATTTGATGTTTAGTTAATATATTTAATATTATCTTCCAGATTCTTACCTTTCTACGTATTTTGCTTCAATCAACAGTTGTTACTTTACTTGATATTTTTATTCCCAGTTAAAATAATTTTTATATCCTGGGTTTACAAAATGGTAAATGATATTAATAACAATAGAGTGGATAAACATGATATTTCTGATGATAAATTGAAACGAAATTGAAAAGAAATAAATATCCGATTTTAGAAATAAAACTCAATTTAAGAAGCCAAAAAAAGATTACATTTTATATCCGGGAAAAACTTCTGACTTTTAGATTAAAATTAAACCATAGAAGATCTACTTATGACAGAAAAGCTGCAGATTTTGCCAGTGCAATTAATAAAGAAAACACTCCTAAAACTAATAACATAACCATTCTGCTTTGTTTAAAGCTAGATCACTGATTATTCCTCCTGCCACAGAATATGAAGTTAAAAACAGCATCACCTACAATAGCATATTAACTCCAAGAATTCTAAATTTCAGAAAATGATTATCAAGTATTTAATAAACGTTTTTTTGATATCTGATCACAATTATGAATTATATATGGGGAATTTAAAATTAAGTCAAAGAGGAGGATGCTAGTGAAGACCCGAATAATAATTTTAATCCTAAGCCAGGACTTGATGACAGTATTTACAAAAAAAAATTGTGATAACCAGATAAAGAACTCACTCTTTATTTTTAGTAATATTGAACTACATTCTCAGTATGGAACAGCAATTTCGGAGGTTGAAAGTAATAATTTAGATAACAATAATATTGAAAGCAATTATTTGAGCTATAATAATAATAATGGAGATAATAAAAATAGTGTTAAAAATATTATTAATTAAGAAAATAATAATTTTTCAATAAATTCCAATTTAGTAGAATTACTTAAATTAACTAATGATAATTCACCATTAGTTATAACACCAAATATGCTCAAAAAAAACCAATCATAGCAGAATTCAAGAGAAATTTGTCTAGTGATATTGATACAGCGATAACGTTTATAGCTTTTGATGCCAATTGTTGCATTAAAAATTGTGAAAAATTTTATAAAATTATTAAAAGCTGCATATTAAGCAGAGGTGGGCAAACTCAACTGAAAATAAGCATCTGCAATGTTGAAAAACGATGAGGAAAAAGACTCAGATGCTCTTCAAAGCGTTGAAACAATAAATACAACTTATTTCTGAGAATTAATGGATAATTACTGCATCGTACTAACAAAGCAAATCTAAAATCTAAAATCTAAAATCTAAAATCTAAAATCTAAAATCTAAAATCTAAAATCTAAAATCTAAAATCTAAAATCTAAAATTTGAAATTAAAAAGCTCAACAAAATCCCGCTCTGAAGCAAAAACTGTTGCTTGGCTTGGCTTTCGGTATTTGACTTCGGCTTCCTAATTCTCGAAAGCTTAAAATTTACTAGTTTCAATCCATCACAAGCTTTATTTAAGCTGCTTTGGAGATATTAATACTATCCCAGTCTCAAAAGTTTTAAATGATAAAAATCACTGGTCTATTAAACTATACATTCAAAGATTAATAAAACAAACTGCAAAGGATCGTAGAAATTTCATGCAAAATAATTAGTGGATACATAGATAAAAGATAAAATGGGCAATCCAGCTGTTGGCACAGGCCAATGCTAACAATATAACCAAAAAAAACTAAAGGGTGATTAAATCGAACCCCGTCAAAATCGATAAAAAAAAAAGCTATGCCAAAAAAAACACGAGAGAGCAAAACATATATTTTTCCAGCCATATCTAAGAAAAGAATAACAAAAACAATAAAGATAGACACTAACACTAAATTAGATTAATTGAAAAACAAAATAAACTCACTTTGGGATTTGATAACTTGTGGTGGTAGATGTTGCTGTATTAAACCACTGAGGGTTAAAAGCATAAGGGGACAAAAATGAATTTCCAAAACCATAATAGAAAGGTGGTGATGAAGT